TTCATAATAAATGAAACATTAAGAAATGTAACATAACAAAATTCCTAAAATTTCCCTTCAATTTGAAACTTTTTGTGTTTTGGGGATTTTTTTTTGGAAAATCTCTCGGATAAAGAAAAATATTATTACGGTGGGGGAATTTTGCAAAATCTCCCGGGGAAAAAAGAAATTCAACAATATTTATGTGACGATTATAGGTAAAATAAGGCACCTCGTGTATTTTTTAATCCATGATACATTAAGAAATGTAGCATTATAAAATTCCTAAAATTTCCCTTTAATTTGAAACTTTTCGTGTTTTTTGGGGATTTCGTAAAAATCTCCCGGATAAGAAAATATATAGATTTAAACGGGGAACTCATATTAATTTTTCATTTCATGATGCTGAATGAATTATGGCATAAAAAATTACGGAATTTTCTTCCAATATTTAATATTATTCAATTTGGGGATTTTGTGAAAATCTCCTGGGCAAAGGAAAATCATGTTGGAAATGAGAAATACTTTTTAAATATAATCAGTAGATGGTTATTAATGTGTTAATATTATATAAAAATCACTAATTCAGGGCTTTTTTCAAATCTTTTCCATTCATTTTGACATTTATTGTGTTTGGGGGATTTCGCAAAAAAATCTCCCGGGTAAAATAAAATATTGATTTATGCTAGAAATTATTGTTAAATCTTCATATTATGATACGGAATGAAATTTGGAACACAAAATTCACAAAATTTTAAATATTATTCAATTTGGGGATTTTGTGAAAATCTCCCGGGTAAAAAAATAATGTTGGAAATAAGAAAAAGTTTTTTGATACAATCAGTAGATGATCGCAAAATGTGTTAATATTATATAAAAATCACTAATTCAGGGCTTTTTTCAAATATTTTCCATTCTCTATGAAATTTATTGTGCTTGGGGGATTTTGCAAAAAATCTCTCGGGTAAAACAAAATATTGATTTATGCCAGAAACTTTTTTAAATCTTCATATTATGATATGGAATGAAATTTAGAAGACAAAATTCACAAAAATTTCCATTTAATTTTAAATATTATTCCATTTGGGGATTTTGTGAAAATCCCCCGGGTAAAGGAAAAAATATTGGAAATGAGAAATACTTTTTTTTAATATAATCAGTAGATGATCCCAAATATGTTATGTTATATAAAATTCACTACTTCAGGACCTTTTTCTCAAATATTTTTTTTTTTTTTTCATTATGACATATATTGTGCTTGGGGGATTTCGCAAAAAATCTCTCGGGTAAAGCAAAATATTGATTTATACAAGTAACGTTACTTTAAATCTTCATAAAATGATGCTAAATGGATTTTCGAATAACAATTTCACAAAATTTCCATTCAATTTTAAACGTTATTCAATTTGGGGATGTTGTGAAAATCTCCCGGGTAAAGGAAAAAATATCGGAAATGAGAAATACTTTTTAAATACAATTAGCAGATAATCCCAAATATGTTAATATTATATACAATTCACTAATTAAAGCAGTTTTTCCCAAATATTTTAAATATAACATTTATTGCGCTTTGGGGATTTCGCAAAAAATCTCTCGGGTAAAATAAAATATTTATTTATACCAGAAATTATTTTTAAATCTTTTTATTATGATACGGAATGAAATTTGGAACACAAATTCACAAAATTTTAAATATTATTCAATATGGGGATTTTGTGAAAATCTCCCGGGTAAGGGAAAAAATGTTTGAAATAAGAAATACTTTTTTGATATAATCAGTAGATGATCCTAAATGTATAAATATTATAGAAAAATCGGAAATTTGAGAATTTTTTCCCAAATCGTTTCCTTTTATTATGACATTTATTGTGTTTGGGGCATTTCGCAAGAAATCTCTCGGGTAGAACAAAATATTGGTTTATACAAGTAACGTTAATTTAAATCTTCATAAAATGATGCTAAATGAAATTTGGAATAACAATTTCACAAAATTTCCATTCAATTTTAAACGTTATTCAATGTGGGGATTTTGTGAAAATCTCCCGGGTAAGGGAAAAAATGTTGGAAGTGAGAAATCATTTTTAATATAATTAGTAGATGATCCCATATATGTTAATATAATATAAAATTCACTACTTCAAGACTTTTTTCTCAAATATTTTCCTTTCATTATGACATTTATTGTACTTGGGGGATTTTGCAAAAAATCTCTCGGGTAAAACAAAATATTGATTTATACCAGAAATTATTTTTGAATCTTTATTTTATGATACGGAATGAAATTTGGAAGACAAAATTCACAAAAATTTGCATTCAATTTTAAATATTACTCAATTTGGGGATTTTGTAAAAATCTCCCGGGTAAATAAAAACAAAGTTGGAAATGAGAAATCCTTTTAAATAAAATCAGTAGATGATAAAAAGTGTATTAATGTCATCTAAAATTCTCTAAATTAAGTTCTTTTCAAAAATTTCCATTCATTATGAAATTTATTGTGTCTGGGGGATTTTGCAAAAAATCTCTCGGGTAAAACAAAATATTGATTTATACCAGAAATAATTTTTGAATCTTCATATTATGAAACGGAATGAAATTTGAAACACAAAATTTCCATTTAATATTAAATATTATTCAATTTGGGGATTTTGTGAAAATCTCCCGGGTAAAAGAAAATATGTTGGAAATGAGAAATACTTTTTTTAATATAATCAGTAGATGATCCCATATATGTTAATATAATATAAAATTCACTACTTCAGGACTTTTTTCTCAAATATTTTTCTTCCGTTATGACATTTATTGTACTTGGGGGATTTTGCAAAAAATCTCTCGGGTAAAACAAAATATTGATTTATACCAGAAATTATTTTTGAATCTTTATATTATGATACGGAATGAAATTTGGAAGACAAATTCACAAAAATTTGCATTCAATTTTAAATATTACTCAATTTGGGGACTTTGTGAAAATCTCCTGGTAAATAAAAACAATGTTGGAAATGAGAAATAATTTTTTTAATATAATCAGTAGATGATAAAAAGTGTATTAATGTCATCTAAAATTCTCTAAATTAAGTTCTTTTCAAAAATTTCCATTCATTATGAAATTTATTGTGTCTGGGGGATTTTGCAAAAAATCTCTCGGGTAAAACAGAATATTGATTTAAAAAAGTAACGTAACTTTAAATTTTCATGAAATGATGCGGAATGAAATTTGGAACAAAAAATTCAAAATTTCCATATAATTCTTAGTTTTATTCAATTTGGGGATTTTGTGAAAATCTCCTGAGTAAAAAAAAATAATAAAATTTTCCAACAATATTTTATTGGAAATTATAGAAGAAATCATAGATGACCAATATTGTTTTGAAATTAAAAAGCTTTTGCAGTGTTATGTTTAAAAAATATTATGGGGATTTTTTTAAAAATCTCCCGGGGAAAAATGAAAATGGAAATACCAAAGAAATTCTCACATAATTCTTATTTTTGGCGGTTTCAGTTGAAAATGTCCCAAAAAAACTTAAAAAAAATTAAGTTTATTGAATTTGGGGATTTCATCAGAATAATTTTATGGTTGGGGAATTTATAAAAATCTCCCGGAAAAAATCAAATTTATCAATATTCAAGTGAAGAATACAGAAAAACTCGCATACTGCTTGAAATACTGTTTCGAAAATAAAAAGATTTTGTAGTGTTAGTGTATAAATTATTGAGGGGATTTCTTGGAAAATCTCCAGGGGAAAAATGAATATCTAAAAAGAACCAAAGAAATTCTTATACAATTCTTATTATGGGGAATTTCCGTTGAAAAGTTTGCTCAAAAAACCTAAAAAATGGAAATTTACTGAATGTGGGGATTTCATCAAAAAATTATTTTTTCTTTGGAATTTTGAAAAATCTCCCGGGGAAAATTAAATTGAGCAATGTTTGATAAAAAAAATATAGAAGAAACCATTCACAATTTATATTGTTTTGAAATTTAAAAAGGTTTTGCAATGTCATGTGTAAAATTGGTTAAGGGGATTTTTTGAAAATCTCCCGGGAAAAAATTAAAATCGAAATAACCAAAGAAATTCCTATACAATTTCTATTTTGAGAAGTTTCGGGGAAAAAACACAATTAAAAACCATTTAAATTTTTTCGCAAAAAAAAATTATTCAACACCACGAAAAAAAATTTAATTTTATTAAATGTGGGGATTTTGAGAAAATCTCCCGGAGAAATAAAAATAAAATAATATTTGATATACATACGAAACTCCCTTAACACCTGTAGATTCTGAATATAAAAAAAATCTTCATGCTTTATTCGTAATCTGGGGATTTTCAAAAATATCTCGGGAAAAAATTACTACAGGGAAATTTATGAATAATTAATAAAAATTAGAGAAAAAACTCCCTTAGCTCATATAAATTTATCAAATCAAAAAGATTTTGTTGGTCTATTTGAAGACCTCCTTTAGGGAATTTTTGAAAATTTCCCGGAGAAATAGGAAAATAAGAATATTTTAAGATAACACTTTGTAAAACGAAGTTTACCTAGCTCCTGTCGAATTCGAATGTCGCAAAAAACATTTTTTTATTGCTAATTACGTTGTTGTAGTTTTCGTTTTTATTGTATATCTTCCCTTCAAAAATTCCCATAAACCTAAATTCAATTGATGGCAACTCTATACTTTATTCATGTATGTACGTGCGCCAGTTAATGTTTATTTTTTTTTATTATTTTATTATTATGTATTTTTATTTGTAAATCTCTGGAGATCACCTGGGGTGAGATTATTGGGTACAGAGTACAAACATTAACACTAAACAAACAAAAAACAACAACAACAATAGCCGCGACAACAAAACCCAGACGACGTCATAGCAAAAATCGAGTGACCACTAAGCGACCGACCAACAAAACCTGGCTCAAATAATAGTTTTATTTTCAGCAGCGTTTGTTTTATTCAATTCGCTCTCCTCTCCAATTGTTTTTGTTTTTGCTGAATTCAGCTACAGCTCACGCTTGAAATACTGAGAAGCCACACTGAGCATGGCTTGTAGCGCCTAGCCCGATGTGTCCGACAATAATATAAAAGCCGGCTAGATTCTGGAGCTGAAGTTAGTTGTCTTTGGTGTGAGCAGCTTTTAACCAAAAAAACTAAATATTTTTTGGAAATTCAATTCGAAACTTGTAAGTTTTTTAAACAGAAAAAAAAAACAATAACTGACAAGTTTTATTTAATTTGTGGCCAAGTGTTAACAAGAGTGTGTGTGTGCTCATGTGTGTTTGCAAAGATTTCGCAAAAACCAATATTACAAAATTAATAATAATCAAAGAAAACGAAAATTGCACAAAAGATGGAGGAAGAAACCATTAACGGCGAAATCGATGGTGTTGCAAAATTTTGGATTTGGAATAATTTTTGGAAAAAAATTAAAAAAAAACGTTAAAAATTTTTATATTTTTAAAAAAGCATTTGTTTGGATTTGAAAAAAAAAATATTCATAATTGAAAAAAATAATCAGAGTTTTAAAACTTTTTGAATTTTAAAATTCCCTGATCATTTTTGATTGAAGTTATAATATTTGGAATTTAGGTACTTTGGATTAAAAAAAGATAAATAAATAAATTTTCTGAAAGTTTCAACAATGTCAAATTAAATTAAATTTGAAAAAACTGTTATTGATCCTTTTCTTCAAAATTTTGAATGTTTGCTCTGTTCCATATCTAAAAGAATGTAAAAATTTGATTTATAATAAGTGAATTTTTCAAAAAATTTTTGCAAGTTTTGGAACAGAAAATTTATTATTTTTCATTAAATTTAAAATAAGTTTCCAATTATATGCAACTTCTTCAGTCCCGATATTTTTTGCTTTCATGTGAATATGGTCCATGTAGACCCACTGTTTCTGGTATCTCCCCCAGGAATTGTCAAATTAAAAAAAAACACATACAAATCTGGAGGAGTCTAATACTAAATTCAAAATTTTTATATCTCAATTTTGAATTAAATGTAAAAAGTAAATGTATCGATACACAATATGTGGGAGCTCTTAAAAAGTGCAAAAAATTGTCAAAAATTAAAAAAATTTGAATATTTTTTCTACTTTTCCCTATCCTCATTCCAATATTTGTACCGATATTTGTGAAATAGTGATATTGGGATCTATAGGTCAACTCCTACTGGAACGCCATAAAATGTTTAAAAATCATGAGACTCATACAATTCCCTGGAACTGTAGGTATCACTTTATTCAAGGGACTTCTGCCCAAGGATCGTAGACTTAAAAAATTAATACATTTTTTCAAGGTCTTCTGAGAAAAAATCGTGTTTTTAAAATATTTATTTCAAGGATTGTTAATTTTCAAAGGTCCTTAAAAATATTTTTTCAAAAACCAAGATCTTTTTTCTCAGAAGATCTTGAAAATGTTAATTAATTTTATTTTTTAAAAATCCACGTTGCTTGCAAAAAATATTTTTTTTTCAAGGATTTAACGACAAGGGCTTCTAAGAGAAAAGTCGTAAATTTTTGAAAAACAATTTTTTATTTTAGATCAATATAGTTGATTTTAAAAATTTCATAAAAAAAAATTAAGGAGATCTCGGACAGAAATCATGGATTTTGCAGAAATATATTTATTAAAGACTTTTCAGAAGAAAGTCCTGAAATTTTTAAATTTTTTTCAACGGATTTCATTTCAAGGATTTTTTTTATAAATAATTGCTTTAAGGCCTTCTAGGTCAAAAATATTTTTAAGATTAAAATATTTTTTCAACGGCCTCAGTATACCCTCAGCGGGTATATATCATTTGATACGGCCAACACGGGCCTCATCGAAATAACGGTTTTAGACCCTAGGTCTCTTTGGACCAAATCCGTTTCAGGACGTTTGGATTCGATCTAGCTATGTCCGTCCATCTGCCTGGCTGGCTGGCTTATTCGCACACACACTTGGCAAATCGTAATATTATTGTCAAACTTAGATCGAGTTCGGAGATGGGCAATATTGCGGTTCACTTTCTCTGGTACCTCACATACAAAAACTCAACATTTTCAAGGAAAATAATTTACTGCACAAAAAGAGAAAGTGTAATCCGATTTGCTCCAACTTTGCGAATCCCAATATTTGCATCAGTACTACATTAGGTGCGAAAATGGATAATATCAGTCCAATCCATCAAGTACCTCCTCCACAAAGGGTCAACATTTTGAATATCCAAGAAGCTCTTAAAACATGAAATCCGATTCCATTCAGACTTAGTACATCTCAATACATCCATAAACACAAGATATGTTATAAAGATGTTAGAGATCGGACCATTCCTTCTGGTACCTCCCACCAAAAAGGTGGAAGTTTTGAATTACCACAACGAACATAAAATTCGAAATAATCATCTGGTTCTCATCAAATTGCACACATCACAATATTTTTATTAACCCAAGGTCTGGTGTGATAATGGGATATATCGGTATACTCCTTTTGGTACCTCCCCCACAATGGGGTCAAAATTTGGAATAACCACGAAACTCATAAAATACGAAATGCGAATCCGATTCTCTTCAGATGTTACAGATCCCAATATTTCTACTAACAACAGACCTGGTACGAAAGTGGTAGAAATCGGTCCATTCCTTCTGTTACCTCCCCCACAATGGGGCCAAAATTTTATATAACCAAAACGCTGTTAAAATTCAAATTAAGCTTTCGATTCTTTTCAAACTTCACACATTCTAATATTTATACTAGCACATGATCCGGTGTGAAGATGGTAGATATCGGTCCACTCTTTTTGGTACCTGCCCCAAAAGGGGTCGAAATTTTTAATAATTATATTCAATTATAAAATGTGAAATAAGAGCCTGATTGTCTTCAAGCTTTGCACATCCCCACAGAGGGGGGAGGTACCAGATATCAGTCGCAAACTGCAAAATAGGCATCCGATTCTTTTCAAATGTTACACTTCGCAATACTTCTACCAACTCAAAATCTAGTGTGAAGATGGAATATATCGGCTCACTCCTTCGGGTACCTCGCCCACAAAGGGAATAAAGTTTTGAATAACCAAAACCTTCATCAAATGCGAAATAAGCGTCTGATTTATTCTATACTTCAAATATTTCAATATGTCTAGTAACACATGAACTGAAGTAAAGATGGAATATATCGACCCACACCTTCTGGTACCTCTCCCACAAAGGGGTCAAAATTTTGAATAACCAAAACGCTATTAAAATGCGAAATAAGCATCCGATTCTTTTCAAATTTTACACATTTCATTATTTGTATTAATACATGATCTGGCTTGTAGGGGTCAAAATTTTGAATAACCAAAAGCTCAAAATATGCGAAATAAGCATCCAATTCTCTTCAAGTTTCGCACATCCCAATATTTTTATTAAAACAGGTTCTGGTGTAAAGATGGGATATATAGATTCACTCTTTCTGATACCTCCCCCACAAAGGGTCAACATTTTGAATAACCGCGAAGCTCATAAGATGCGAAATAAGCATCCGATTCTCTTCGAATTCCTTACATCTCAATATTTTTATTAACACAAGATCTATTATGTAGATGGTAGACATCGGCCTATTCCTCTTGGTAATTCCCCCACGAAGGGGTCAAAATTTTGAATAACCAAAACGCTCTTAAAAAATTGCGAAAAATGTCTGGTACATCACATTAATTTCAATATTTTCCAAAAATTATGACATATCTCATATACGAAGTCAATGAAGTAATCGGATGACGGGGTGGTACTTTCCAGAAAACCACCTTTTTTCGAGATGCACCCTATTTTGGTAGAAAATTGATTATGAGCAAAAGAAGCTCCCTATGCCTATAAAATTTTCAATATGTCCATTCTTCGACTTTAACATTGTCAAAATGTCGATTCTCTGTGAGCGATATACCGAATATATATATATACATCGGTACCGAATGCAATTTGACCTATTTTTCAGTCTCTCCACGACAATTTTATGCGAACGCTTTAAGCCAGCCACAAAACTCACCCAAAAAAAAAATCAAGCCGCTGCATCATAAAATGCGTTGAGGATTTCTGGTTTAAACAAGTCAGCAATACACAAACACATACACATATACATGTGTAAGTGTTTGTAAATTGAAATTACATTATGTAATTTATATATTTTTTTAATACATACTCCAAAACTTGCCGGTTTTCAAAACAGCGCCACAAGATTTATGTTATGGGAAATGTACCAATGACAACAACAGCAACAACGACAACAACTGTAAAAGCCACTGGGTAAACAACACCGGTTGCCCTTGCAACTGTTTTTGTTGTTGTTGATGTGTTTGTTTGTTTGTTTGTTTGTTTGTAACACTTGAGTGGAGCAACAATCAATTGATTGGTCAAACAGGCGATTATTGGTTGGAAGCGATGACGGATAGAAATTGAAATCGATGGCGATTGATCAGCCGGCTTTTGCAATAACCAAAAACAAAAAAAAAACAACATGACTTGCATGATGCACACACACCTATATATACATGACTACAGAAAAAAACATTAACATAACATAATTAACAAAAATCATTTTATTAATAGTTTTTTTTTTCCTTTTTTTCTCTCTTCCCATTTTTTCCCCCAGTCAAAACATTAACAACATGAAACTCTTCATTGCCGCCCTCGTTGTTGCCTCCATGGCCATCGCTGCCGTTTCGGCTGATGATAAATACACCACCAAATACGACAACGTCGATGTCGATGAAATCTTGAAATCCGACCGTCTCTTCAAAAACTACTACAACTGTCTGATCGATCAGGGCAAATGTACGCCCGATGCCCGTGAATTGAAGAAATCCCTACCCGATGCCCTCAAAACCGAATGCTCCAAGTGCAGTGAGAAACAGAGACAAAACTCCGACAAGGTGTTGCGCTACATCATCGACAACAAACCCGAAGAATGGAAGGTATTGCAGGCCAAATACGATCCCGAACAGACCTACTACAACAAATACAAGATTGAGGCCCAGAAGCGTGGCATCAAAATCTAAATTCCATGCCATTTCCACACCCCCCCCAACCATCCACCTATTAATCATCTCTCAACTAATTTATTTGCCTAGTTGTCACACGCACGCACGCACATGCTCACATAATATCCTGCAAAGAATAACATCCTAAATAATTTTTCAAAAATTTGTTATTCTCTTGGCATTTCATTTCAACCTTTTTTGCTGTGAAACTTTCAACAATTTTTTTAATCCCTTTTTAGTTTTTAGATAAACCTAAATTTGGAATAAATTCTCATTTTGAGAATATCCCTTTAAAATTTCAACCTATTTCCCAAATTGGCTGTTATAAAAAAAAAAAAAAAAACAAAAATATATATATTTTTATAAAATAAAATAGAAAAAAAAAATATTGAAGTATTATTTTTCAAAACAAATTGGGCTGGGATATTTAAAAAGTCCCTAATGGATGGAAAAACCTCGAAAAATGAATTAAGGGCCTCGAAAATAACTTTTACGACGGAAGATTTCTTAAATAATTTATTTTTATTAACAAGTAAAAAAGCAGTAAATTCGGCTGGGCCGAACTTTGAATACCCACCACCATTTGGAATGAATTTAAAAATTTTCAAAAAATAAGATCCTTAAAAAATTCTGTTAAAATTTTAAAAATACCGAATATAGCCGTTATATTGGGGTCTATACGACGTGGACCTACATAGGCATTGTTTGTCATAGGCCATTACCATATTCAAATTCGAAAACTTGAAATAAACGGTGAATAATGTAGCTAAAATCATCAAAATATCGTATATAGGGAGGTACCGTTATATTGGAGCATTGCGAAGACCTGGACAAGCATAGACAATTTTCTGTCACAGGCTGTAGCATCCATTACGAACTTCAAATACAACATCTCAAACAATTTCGGTGGGTTTTGGACCTAAAATCGTCAAAATACCGAATATAGGGATGTACTGATATATGGGGCCTATACGAAGACCTGGACCTGCATAGTCAATTTTCTGTCGCAGGCTGTAGTATCCATTTCGAACTTCAAATACCAAATTTGAAACAATTCCGGTGAATAATGTCGCTAAAATCATCAAAATACCGAATATCTGGAGGTACCGTTATATCGGGGTTATACGAAGACCTGGACCTGTCACAGGCTGTAGTATCCATTTCGAACTTCAAATACCAAATTCGACCAATTCCGGTGAATAATGTTGCTAAAATCATCAAAATACCGAATAAAGGGAGGTACCGTTATATCGGTGCTATACGAAAACCTGCACCTGCATAAAAAATTTTCTGTCACAGGCTGTAGCATCCATTGCGAACTTCAAATACAACATTTCAAACAATTTCGGTGGGTTTTGTACCTAAACTCGTCAAAACACCCAATATAGGGAGGTACTGATATATGGGGCCTATGCGAAGACCTGGTACTGCATAGACAATTTTCTGTCACAAACTAAAGTTCCCATTTCGAATCTCAAATACCAAATTTGAAAAAATTCCGGTGAATAATGTCGCTAAAATCATCAAAATACCGAATATAGGGAGGTACCGTTATATGGGGGCTATACGAAGACGTGGACCAGACTCAGACAATTTTCTGTCTTAGGCTGTAGTATCCATTTCGAACTTCAAATGCCAAATTTGAAACAATTCCGGTGAATAATATCCCTAAAATCGTCAAAATATCGAATATGGGGGGGTTGTACCGTTATATGGGAGCTATACTTTATCGTGGAACTCTTCCAGAAGGTAAAGTGCTTAGAAAGAACTTATAGTATGGATTTTTAGACAATTCCATCGAAAAAATTGGCTAAAATCATCAAAATACCGAATATCGGCAGGTATCGTTATATGAGGGCTATACGATATCGTGGACCGATATAGCCCATCTTCAAAATTGACCTGCCTGCAGACAAAAGACTGATCTGTGCAAAATTTTAGCTTCCTATCTTTATTGGTTTTGACTCTAGCCTGATTACAACAGACGGACGGACAGGTCTAAATCGAATTAGGGCCTTCAAATGGCCAATGAAACCATCACACGCTGTCCAAATGTTGCTCTGCGGTATTTTGGCCCATTCACGGCGAAGCGCTTGCTTGAGGCTTGATCGACACTTTGGCATTTTTTAGTGCCTTTACTTTTCAAAATACTCCAGACACAATAGTCCAACGGATGGGTATCCGCAGATTTTGGTGGCCATAGTACGCTGGAAATGAAGAGAGGAACCTCAATTTGTAACCATTCTTGGGTGGCGGTGGTGTTGAGTCCTGTTGCAATGTCCAAGGTCTGTGGTCAAAATGTTCGCGTGCCCAAGGCTTTAATACATCTTCCAGAATATTTTCGCGATAATATTCGGCATTTATTCTGATGCCACAGTCGATTAATACGAACGGAGAGCGACTATCGGCTGTTATGGCGGCCCACACCATCACCATGGCCGGCGCTTGAGTTCTGGTGGCCATTCTTGATTAGCCTAACATTCTAAGACGATTTAGCACTGTCCGTCCGTTCGTCTGCCCGTCTGTTGTAATCACGCTATACTCAAAACGAATTAAGATAGGAAGCTAAAATTTTGCACAGATCTGCCTTTATGCTATATCGGTCCACGATATCGTATGTCCCCCATATAACGGTGCCCCCCTATATTTGGTATTTTGAAGATTTCAGTCAAATTTTTCAATGGAATTGTCTGAAAATTCTCACAAAAGGTTCCTTGTGACAACTTTATCCCCCAGAATAGAATTGTCTACATAGCTTCACGATATCGTATAGCCCCCATATAAAGATACCCCCCGATATCCGGTATTTTGATGATTTCAGCCAAAATTTTTCAATGGAATTGTCTGAAAATCCGTAAAAGGAGTTCCTTGTGAGTACACTACCCTCTGGAAGAGAATTGTCTATATAGGTCTATATTTAGCATAGCATCCATATAACGCTACTCCAAGATATTTGGTATTTTCAGGATTTTCATTATTCTTCAGAATTATGTCAAATGTCATATTTGAAGTTCGTAATGGGTACTACAACCTATAACGGAAAATTGTCTATGCAGGTCCACGTCTTATTATAGCCTTCATACAACGGTACCTCCCTTTATTCGGTATTTTGATGATATTAGCGACATTATTCACCGGAATCGTTTCGAACTTCTTATTTGAAGTTCAGAATCGTTACTACAGCCTATAACAAACAAATACTTATCCAGAACCACGTCTTCGTATAGCCCCCACATAAAGGTTTTCATTTGAGCGGTATTTATCGACGTATTTTTTATTTATTATTTTTTTTTTTTTTTTTGAAAATTTTCAAATTCCTTCCGAATGTTGGAGGTTATAAAAAGTTCGACCCGACCGAACTTAGCTGCTTTTTTACTTGTTAAATTTTATTTTGCTTAATTTCATAAATATATGTTTTATATGATTCCGAATAAGTCTGTATTTCGACCTCAGTACATCATTGTAGTGGTTTGGTGTCAAAGAAGTAAATATTCTTCATAAAATTTCACTAAAGGGTGTTGAATAAAAGAAATACCTAATTATAAAGGATTTAATAAATATTTTAATTTAAAAGATACATTTTTGTTAATTTTAGGTCGCTTTTATATTGGGCCAATTTTTTAAGATTCCGAAAAGTGGGTATTTCAACCTCAATACATTATTTTTGTGTTTTGTTGTCAAAGAAGAAAATATTCCTCATAAAATTTCACTGCAGGGTGCTGAATTAAAGAAATTCCTAATTATAAAGGATTTAATATATATTTTAATTTAAAAATTAATTTTTAAATTTTATTTTGCTTAATTTCATGAGTCACTTTAATGTAATTCCGAATAAGATTGTATTTCGACCTCAATACATCATTTTAGTGTTTTGGTGTCAAAGAAGGAAATATTCTTCATAAAATTTCACTAAAGGGTGTTGAATAAAAGAATGTCCTAATTATGAAGGATTTAATTAATATTTTAATTTAAAGAATACATTTTTGTTAATTTTAAGTCGCATTTATATTGGGCCAATTTTTTAAGATTCCGAAAAAGTGTGTATTTCGACTTCAATACATCATTTTAGTGTTTCATTGTCAAAGCCAAAAAAATTTTCTTCATAAAATTTCACTACTGGGTTCTGAATAAAATAAATATCCAAAATTAAAGGAATCGATATATATTTTAATTCAAAAATTATTTTTAGAATTTTATTTTCCTTAATTTCATGAGTCAATTTTATATAATTCCGAATTAGTCTGAATTCCGACCTCAATACATCATTTTAGTGTTATGGCATCAAAGAAGAAAATATTCTTTATAAAATTTCACTAAAGGTTGTTGAATAAAAGAAATCCCTAAATATAAATGATTAGATAAATATTTTAATTTAAAAAATACATTTTTGTTAATTTAAGGTTGCTTTTAGGTTGATCCAATTTTTTAAGATTCCGTAAAAGTGTGTATTTCCACCTCAGTACATCATTTTAGTGTTTCATTGTCAAAGCCAAAAATATTCTTCATAAGATTTTACTACAGGATGCTTACTAAAATAAATCTCCAAATTTAAAGAAATCGATATATATTTTAATTTAAAAATTAATTTTTAAATTTTATTTCGCTTAATTTCATGAGTCACTTTTATGTAATTCCGAATTAGTTTGTATTTCGACCTCAGTACATCATTGTAGTGTTTTGGTGTCAAAGAAGAAAATATTCTTCATAAAATTTCACTACTGGGTGCTGAATAAAATAAATATCCAAATTTAAAGAAATTGATATATATTTTAATTTAAAAATTATTTTTTAAATTTTATTTTCCTTAATTTCATGAGTCAATTTTATATAATTCCGAATAAGTTTGTATTTCGACCTCAATACATCATTTTAGTGTTTTGGCATCAAAGAAGAAAATATTCTTTATAAAATTTCACTGAAGGATGCTGAATAAAATAAATCTCCACATTTAAGGGAATCGATATATATTTTAATTTAAAAATTAATTTTTAAAATTTTATTTTGCTTAATTTCAGGAGTCAATTTTATATGATTCCGAATAAGCGAGTATTTCGACCTCAGTACATCATTGTAGTGTTTTGGTGTCAAAGAAGGAAATATTCTTCATAAAATTTCACTAAAGGGTGTTGAATAAGATAAATTCCTAATTATAAAGGATTTAATAATTATTTTAATTTAAAAAAATATTTTTTTTTAGTTTTAGGTCGCTTTTAGGTTGAGCCAATTTTTCAAGATTCCGAAAAAGTGTGTATTTCGACCTCAATACATCATTTTAGTGTTTCATTGTCAAAGCCAAAAATATTCTTTATAAAATTTCACTACAGGGTGCTGAATAAAAGAAACCCCTAATTATAAAGGATTTAATAAATATTTAAATTCAAAAATGAATTTTTAAATTTTATTTAGCTTAATTTAATGAGTCAATTTTATATGATTCCGAAAAAGTGTGTATTTCGACTTCAATACATCATATTAGTGTTTCATTGTCAAAGCCAAAAATATTCTTCATAAAATTTCACAACAGGGTGCTGAATAAAAGAAATCCCTAATTATAAAGGATTCAATACACATTTTAATTCAAAAAAATATTTTTTTAAATATTTTGTTGCTTAACTGTTTGAGTAAATTTTAACAGATTCCGAAAAAGTGTGTATTTCGACCTCAATACATAATTTTAGTATTGCGGTGTTAAAGGAAAAAATATTCTTCGTTAAATTTTACTATAAGGGGCTGAATAAAAGAAATCCCTAATTATGGAGGGATCCGAATATATGTTCTTCCGAAAAAATATTATTTTCATTTTTTTTGTTAATTGATTTCTTGTTTCCAAATAGACGTCAGTTTTGATCTCAATGTTTCATTTTAGATATTTAATGACAATGGAAAGAAGATTCCCCACCAAATTTTACTATTAGGTTCCAAATAAAAGTTAGGTCTAGGCCTAATATTTTTAGAAAAAAACTTTGCTGACAAACTTGGATATGGATCAAAATGGCTGCATATTGTTCATGTAGGCCTTTTTGTTTCTTTGTTCAAATTCCACAAAATGTGATTTATTAATGATTGAAGCAAAAATTGAAATTTGTACAGTACGAAAAGTTGTCTGTACAGTACCCAGAGTGTATTACTCTACCACATTTATTAAATAATATAAATTCATTACCTACCCTATTTGTTTTAACTTTGCGTATCACAAAAATAAAACCTAAAGTTCAAACCTTGAGTGGAAACAAAAAAAAAATCCAATTAATTAATAATTTGATTAATATAATTAAAATTATAAAAATAATTCTTAATAAATTAAAATCTGGGATTAATTATTCCAAGTCCAAAATAAAAAATCAATCATCAAATCCAGGTCATAAAACCGGTTGCATGGAAACCAGAACATCCTATTTACAGAAGTAATTAAATTAGAATTTTTAAATAGATCAGAGGGACTTTTCAAAATTAATTTTTGATTTGAGAATTTTTTTTCAATCAGGTTTATGATGACGTCAGTTGCAAATGCATTTGCACCAAAAAATCTACTAATGAAAATTCCATATAAAAAGGTGTTAGAATCGCATCAAAAATTAGTCTTCTGCTTGCAAACATCGGATCAAGGTAAATATTTGAAAAAAAAAAATTAAAAATTAATTTTTAATTAATTTTTTTTCAGTCCTAAAATATTCAAAATGAAATACTTCTGCATTGCCCTCTTCGTTACCGCCCTAATGGTTGCCGGCATTTCGGCCCAGGGAGCCTTCACCACGAAATACGATAATGTCAATATTGATGAAATTTTGAATTCGGATCGTTTGCTCAACAACTATGTCAAATGTCTGTTGGACAAGGGCAGCTGTACGGCCGATGCCCAAGAACTGAAACGGGCCATTCCTGATGCCCTGCAAACCGAGTGCAGCAAATGCAGTGACAAGCAGAAGAAATCCATCCGCAAGGTGGCCAATTTCCTGATCGACAACAAACCGGAACACTGGAAGGAGTTGCAGGGCAAATATGATCCCAACAATGTCTATTATACCAAATATAGGAATCAGTTGTAGAGCAGCAATTGAGGCTAGAACAGACACAAAATGTGTTTGAAAAAAAAAAATTTAAAACGAATATTTGAAATTTTGTTGTAATTTTGAAAAATAAAATATAATTTCAAGAGGAATTCAAGTGAATCAAAAATTTTAATGGAATAGGAAATCTTGGAAAGTGAAAAACTGGGTTGATATAATTTCATTTCAGGAATATCATGTCAAGGAAGGAATGTTCCATATCAGATTTTTCCATTACTCACCAAAGGAAGTATGATTGTACATTCAAGAATTATCAGAAACGAATTAAGAATAAAAAAATATATTTTTCCTGAAATTTTACCATAATCATTCATTATAGGTATGTGATGTCAAAGGAAGAAGTGTTCTACATCAAATTTCACCATGGGTCTCTAAATAAGTGAATCTTGTAAAGATTATATTTATATATGAAACATCAGTACTAACTTTGGGTACATAGACAAAAATCTCGATTATTTCGATAATTTTGATTTAGTGCAATTTTTCCCATAACTCTTAATTTTCTGCTTATTATTGTAAAGGAAGAAATTTTGTAACATCAAATTCTATTACAAGTCACTAATGAAAGAAAAATTCTACATTCACTCCAAGTCAAGAAAAATCAACAACAAATTGGGTATTCAAACATATTTTTGTGGAATTTGGTCGATTTCGATGCATTGGTCAAAATTATGAAAATTTTCCATAATTATTAACTTTACTTATATGATCTTAAAGGAAAAAAATTTCTACATCGAATTTTATTATGGATCACTGAATAAGTCAATCTTGTATAGATTATATTTATACCAAAAATTTCCATATCAACTTTGGGTACAAAAGACCAAAAATCTATATTTTTGAGATTAAATTTGATTTGGTAAAATTTTTCCCATAATTCAGGATTTTGGGTATAACATGTTAATAAAAGAAATGTTCTTCATCAAATTTCACTATTAGTTATCGAACAAAGCTAATTTGTATATTCAATACAATCCAAGTAATTTAAGAAACAAATTAAATATTTAACATATATTTTTGGTACATTTTGGACGATTTTGATACATTGACCCAAATTATGAAATTTTATCATAATCATTCATTTTAGGTATATAATGTTGAAGGAAGAAATATACTATATCGAATTTCACCATGAGTCTACAAAGAGAGAAAATTTGTATATGCAATACAATCCAGGAAATTTAGGAAATAAATTGGGCATTTAAATACAGACTTTTGTTGAATTTGGTCGATTTTGATAGATTGACCTAACTTCTGAAATTTTACCATAATCATTCATTTTAGGTATATAATGTTAAAGGAAGAAATATTATATATCAACTTTGACTACGAGTTTTCAAATAAAAAATGTATAGAGATAATATTTGTCCAAAAAGTATATGAATCAATCTTTGGGTATATTTAAAAAAAATCCTCATTATTTGAATAATTTTGATTTGGTACCATTATCCCCCATAATACTACATTTTGGGCATATTATGCTAAGGAAAGAAATATTCCACACCAAATTCTACTGTTAGTCACCAAAGAACGGAAATTCTGTATATACAATACCACCCAAGAAAATTAAGTAATAATCTGGGTGTTTAAATACAAACTTTTGTTGAAATTGAAATAATTGAAATAATTATTCACTTAAGTTATATGATATTAGAGGAAGAAATTTTCTACATCGAATTTTATTATGGATCACTGAATAAGTCAAACTTGTATAGATTATATTTATACCGAAAATTTCCATATCAACTTTGGGTACAAAAAAAACAAAAATCTATATTTTTAAGATTAAATTTGATTTGGTACAATTTTTCCCATAATTAAGCATTTTGGGTATAATATGCTAATAAAAGAAATGTTCTTCATCAAATTTCACTATTAGTTATCGAAGAAAGCTAATTTGTATATTCAATACAATTCAAGTAATTTAAGAAACAAATTGAATATTTAAAATATATTTTTGGTACATTTTGGACGATTTTGATACATTGACCCAAATTATGAAATTTTATCATAATCATTCATTTTAGGTATATGAGGTTAAAGGAAGAAATATGCTATATCGAATTTCACTATGAGTTTCCAAATAAATAAAATCTCTAAGGATTATATTTAATCAAAAAAAAAAAAAATATGTACATCAAATTTGGGTATATAAGCAAATATCCATATTTTTGGTACATTTTAATTTGGTACAGTTTTTGCCCATAATACCTCATTTTATGCATATCATGCTAAAGAAAGAAGTATTCCACACCAAAGTCTACTATAAGTCTCCAAAGAACGAAAATTTGTACATACAATACAATTCAAGAAAATTAAGAACTAATTTGGGTATTTAAATACAAACTTTTGTTGAATTTTGGTCGATTTTGATTCATTGGCCCAAATTCTGAAAATTTTCCATAATCATTCATTTTAGGTATGTGATGTTAAAGGAAGAAATATTCTACATCAAATTTCACCATGCGTCTCCAAAGAAATGAAATCTGTAGAGTTAATATTTATTCCAAAAATATCCGCATCAATTTTGGGTATTTCAAAAAAGTCTAATATTTTGGCTACCATTTTATCTTGTTAGACCACCTTTTAGTAAAATTGAATATTTAGCTTGAGGTCGTCGAACACGACAAATCTGTTTATATTTATGATATTTACAACTAGAATAACGATGCTAATTGGAAAAAATTTCGACTTTTTTATTGCTTTTTAATTAGTATTGGCAAACTGGATCACAATTTGTCATTTGTTTGTTGTGGGGTCAATGGAATAAATGCTTGAAATCTAATTTCATCATTGGTAACTGGATGTGGATTTAATAGATAAATATATAAAAAATACTGAAATAGTAAATAATAATTAATATTAAATGATATATATAAAAATTAATAATAATAAATATGTAATAAAAAATAAATAAAAATTATTAAAAAAATAATAATATGTAATAATATAAAAAAGGACTACATATTAAATAATAATAATTAAATAATAAATAATAATAATAATAATAATAATAATAATAATAATAATAATAATAATAATAATAATAATAATAATATAATAATAATAATAATAATAATAATAATATAATAATAATAATAATACATAATAATAATAATAATAATAATAATAATAATAATAATATAATAATAATAATAATAATAATAATAATAATAATAATAATAATAATAATAATAATAATAATAATAATAATCATAATAATAATAGTAATAATAATTATATAATAATAATATAATAATAATAATAATAATAATAATAATAATAATAATAATAATAATAATAATAATAATAATAATATAATAATAATAGTAATAATACTAATAATAATAATAATAATAATAATAATAATAATAATAATAATAATAATAATAATAATAATAATAATAATAATAATAATAATAATAATATAATAATAATAATAATAATAATAATAATAATAATAATAATAATAATAATAATAATAATAATAATAATAATAATAATAGAATAATAATAATAATAATAATAATAATAATAATAATAATAATAATAATAATAATAATAATAATAATAATAATAATAATAATAATAATATAATAATAATAATAATAATAATAATAATAATAATATAATAATAATAATAATAATAATAATAATAATAATAATAATAATAATAATAATAATAATAATAATAATAATAATAATAATAATAGAATAATATAATAATTAATATAATAATATAATAATATAATAATAATAATAATATAATAATAAATACATAAATAAACTGTGCTACAAAATAAAATGTTCTCAATAATTACAGAAAATGTTTAACAGACTATGAAAGTGAAGCTAACAAATAAAAAAGCTGTAAGTTCGGCCGGGCCGAACTTTCAATAGCCTCCACCATTTGGAACTAATTTGGCAATTCTCAAAAACAATAAAATCCCTTAAAAATTCTGTTAAAATCTTAAAAATATCGAATGTAGCCGTATATTAGGGTCTATGCGACGACGTGGATAGGCAACTTTTGTCATAAGCCATAGGTAACAATATTCAAATGCGAAACTTAAAAAAAAAATTGATGAATAATGTAGCTAAAATCATCAACATACCGATTATCGGGAGGTACCGTTATATGGGGTCTATACAGGGTGAGATAAAAACTGCAACAAAATCAAACGCCATAATTTTTACATTTCCATTTTCCTCCATACTATGGAGGGTATATTAACTTTGTCATTCCGTTTGTAACTCCTCGAAATACTTATGTCATACCCAACAAAGTTTAAATATTCTTGATCAGCGTAAAATTCTAAGTCGATTTAGCGATGTCCGTCTGTCTGTCCATCTGTCTGTATGTTGTAATTACGCTATCTTTCGAAGGAATTGAGATATTAGTATTTTTCCAGTAGGCAGGTTAAGTTTGTAAATGGGCCATGTAGGTCCACGTTTTCATATAGCCACCATATAACGGTACCTCCCGATATTCGGTATTTTGATAATTATATTGGCCAATATTCACCGGAATTGTTTCAAATTTGGTATTTGAAGTTCGAAATGGATACTACACCTTAAGACAGAAAATTGTTTGTGCAGGTCCAGGTCATCGTATAGGCCCCATATATCAGTACCTCCCTATATTCGGTATTTTGACGATTTTAGGTATAATACCCATCGAAATTGTTTGAGATGTGGTATATGAAGTTCGTAATGGATGCTACAGCCTGTGACAGAAAATTGTCTATGCAGGTTCATAGACACCAATATAACGGCAATACAGGGTTGCCCACATTCGACGTACCCATGTTTTTTTTCGGCCATTTCGATGACTCTTTGGACCCATTGCAATCGACGAGGCTTGTCCGCAGGGAACAAATGCAAATCAATGCGAATAATCCATTGTAAAGTGGACCGAGCCATGCCCAACTGCTGAGAACGGCGTTTTTCGGATGTTCTTGGGGACCTCTCAACACTGGCTCGTACGGCAGCGATATTCTCGGCCGATCGCCTTGGTCGACTTTTATATGGCCTCTTCGGATTAGAAAGAGCCTTACCAGTCGAAAATGGTCAAACGCGGTATTAAGCGATGTGACATCTCTGTCAAAAGTTATGGCGTTGCCACATGGGTCCGTCGAATATGGGCAACCCTGTATTTGGTATTTTTAAAATTCTAACAGAATTTTTTAAGAATTTTATTTTTTGAAAATGTCTAAATTCGTTCCAAATAGTGGAGGGTATTCAAAATTCGTCCCGACCGAACTTACTGCTTTGTAACTTGTTAATTTTATTGAATGAAAGCAAAAAATGTCGGAAATAGCATCAAATTTTAGAATAAGTCTAGATTTGTTCGAATTGGTCACCTTTGGCACGAATTATGGCCTTCAAACGACCAATGAAACCGTCACACGCTGCCCGAATGTTGCTCTGCGGTATTTTGGCCCATTCTATTTCCAAATCCAGCTCTTTATCACAAACCTACTACCAACTCCAATGGGGCTCCAATGTAATATTTCAAAATTCCAGCTTCATCCGTTCACCCCTTAACAAAACTGTTCCAAATTTAGTACAATTTAGTACATTTCGCCCACTAAGTACAAATTACCAAAACAACCTCCATATATGAAAATTACTCTTCAACCTTGATTCTCATACCAAATTGCAAGTTTTTAGCTCTATCACTTCACATAATACCCTATTGGTACCATTTTAGAAGTTTAGTACCGTGTTTTTTAAACTTTTCGTAACCTTAAAATTCGAATTTCCAAAAATCCCTTTAAATTTAAATCACCAAATATATATTTAAGAAATAAATTCCAAAAATAACAAAATCAAATCGAATCGTTTAACACAAAAACTTAGGCCGAATTAAATTTAGAGGCGCTCTCCTCTCGCCCCTCCAGCTTACAAATGTTTCTTGTATTTGCCGTAGTAGACATTATCGGGATCGTATTTGGCCTGCAGCTGTTTCCATTGCTCCGGCTTGTTATCAATCAAGAAATGGGCCACCTTATCGACAGCTTTCTTTTGTTTTTCACTGCATTTGCTGCACTCGGTTTGCAGGGCATCGGGTATTGCCTTCTTCAATTCCTGGCCCTCGGGGGAACAGCTACCCTTGTCCATGAGGCAATTCAAATAGTTGTTGAGCAAACGTTCCGATTTCAAAATGTTATCAACATCAATGTTGTCATATTTCGTTGTGTATTTATCGCCGGCTGAGGCGATAGCCAAAAGGAAGGCAGCAACAACAAAGGCAATGCAAAGGAATTTCATGTTGTCAAGCAAAAAAGTGCTAAAAAAGGATAAAGGGGAAATGTATTTTTAATTATTTTTTCTGCTTTTAAGGAAGTTCGTAATTAATGTGACTGTTTTTTGTAATTTCCACTCACGTTTTGTTGTTTTCTTTTCAAAATTGGAAATGTTGTTAAAACAAACAAACGAGACTAGTTGTAGAACAGTTTTCACACCTCCCATTTATATTCGAATTCTAGTGGCTTTCCTCCAAAAGCCAACCGCATTTCATTGTCATTTTGGAAACTTGATTTCGATGCAATTGCAAGTTCTGAAAAAAAAAATTGTAAATAATCCAGATTTGTGTTCATCATAGGTAGATAGGCCTTTAGGCCAGTGGTTTGTTATTTTCACCTTTAAAAAAAGCTATTAAAAAAGTTGAAATTAAAAAAAATTATGGAAATTTTCCAAAAAACATGGGCGTAGCTCAATTTAGAGAACCTTTTCTCAAAGTATATTTCCTGTTCTGCAATATTGAAAATGTTGTCCAATATTGTCTCCAAAATTGAAACTTTTTTAAGTCCTCCCCCCTTAGAAAAATTTTGAGGTTTCTCTCCCCTCCCCCCCCTTTTTCAAATAATTGTCCACCTCTCTGCTACAAACTGCATTAATTATGTTTAACTGCACATCATATGGCCAAACCAGATATATTTGTTAATAGTTTATTGATCTGTCAATCTCAGAGTAGCTCAAAGTAAGTTGAAATAATCCGATATTTTTGTTTAAGGTCAGCTTAGGAAATTTATCTATCGTACAATGACTTGAATGTTGGAAGAACAAATGAATATACGTTTGAATGTCAAGACTATAGAGATCTTTAGGGGGGGGGGTATTGTATTCATGATGGCAATTGCCAAAAGATCTGAAATATTTGCAATATTAAGGGTTTGTTCGAAAAAAAAGTGGGAACAACAGATAAGACGTTTACAAAACCTGGAGAAAAGTGTGAACAGCGCAGAGGTGGCAGATCCAACGAGTTAGGCGAATTAATATAACCTGTATTTTCTACAGGCTTATAGGGCGACGAGAGGTGCAGATAGAGCACTACATATAGTACGATCACTTCCTTATTATACCCTCCACCATATATAGTATGGTGGAGGGTTTGTAACTCATCGAAACAATAATTTTAGACATAACTAAGTAAATATATTCTTGATCAGTGTACGATTCTAAGACAATTTAGCCCTGTCCGACCGTTCGTCTGTTGTAATCACGCTAGAGTTAAGACGAATAAAGGTAGAAAGCTAAAATTTTGCACAGATCAGTATTTTGTCTGCAGGCAGGTCAAGTTCGAACATGGGCTATCGTATAGCCCCCATATAACGGTCCCCTCCGCTATTCCGTATTTTAATGATTGTAGCCAAATCTTTTAATGAAATTATCTAAAAATCCACAAAAGAAGTTCCTTCTAAGTACTTTACCCTCTGGAAGAGTATTGTCTATATAGGTCAACTGTGTCGTATATCCCCCAACGGTATCCCCTATATTCGGTATTTTGATGATTTCAGCTACATTTTTCAATGTAATTGTTTAAAAATCCGTACTAGAAGTTCTTTCTAAGCACTCTACCCCCTGAAAGAGAAGTGTCTATATAGGTCCACGATATGGTATAGCCCATATACATACGGTACCCCCGAAATTCCATATTTTGACGATTTTAGGGACATTATACACCGAAGTTGTTTCAAATTTCGTACTTAGAACTCGTAAGGGGTACTACAGCCTATGACAAAAATTGCTCACGTCTTCGTATAGCCCCCATGTAACGGTACCTCCCAATATCCGGTGTTTTGATGATTTTAGCGACATTATTCACCGGAGTTGTTTCAAATTTCGTATTAAGAGTTCGCATTGGGAACTACAATCAATGTCAGAAAATTGTCTATGCAGGTCCAGGTCTTCGCATAGGCCACATATATCAGTTCCCCCCTAATTTCGGTATTTTGAGATTTTAGGTACAATATTCGCCCCACATTTTTTGAAATGTCGTATCTTAAGTTCTTAATAGGTACTACAGCCAGTGACATAAAATTGTCTATGCAGGCCCAGGACTTCGTATAGCCCCAAATAATGGTACTTCCCTATATTCTACGTCTTCGGATAGACCTGAATATAACGGCTATATTCGGTATTTTTAAGATTTTAACCGAATTTTTAACGGATATAATTTTTATTTTTTTTATTTTCAAATTCGATCCGAATTGTGGAAGGTATTCAAAGTACGCCCCGCACGAACTTACTGTTTTTTACTAGTTTTTTTTTATTTATTTCGAAAGTAGAAATGCTTCAAAACGCTTGATTGCAACAAAATTTTTGTGCTGAAGTTACTATATGAACCGACCAAAGTCCCTTCGTTGGTCACGCCCATGATTTTTAATATCTGGCTAAAGAACAAGCGTGTCCTTTTCAATGACATCGTCTCCATTTCCGACAATTAAAAAGGCTAGCGAAGGTAACATGTGTTTGCAACGTTGGGCGCCAGTTTTACATGAATGTCAGGCCTGACTGAAAATTTATAAAATCTATGTTTAAAGGAAAGATATTTACTTTCTAAAATATAGAGAACAAAAATAAAAGGCTAGCCCAAGTAATACAATTAAACAACTCGTACATTTGAAAGCTTACATTGGGCGCCAGTGTCGCGAGAAATTCAAGCCTAATTAAATTGGTAACAAGTTAAAGAGTATAAGTCGGTTTTGCCGACAGATGTATACCCTCAGCCAATGTTCGATTATTTAAATATATTTTGATTTCTGTTATGATTATTACTCTTTTTGGGTGTGGTTCCACAAGGGTTTCGCAGATATATAGCAACTGCACAACATATCTTGTATTAGCAGAACTGATTGTATGTGGAAATTTTGAAGAGAGTTAGATGCTTATTTCGCTTTCTTTGAGCGTTTTCGGTTATTCAAAATTTTGACAATCGGTGGTGGAGGTGTCAGAAAGAATGGTCCGATTTCTACCATCTTTATAACAGATCTTGTGTTGATGGGAATATTGAGGTGTAAAAAGGCAGAATGGAATCGGATGTTAATTTCGCGTTTTGGAAGCGTCATGGGGATTCAAAATTGTAACCCTTTGTGGGGGAGGTACCACAAGGAGTAGGTCGATATATTTCATCTTCACACCAGACCTTGGGATGTGTGTAGTTTGAAGACAATCGGACTCTTCAGATTTTATAAGAGTTATAATTATTCAAAATTTTGACGCTTTGTGGGAAAGGCCATCGAGTGCCTCAGAGTAGACCAATACTATCCATTTTGGCACGAGTCCTAGAACTGACGCAAATATTAGAATATGCAAAATTAGAAAAAAATTAGATTATTGCTTCCCTTTCTGTGCAGAAAATATTTTTCTTTTTTTGCAAATTTCGACCATTTGTGGGGGAGGTACCAGAAGGAGAGGGCCGATTTTGCCCATTCTAACACCAGACCTTGGGTTAATATAAATATTGGGATGTGTGAAATTTGAAGACAATCGGACTCTTATATCACATTTTATGAGAGTTGTAATTATTCAAAATGTTCACCATTTGTGGGGGAGGTACTTGATGGAGTGGGCCGATATTGTCCATTTTCACTCCTGACCTAGCACTGACGCAAATATTAGGATTTGCAAAGTTGGAGCAAAATCGGATTATTCTTTCTCTTTCTGTGCAAAAAATATATTTTTTGGTCATATCAAATGATATATACCCTCTGTAGCCATAAAAATTAATATTTCCATTGAAGGTGATAAAATATCTTCTCAAAACTTCCAACATTTAGATTAAAAAAATCCTAATATTCGACGTTTGTAACCCTTAAAAATTTTGTTGTAAAAGCCTTAAATATTATTGTTCGAAGGACTTAAAAAATTGTTAAAAAAAATCCACGCCTAAGGGCCTTTGAAATCGGGTTATGAGACCTATGAGAATTTTTTTGAAAAATAAAAATATATAAAATTGTTGAACAGAAATAAAACATTGTTTCGATATTTTTTACTTTGTAAAAAAATGTATGGCCTTTATTTATAACTTTTTTGGTTTTGTTGCATTTTTTATAAAAACTTAGCATATTCTAAAAAAACGGTATAAAAAACGAGTACTTGGAACGAATGGCATTATAACTACGAAGAAAAAACGCACGGGACTATGTTTTGTAATAACAGTAATTAATTGCGATGATGATACAGATTCTGTTAATTTTGTGGTTTTGTTGTTGTTGTTTTTAATTTTTTTGTAATTTTTCTTTTCTCTATAATTTCTGAATGTTTTGAGAAACTGCCTCCCATTTACAAAGGAAGGAAGGTGAAAACAGACAATGATGTGGCATTTTTGTTTCCATTGTAATATTTGGGAGGGGGAGGGGGGACAGGGGTTTTGGTTTGGGGGAAAATTTCATAATATATAAAATTCATGTCTCTCCGTCTATATTCTATGGCTATTTTGATGATCATCTAATGCTACTACAAACTAATGTTTTTTTTTTTATTCTTTCGACAACTACTAAACTTAAATGCGAATGGGGATTTTTTTTGGTATTTTGTTGCTGTTGTGACGTCTCTTTCCACCACATCACGCCTGTTGTTGTTGCAGCTGAGATAAACTTGCCGTTGTCAGATCAACATTCTGTAGGGCACGCAACTCAGCCGAGAGTATTTTCTCATTTTTCATTTGGTACTCTTCGCGTCGCTTGGCCAGATAATAGAAACCGGCCACAATTAGACTAAACGAGACAATGCTCATCAAAAGGGTGCCATATTTGAGGCTGTATTCGATGAGATTTAGGCCAAAGGTACTGGCATACAGGGTGTCGAGAATTTCGGGTGTAAAATCACCCGAAGTGATTTCAATCCAGATCAAGGGCAGTATGGTGCCATCCTCGAGGCGTTTCACTTTGTCTGGAAAAAAGTTTGGGGAGAGAGAGAAGAAAAGAAAAAATAATTAATAATTGATTTGAAATGAAATGAAATGAAATGAAATGAAAGAAAAAGTTATGTAATTTCACTACTGTCTGGAGATTGATGAGTTAGCATTTTTTTTTTAAATTTTTACTTGAGGGTATTTTTTTCAAGTTAAATACAGATTTGATTTGTGATAGACTGTCAATGGAGGTTTTGTCATGATATCAGAAAATGAACTTAAAAAAATTCAAAATATAGAGAAAAAGCAAACTGTAAAACTCAAACGCTTTTGAGACACCCGAATGGAAGAAAAAACTCCAAGATATATTTTTATACCCTCCACCATACATAGTATGGAGGGTATATTAAGTTCGTCATTCCGTATGTAACTTATCGAACTAATATTTTTAGACCGTACAAAGTATATATATTCTTGATCAGCGTAGAATTCTAAGACGATGTAGCCCTGTCCGTCGGTCCGACTGTCCGTTCGTCCGTCTATTGTAAACACGCTAGAGACAAAACGAATAAAGATAGGAAGTTAAAGTTTTGAACAAATCCGTCTTTTGTCTGCACGCAGGTCAAGTTCGAAGATGGGCTATAACGGTCCACGATATCGTATGGGACCCCATATAACGGTACCTTCCCGATATTCGGTATTTTGATGATTGTAGCCAAATTTTTCAATGGAATTGTCTGAAAATCCACCAAAGGAGTTACTTCTGAGTACTTAACCCCCTGGAAGAGAATTATCTATATAGGTCCGCGATATCGTATAGCCCCCATACCCCTGCACCACCCTATATTCGGTATTTTCATGATTTTAGCCACATTTTCCAATGGAATTGTCTGAAATTCTACACAAGGAATTCTTTGTGGGTACTTTAACCCCTGGAAGAAAAATGTCTTTATAGGTCCACGATATCGTATAGCCCACATATAACGGTACTCCCCGATATTCGGTATATTGATGATTTTCGTGACATTATTCACCGGAGTTGTTTTAAATTTCATATTTAGAGTTCGCAATGGGAACTACAGTCTATGACAGAAAATTGTCTATGCTGGTCCAGGTCTTCGTATAGCCTCCATATATCAGTACCTCCCTATATTCGGTATCTTAGGTACAATAATCACCGGAATTGTTTGAAATTTCGTATTTAAAGTTCCTAATAGGCACCACAGCCTGTGGCAAAAAATTGTCTATGCAGATCCAGGTCTTCGTATAGCCCCCATATATCAGTACCTCCCTATATTCGGTATTTTTGCGATTTTAGGGACAATATTCACCGAAAATTTCGTATTTAAGGTTTCTATCAGGTACTACAGCCTGTGTCAGAAAATTATCTATACAGGTCAAGGTCTTCGTATAGCCTCCATATATCATTACCTCCCTATATTCGGTATTTTGACGATCTTAGGTATAATATTCGCCAAAATTGTTTGAAATTTCGTATTTAAAGTTCCTATCAGGTACTACAGCCGGTGTCAGAAAATTGTCTATACAGGTCCAGGTCTTCGTATAGCCCGGATATAGCGGTACCTCTCTATATTCGGTATTTTGATGATTTTAGGGACATTATTCACCGGAGTTGTTTTAAATTTCGTTTTTAGAGTTCGTAATGGGAACTACAGTCTATGTTAGAAAATTATCTATGCATGTCCAGGTCTTGGTATAGGCCCCATATATCAGTACCTCCCTATATTCAGTATTTTGACGATTTTACGTACAATATTCGCCGAAATTGTTTGAAATGTCCAATTTGATGTTCCTAATAGGCACCACAGCCTGTCGCAAAAAATTGTCTACGCAGATCCTGGTCTTCGTATAGACCCGATATAACGGCACCTCCCATTATACGGTATTTTGACGATTTTATAGCCCCGATATAACGAAGCTTCCCAATATTCGGTATTTAAATGATTTTAGCTATAGGTTTCCTTTTTAAGTTTCGTAATTGAATATCGTAATGGCTTATGACAAAAGTTGCCTATGCAGATCCCCCTCTTCATATAGACCCCAATATAACGGCTATATTCGGTATTTTAAAAATTTTAACGGATTTTATTATTTTTTTTTTTTTTTTTTTTGGAAAATTTCTTGGAGGGTATTTATAGTTCGGCCTGGCTTTTTTACTGTTTTTTTATATTTTTCCTCATTATTTTTGAAATCAGTTATAAAGGCGAAAGTCCGGATGTTCTCTTCAAAACATAATCCAAACTGTTCAGTATTTCAATTTCGTGGCTAAGTGGTTAATATTCCTTAAACGTTTCTTCTAATCAATGCTTTGAACATTTTTTGTTTTTGTTTTTACTTTTTTTTTCTAACAAAATTGGCAGAAGTCGAGCTCCTTCAGAAAAAAGTTGCAACCAACTGATAGCTTTACCTTAGCTTTATATTGTACCAAAATGGATAAAAATAAAAACACCGACTTTTTATCGTCAATAAATCCCTGGTATCATTCACCTTACTTTATTTCAAATTCAAACATCATTTATTGTTCAACTATTTTTAGCCTTAAATCAATGAATATTTACATTTTATTTCCATAGCAAAACTATCAAAAATCCATTCAAAAAAATTTGCATACAACAAGACACAGTGGCACCAGAAAGCGCAAAAACATAAAAAATGATTTTCGAAAAAGCAGACATTGAATTAAAAGCATGTTTACAAAAAAAAAAAAATAAATCCAGCGGTTTCCAACTATCAATTCCATTGCCTAATTGTCTAATTTAAAATCCAGCGTATTTTTCTCTTGCTACGTATATTATATTTCAATAAAATCCTACAAATCATTTGCTAAAGTCAAAAAATCTAGTTAATCAAAAGGTGAGTCTAGTTCCGCTGCTCATTCTCTGCGAATTGTTGATTTGAAGCTATTCTTTGAATGAAATTGTAACTTAAAACCTGTTTACATATATAATAAATTTAGTGAATTGCAATTAAAAATTCCATTACCATAATGTCCAATGTAAAATCCAGCAGATCCTTTTTTTAACGAATATCTTAAAATCAAGCCCTAAATTTGTTTACCTTTACCTAAACTAGTTCATTTGTTTACTCATTATTGAACTCCAAACAAAAAAAAATTAAGCAAAAGGTGATGCTAGTTCCGCTGCTCATCCGCAGTGAATCGTTGAAGGCTAATATATTTCGCGTTTTTCAACAATTTTTACAAATTTAAATCATTTTTCATTCAACATTTTCAATTCCAAAATTGGTTTGACAGTTCATTGTGTCAGCAGCTGTGTCGACGCGTCTACCTATATTCTTCTACCATGAATTAAATTAACTTAAAGCCTGTTTACATATAAATAATCCAGTGGGTTCCAACTGTTGCCCAAATGTCAAAATTGAAATGCAGCGATTTTTTTTCTTTTTTACGAATATCTTATAATAAAATCGTACATTTTTTTAAGGTAAAGGTGATGCTAGTTCCGATGCTCATTTTCAGTGAATCATTGAATTTTATCTATACTTTAAATTAAAACGAAACTTTAAGCCTGCTTACGAATTGTCAAAACACTGATTGTGAATGATCTGGTGCAAAACCTTATATTTGCGTCATGGGTCATACGATAATATCAGTTTATCTTCTCCGTATTGTCATAATACATTGTAAATTAAACGTAAACAAAATTTTGACAGTAGTCCAGTCAGTGTTCGTTTCAATGTTAGTTTTGTTTGTTGACACTTGAACTTAACTCACTCAGTTAAATTCAAGACCCATTAAAAGAGTCGTATAAATTAATCTTCATACTCTTAAAAAAATGTTTAAAATGTCAGGAAATCAGTTAATATTATCTGACCTAATAGATTGGCAAAATCAAAAATCTCCGGTTACCAATCCGTTGGACTATTGTGTCTGGAGTATTTTGGAAAGCAAGGTAGGCCCTAAAAAATACCAAAGTATCAAGCGCAAGCATGCGCTTCGCCTGGAATGGGCCAAAATACTACAAAGCAACATTCGGGCAGCGTATGACGGTTTCATTGACCGTTTAAAGGCCATAATTCGTGCCAAAGGTGACCAATTTGAACAAAACTAAACTTTTTCTACAGTTCTTCCTTAAATATGAGCGTGCAGCTTTAAAAAATGCCACTCGTCATGTGTGAATATTTCCGATATGAAAATAAATTTTTTTTGAAAATTTATATGGCCGAGTTTCTTAGAAAAGGGTTATTAAATTCAATATAGCAAACGAGTCTACCTCTATTGTTTTGCCATGTATCACCGGAATCCCAATGAAGACGTGTAAAGTTCCCCGAAAAGAAAAGTGTGTATTTCAGAAAGGGTTTCGACGAAGAAATGTACTTTAGCTCATTCAATTTCCTTCGTTACCATAACTTTCTTTTATTATCTTTGAGCTCTTCCCGTCTAAATAAAGTAAATAATCATTACTCATTTTATTTTTGAATATCGCTTTATAATCCACAGAACAAATCAATTTTTTTTTTCTAAACTACATTTAACTTTATATCTAAAATTTAATTCCGCCAAATTATCTGTAAGTTGTTCAAATTTTTTTTATTCATTTAATGAACTAACAGGAAATAGTTGAGGGAATGAAACAATGGTACTAGTTCACTTGTTTCTTGAGGTGAACCGTTTAATTGAAGTAAATCCTTGAATTAAGCCTTGTGTCAGACACGCATGTACTTCATGAGGCATTTTTTTAGTGTTTTTATTAAAAATCTACATTTGCCAGGTTTTTCCCATAATATATGGCTCAAATAAAAGATAATTCAGGCGAACGTTTACATGTACAAATAAAACTCGTTATTTTAACTGCCAATTCCGTTGAATACATGGTAGATGCAACACCACTTGTAATCATTGAAATATTAAAAAATGTCTGTAAAATTAATTGATTTGTTCATATTTAAGTAATTTTAATACTTTTTCATTTAAACATGAAACATTTTTGACAGTTAAATGTACCACCCACTGTATCGATGCGACTATCTGTATTATTTGATCATGGTTGAATATATGACGCATTATTGGAAAACATATGTTTTGATGGCAGTAAATCATGCATTTTCATGAACTCTTGAAGGGAAAAATGATTAATGCGTTTCATTCTAGGCATTCATTTTATCTCCATTGGGCATGTAGGTACTGATGGGAAAATAATAAATCAGAAATTAAACCTTCGAATTGACGCAAATATGACGGACACTGTCATTATTTCCCTTCCCGTGCCACCTCACAAATACAAACTAACATATATTTAAATATCTACTCAGTATCTCCTATTTACACGGATCTTCAATGCATTACTTGGAGACTTTTTGAAAATTGTAAACTTTGCCGATTTAACATGCTTTAAACGAATGTCGAACTGAAAACAAACAATTCATGCAATATTCCGCTTACACCTCTTGTTTTTAGATATTCAATGGAAAAGTAAATAATTCAGTTCACACATCTAAACACACAAAAACAAGAGAGTGATAATCTTCCTCTTACTCACCCCTCACCAGTTCGCCCTTGTGCAAAGCCAGATTAATTTGTATCCGCGATGCACCGCTAATGGGAAATGCAAAACGTGGATGGACATCAGCATAGGTTTGATGTAGCTCCTGTTTCGGTTCGATACCCTCGAAATCTTTATAAATTATGGGATCGCCCGAAAAGAAGTGGGGAAATGAGGGATAAATGGGAGCATCATCGTAACATTTGGTGGCATTTATGACACCGCTGGGCATGCATCGTTTGGTATTCTGACAATAGCAGGTGTTGTTGGGATTGTCTTCGGGATTGCCAAACACATTTAGGGGGGTGCGATAACGCAGGGCGTCGATGTTATCGTAAATTGTTACCTCCTTTTCAAAATGCAGGGGGATTTTACGGCACAGCACCTGTAGGAAAACACTCAACGGTTCCCGGGTCTCCACCACATGGGGTGGGAACATGGAGGGATCTGAACCATCAATACGATTGCACTCTTCATCGGTCCAAAAGTCAAGCAGGGGTTTGCCATTGAATTGGGTGATTTTGCTAAATTTCCTGATGTCATCTTCGCCCGTGTAGATTTGCAGGGAATCCACACTGGTGCCCTTGCGCTGTGAGAGAATAAAAGGAGGTTACACATCGTTTTTCTTAAATCTTCTCCGTAAATCGACTTACATTTTTCAACAGCCCAAAATAGGAATTTCCCCTTGAGAAGGTATTCTTCACCGCCAATATGGGATCTCTGTAGCCCCACAGATAATCCTTGATCTTGAGTGTATAGAAGGCATGGCGTCCTGCATTTCGTACCGTCGTCATACTTATACTTCGCGTAAATGGATTGCTGATCTTATCGATTTCTTGTGAAGCAGCCAAGAATGGAACATTTGGCACAACAACTGAGAGGTTTTCGTCGTGAGAGGATCGATCACGTAGGAATTGATAGGTACGATGATCCTGAAATCAAAGGAAGAAAAAAATTAAAAATTATTTGTTTTCCTTTTTTGGAAAATCATACATTTTTATAACCTCGCCATATGGCTAGAGAGGGTATATATCATTTGATACGGCCAAAAAGTGGCTCATCGATATAAGGGTTTTAGACACTATGTCTCTTTGGACCAAATCCGTTTCAGGACATATAGAGTCGATGTAGCGATATCCGTCCGTCTGTCTGCTGCGATAACTCTCGAAGGCAGTATCCGATTTAGTCCAAACTTGGTACATCGTAATAATATTATCAAACTTAGATCGAGTTCGGAGATGGACAATATCGGTCCACTCCTTCGGGTACCTCCCCCACAAAATGACAACATTTTCAAAGAAAATAATTTGCTGCACAGAAAGAGAAAGGATACTCCAATTTTGCTCCAACTTTGCAAATCTAAATATTTGTATCACTGCTAGGTCAGGTGCGAATATGGACAATATCGGTCAACTCCATCTAGTACCTCCCCCACAGAGGGTCAAAATTTTAAATAATTTTTACTCTTAAAAAATGTGATATAAGAGTCCGATTGTCTTCAGGTAACACACATCGCAATATGTTTATTAACCCTAGACCTGGTGTAAAGAGATGGACAATATCGGCCCAATCTCTCTGGTACCTCCTCCTCAAAGGGTAATTTTTTTAAAATTCATGAAGCTCATAAAAGGCGAAAATAACATCCGATTCCATTCAGACTCGGCACATCTCAATATTTTCATCAACACAAGATCTGCCATAAAGATGGTAGAGATAGGACCATTCCTTCTGGTACCTCCCCCACAAAGGGTCAACATTTTGAATGACTAAAACAATCAGAAAATCCGAAATAAGCATTCGGTTCTCTTCAAATTACACCCATCACAATATTTTTATTTACCCAAGGTCTGGTGTAAGGATAGGGTATATTGCTCCACCCCTTCCGGTACCTCCCCCACAAAGGGTCAAAATTTTTAAATAACCAAAACGATCATAAAATCCGAAATAAGCATCCCGTTCTTTTCAAATTACACACATCACAATATTTTTATAAAACTAAGGTCTGGTGTGAAGATGGCATATATCGGTCCAGTCCTTCTGGTACCTCCCCCACAAAGGGTCAAATTTTAAATATTCATGAAGCTCATAAAACATCCGATTCCATTCAGACTTGGAATATCTCAATATTTCCATCAACACAAGATATGTTATAGAGATGGCAGAGATCGGATCATTTCTTCTGGTACCTCCCCCACAGAGGCTCAAAGTTTTGAATATCAAAAACGATCACAAAAACCCAAAATAAGCATCCCGTTATTTTCAAATTACACACATCGCAATATTTTTATTAACCCAAGGTCTGGTGTGAAGATGGAATATATCGGTCCACTCATTCCGGTACCTCCCCCACAAAGGGTCAAAATTTTGAATATTCATGAAGCTAATAAAACACGAAATTAACATTCGATTCCATTTAGACTTTGCACATCTCATTATTTCCATCAATACCAGATCTGTCATAAAGATTGTAGATATCGGACCATTCCTTCTGATACCTCCCACACAAAATTTTGGATGTATTTTTTAATTTTATTTAACATCTAAAGGAACACTGGCAACCTAAATTAAATGCGTTATACTGCTATTAAAGCATTGTTGGGAAAATTAAAGCACACTTCTAGGCGTTTCCCACAAATTGTCTTTTTGGGTTAATCCCATGATGTTCGATGGTTTTAAATCAAAAATAAATACTAAATAACCACTATTAATGAAATATAACAAACCAAGATGTCCCTTAACTTATCTCCAGGACAGTTTACATTCAAATGGAATATAAAAATGATGAGGATGATGAAAGAATTTGCTATGATATCCTCTATATGCCTTCGGACTATATCTAGCATGCATTTTTTTGCATCAAAATCATATTGATTTTGTATCATACTTACACGGAATGTCACAGTATAATTATCATTATGGACCACATTGACTTTTGTCGTATGCTCCTTGTATATCAGCGGGCCAATGTCCTCAACTTTGATTTTATCGGCCTTATATTCGAGATAATCCTTTATGTTTGTATAATTGAAAATGTGTACTTTAAGGAAGGTGTCATATTTTGGATTTGGATCTATCCATGATTTTGTGGTCTCGGAGTCTTTGGATAAGATTAGATTCTGTAGAAAAAAGAGAAGAAGATTATCAATGAAGTCAGGAATTTAAAAATTTGTGTAGGGCTACTCACCTCCAGCATTTTATTGTTGTAATACTGTGTAAACCACATAACAAATAAGCCGGTCAGGCTCATAATAAACAAGAGAGCCATGCCGCCAAGTACTGAAATGGCATAAAAATTTGGAGAGGTGTTGAGAAATTAAAAAAATAAAAGAGTAAGAAAAATATGAATTACAAAATTAATGGGTTTAGATTCCAGAGGAATATACAGGGTAAGATGAAAAAACTGCAACCAACTTCAGACTGATGTCATTTCTAAGCCACTCGTCCGACAGCTGTTAAAATTATTCCAGTGACATCTCATTAAATTGTTTACTGGCGTATAAAAGCATTTTGATGGGAATTTTCCAGAAAAAAAGTTAGTCGTGATGGAATTCAAGCGTGATAGTGTGATTTCTTTATATTTGGCTGGAAAACCAAAAGTGGCTATCGTTAGAGCACTTCAGCATTTCAATGTGAATAAATGTTTTGTGTCTCGTACCAACGCTCGTAACCTGATAGATGATACTGGTAGAGTAGCCCGACGGAAGGGAGTGGACGAAAGACGGTAGAAAATCGCAACATCAGCAGAAATGGTTTGAAAAGTAAAGAAGCGACTTGATCGAAACCCGCGTCGCAGTGCGCTGAACATATCGCAATATTCCATTCGGCAAATATTGAAGCCATTGAGGCCATTGAAATTCAAAAAAATGCAAGAACTTACACCGCGACAGAAAGAAAATAGACTCAAAAGAGCTAAAGAGTTGCTTCGCTTAGCCGAACGAAAGTGGTGAACTGCCGAATTTGGTTTTCTCCGATGAGAAAACATCCGTTGTCCTGCAGTTTGTAAACAAACAAAATGATCGTGTTTACTTGCCAAAGAGATCAGCTGAAAATGTGCACCTTCGGTTGGCCAACAGCACTCAAGCCTCAAACCGGCCATGGTGATGGTGTGGACAGCCATAACAGGCGATGGTCGCTCTCCGCCTATATTAATTGACCGTGGCATCAGAATTAATGCCGAATATTATGGCGAAAATATTCTGGAGGGTGTATTAAAGACCTTGGACATTCCAACAGGACTCAGCACCATCGCACTCAGTACGCGCCACCCATGAATGGTTACAAAATGAGGTTCCTCGCTTCATTCCCAGCGCACAATGGCCACCAAAATCCAATCCGTTGGACTTGGAAAACAAGGTTGGCACTAAAAAATACCAAAGTATCGATCAAGCAAGCGCTTGCGTCGGGAATGGGCCAAATACCGCACATCAACATTCGGGCAGCGTGTGAAGGTTTGATTAGCCGTTTGAAGGCCGTGATTCGTGCAAAAGGTGACCAATTCGAACAAATCTTAACTTATTCTAAAATTTGATGCTATTTCCGACATTTTTATACCTTTCACCATGATATGGAGGGTATATTAAGTTTGTCATTCCGTTTGTAACACCTCGAAATATACATTTTAGACCCCACAAAGTATATATATATTCTTGATCAGCATAAAATTCTATGTCGATGTCCATCCATCTGTGGAAATCACTCTAGCTTCCGAACAAATTGAAGTCGATTGATAAAATTTTACTCAAATGTATATATTTGGTATTTGATGTTCGTAATGGATGCTACAGCCTAAGACAGGAGATTATCTGTGCAGGTCCACGTCTTCTTATAACCGCCATATAACGGTACCTCCCGATATTCGGTATTTTGATTAAATTCACCGTTTTTTTCAAGTTTCGCATTTGAATATTGTAATGGCTTGTGACAAAAGTTGGCTATTCAGGTCCATGTCGTCGTATAGACCCTAATATAACAGCTACATTCGGTATTTTTAAGATGTTAACAGAACTTCTAATGGATTTTATTGTTTTTGAGAATTGCCAACGTCGTTCCAAATGGTGGAGGGTATTCCAAGTTCGGCCCGGCCGAACCTCCGGTTTTTTACTTGTTTGCTTTCATTTAATAAAATTAAAAAAAAAACGTAAAAATTATGGCGTTTGACTTTGTTGCAGGTTTTTTTTATCTCACCCTGTATACATGGAACTGTGTTCTGTCATTTGTGTTGAAACTCCTAACCTGTAAATTTTCCAAGTCCCAACGGCGAGCAAACATTTCCTAGGTCATGAATCACAATTGAGTCCAGTTGTTGATAAAAATGTTTAAATTATTTTCATTTATGGAATTGATGTTCTCTCTCTCTCTCTTTCTCGCATAGCAACAGAGGTCAGAATTGTAAAATGCATGTGTATGGGTGTGTAGTTTTATTACCTACCGATTACAAGAACTGAGTCAGACTTTAAACGATAGTGGGAAAATGTCAACCAAAACCGGACTTTTTAGATATCTTTTGGCCTACATATATATGTATATCAGTGTATATTTAATATATAATGTATATTTAATAGGGTGTAACGGGAAAAATCTGTAATAACTAGGAAATGGAAAATCTTCAATCAGTCCTTCTGAATAGAAAATCTAGCCGAATCTCCTCGTCTTCATATAAAAATGTTAATTCGATCTGGCTCTATTATGATCTATACATAAAATATTTAATATTTTTTCCATTACATCCTAATACACATACATTTTCAGCCTTTGTTTATACGCCAACAACATTGTGTTATCTCATATATATTTTGTTGTTGTTGTTTTTGTATGCTTGCCATAATTTTCTTATTTTTTATCGAATTGTTTATTTCATTGTTTCAATAATTTTGCAATGCATTCGGCCACAGCTTTTGTCTAGCTGGATATGCATGGACAGACAATAGACGTGGTTCTAATGGATAATTAAATGACTCAATTACCTGGGCACTTAGTTTGCCATTATTTTATGTCCTCTTGGTCCAGGGATGGGAGTTTTTTACATTTCCAAAATTCACAAATTGTTCTGTTTGACAAAATTTTTATACCCTCAGCCATATGGCTACAGAGGGTATGTATCATTTGATACGGCCAAAACGTGCCTAGTCGAAATAACGGTTTTAGACCCTAGGTCTCTTTGGACCAAATCCGTTTCAGAACATTTGGGGTCGATCTAGCGATGTCCGTCCGTCCGTCTGTCAGTCTGGCTGGTGCACACGATAACTCTCGAAGGGAGTATCCGATTTGGTCCAAATTGGCGACAACGTAATATTTTTGTCAAACTTAGATCGAGTTCGGAGATGGGCAATATCGGTCCACTCCTTCTGGTACCTCCCCCACAAATGGTCAAAATTTTGAATAATTACAACTCTCATAAAATGTTATGTAAGAGTCCGATTGTCTTGAAATTTCACACATCCCAATATTTATATTAACCCAAGGTCTGGTGTTAAGATGAACAATATCGGCCCACTCCTTCTGGTACCTCCCCCACAAAAGGTCGAAATTTTCAAAAAAAAAATTTTTTTGCACAGAAAGAGAAAGGCTAATCCGAATTTGCTCCGACTTTGCGAATCCTAATATTTGCGTCGGTGCTAGGACAGGTGTGAAAATGGACAATATCGGTCCACTCCATCAAGTACCTCCCCCACAAAATATTGAAATTTTGAGTACCCATGAAGCTCATAAATCGCCAAATTAACATCCGATTCAATTTAGACTTGGCACATCTGTCGAAATATTTATATCATATTTTGGGTCCGATAGGAAATGGGCAATATTGGTCCATTCCTTCGGGATCTGCTCCATAGAGGGTCAAACGTTTGAATAACCTTAACACTAGTCGAAATATATTTAGATAATCGAACATAGGCTGAGGGTATATCTCTGGCGGCAATACCGACTGATACTTTTTAACTTGTTTAATCAAAACTTCATACATCGCAATAAATTTTCAGACTTTCAAAGTTGGTGTAAATGATAAAAAATTGCCTTTCGCGAAGAATAATAGGAAAATGTTTAGCTTTTAAATCAAAATCTTAAATTTAATTTAAATTTAAATCTTTAATTTTAAAGAGGATATTAGTAAAACCATTGCGCAATAGACCCTCATACAATTTTTTTTTCATCAAAACTATTTCAACATCTCCATATATACGTCCTAGACACCAACAGTGACCTCAATATCAAATTTCAGAATTTCAGCTCTATTCCTCCACCTAATATCAAATTTAGTAATATTTTGTACGCATATCCAAAACAATATACAGCTCTGCATCCCATACACCAAACGCGATACAAAATTAGTACCATTTAGTACTTTTCGAACCATTACAGAACGCATTTGCAATACCACCACCAGATCTCAACACCAGAGACCTCAATAACAAATTTCAGAACTCCAGATCCATAAATTCATTCAATAGCAAATTTTGTAACATTTTCTCCATCTATTAACCACAGACACCAAGAGAGGAATATATATGAAATTTAAGGATTTTAGCTCTATTCCTTCAACCAAAACAAAATTTAGTATTTTTCGTACAATTGTAGAACACATTTCAAAAAAAAAAAACACCTCCATATCTTAATCACAGACACCAACAGTGACATCCAAATCAAATTTCAGAATTCTAACTCTATTCCTTTACCCAATGCCAAATTAAGTACCTTCTAGTACTTTTTCGAACAATTATGGTACACGTTTCCATATTACCTCCACATCTCAATTCCAGATACCAACAGAGACCGCTATCTCAAATCTCGGGATTTCAGCTCTATCTCTTTACCCAATACCTAAATTAAGTATCATTTAGTACTTTTCTTACAAATATAGGACGCATTGGTACTTTTCGAACAATTATAATAACATAATAATAACAATAATAACAATTATAATAAGCATTTCCAAAACCACCACCGTATCTTAACCACAGACACCAACAATGACATCTATATCAAATTTCGGGATTTCACCTGTATTACTTCACCCAAAACCAAATTGAGTACTTTTCGTACAACTATAGTACACATTTCCAAAATCACCTCCATATCTCAATTCCAGATACCAGCAGTGACCCCAATATCAAATTTCGGGATTCCAGCCCTATCTCTTCGCCCGATACCAAATTAGGTACCATTTAGTACTTTTCGTACAAATATAGGACGCATAATTTCTAATTTCAATAATATCTAATTTCAGAAAATTTTCTCTACCCCTTCACCCAATACCAAATTTAGTAACATTCAGTAATTTTTATACAAATATAGTACACATTTACGAAACCACCTCCATATGTCCAGGCTACACATAAACTGCGACCCCTACACCAAATTTTAGATTTCAAACACTGTATATTCACCCAATACCAAATTGTACCGAATATAGTACCATTTTGTACTTTTCGTACAAATATGGAAGGCATATCCAAACTCACCGCCAAATCTCAAACACAGATAGCATCAGTAATCCAAATTTCAAAGTTCAGAATGTTATCCCTCTACCTTCACGCAATATCAAATATAGTACCATTCAGTACTTTTGGTACATTTATAGTACACATTTTCGAAACCATCTCCATATGTCCGGGCTATACATCAACAGCGACCTTAATACCAAATTTCAGATATTAAGCACTATCTATTCACACAATACCAAATTGTACCAAATTAGAACATTTCGTACAAATATAGGACTCATAACGAAATTACCGCCAAATCGCAAGCACAGACACCATCAGTCATCAAAATATCAAATTTCAGAATTTTATCGGAATCCTTTCAAAAAATACCAAATATAGTACTATTACGCACATTTTGTACAATTAAAGTACAATTTCCGAAACCACTTCCATAGTCCAGGTCATACGTGAACAGCAACCTTAAAACCAATTTTCAGATTTCAAGCTCTATTTTTTCACCTAATACGAAATTGTACCATATATAGTACGATTTAGTACTTTTCGTGCACTTGTTGTACATTATTCCAAGACCACCTCTTTATCACAAACCCATTACCATTACCATTAGAGACCCCAATACAAAATTTCAAAATTCCAGCTTCGTCCGTTCACCCTTGACCAAACTTTTTCAAATTTAGTACCATTTAGTACAGTTCGCACACTTTGTACTCGTTTCGAAAATCACCTCCATATACCAAAATTACTTTCCAAACTTGAATCTCATACCAAATTTCAAATTGTTAGTTCTATCCATTCACATAAAACCAAATGGTACAATTTGTTTAAGTTTGGTACCATTTTAGGACTTTTCATAACCTTAAAGATCGAATTTCCAAAAAAACCTTTGGTGCGTCTATCCTGTCCTCCATCGTTGATTCTCTTTCCAAATTTTAAATTCCAGCACAAATTCCGTTTGTCTTATTAAAAGTATTCAGTGTTTAGTACATTTAAGTACTTTTCGTAACCTTATAGTTCGAATTTCCAAAAACACAACCTTATCACACACCTACGCACCAAGACTAAAGGTGACAATACACAAAACGCTTTTTTGGCTGGCTTAAGTCATCGGCTTGCTTCTTCGGAAAGAAAAAAGGAACGTAGGGCCAAAATCGAACTAAGTGCAACTAAAACTTCCTTGTTCCTATACGAAGAAGCCAGCAGATGACAGTCGAAGCCAGTCAAAAACAAGTTAAAAAGTAGTAAGTTCGACCAGGCCGAACTTTGAATAACCTCATTTGAATACACCCATTTGGAAGGAATTTGGAAATTTTCAAAAAATAAAATCCGTTAAAAATTCTGTTAAAATCATGAAAAGCCGTTACGACCTGGACCTACACAGGCATTGTTTGTTGTAAGTCATTGCCATATTCAAATTCGAAACTTGAAATAAACGGTGAATAATGTAGCTAAAATCATCAAAACACCGTATATAGCGAGGTACCGTTATATCGGAGCTATACGAAGACCTGGACCTGCATAGACAATTTTCTGTCACAGGCTGTAGCATCCATTACAAACTTCAACTACGACATCTCAAACAATTTCTGTGAGTATTGTACCTAAAATCGTCAAAATACCGAATATACCGATATATGCGGCCTATACAAAGACCTGGACCTGCACAGACAATTTTCTGCCACAGACTATAGTTCCCATTACGAACTTCAAATGCCAAATTTGAAACAATTCCGATGAATAATGTCGCTAAAATCATCAAAATACCGAATATAGAGAGGTACCGTTATATGAGGGCAATACGAAGACGTGGACCTGCTCAGAAATATTTCTGTCTTAGGCTTCAAATACCAAATTTGAAACAATTCCGGTAAATAATGTCGCTAAAATCATCAAAATACCGAATATCCGAAGGTACCATAGTATGGGGGTTATATGAAAACGTGGACCTACATGATCCATTTTCGAACTTAACCTGCCTACTGGCAAAATAAACATGTGTGCAAAATTTTAGCCTTCTATCTCAATTCGTTCGAAAGATAGCGTGACTACAACAGACAGACAGACGAACATCGCTAAATAGACTTAAAATTTTACGCTGATCAAGAATATATATGCTTTGCTGGGTCTGACATGAGTATTTCGCCACCATAGTATGGTGGAGGGTATAAAAAGCGTTTTTTCTATTTTCGTCTTCAGGTGGGAATACATAAAGCACTTATTTGGCTAGCTTAAGTCATCGGCTGGCTTCTTCGTAAAGGAACAAAGGAGTTTTAGGTTGGCTTAGTTCAATGTTGGCCCTTGGCTCCTTTGTTAATTTCCAAAGCGCTTTATGTTTTCCCACCCTTAAGCTGGAAATACATAAAGAGCATATTTGGCTGGCTTCTTCGTAGATGAACAAAGGAGTTTTATGTTGACTTAGTTCGATTTTGGCCCTAGGCTCCTTTGTTCATTTCCGAAGAAGCCAGCCGATGACTTAAGCCAGCAAAATAAGCGCTTCATGATTTCCCACCCTTAGTCCCAAATCTCTGTGAACTCTTTCCTCAACAAAGCCATGATTCTATTGGGTTTTTTTTTCCTATAAAACACTTAGATCTTTAAAAAAAATACGAATAATAATAATAATAATAATAATAACAACAACAACAAATACTCACATATCAGTGTCCCCATTTCTTTGGTGCGCTGCTCTTTCTCTTTGATAATTTCATAGACAATTTCGAATAGACTTTGAGTCTTCTTGCCGCTGCTATCACTGCGGCTGTATTTGACAACGGCTGCTGCTTTGCCATTGCCGCTGCTGCATTGACCATTCTTGCCATTCTCCCGGCAGTGATGTTGTTCCTGGTCCAAACATTCCTTTTCCTCATCCAGATCCTGATAGTCCTGGGTTCTGTCTTCATATGGCGTCGTTACACCGTCACCGCATTCATTCTGATTATCTCGACCGAGAGTTTCTTCCGCCTTGTGACCCATCATTGACTCTTGGCTTTTTACATTAAAACAATAACAACGGCAGCAGTGGCATAAAACAACGACAACAACAACAACGATTACACTTTAATAATCTTTATGTCTTTATCAGCAAATCCGCAATGCTTGTCAGGCTTACGCTCTATTGAAAGATGGCAAAAGAAAGATGAAATAAAAAAGGGCAAATATTAATATTTTGTGTTTCCCAAGTGATTAACTGTCGAATTCAATTGTTGCTTTGATTTCTTTGTTCAATTGCTGGCGTGTGCTCAAATCAGTTTGATCTGATAGGTAATTAGACATTTGTATGTCTCTCTTACTCTCTGCGTCTCTTGGCAGTGGGAGGCCAAAAGAGAGCATGACTGAGTGAGAGTAACATTCAAATTGAACGGAAGTGAAAAGTGACCGCTTAATTGTCCACTTTTTTTTGCTGATTGTCCACATTTTTAGATTTTGATTACGGTTTTGTTTCTTCTTCTTCTTCTTCTTCCTCGAGACTCGCAGATGTTGTTGCTTGAAGTGATAAGTAAACGAGGCTATGATAAGCTCACGACGACACAAAAAAAATAAATAATCTACAAGATTTTCTTCAGTTCAATGACTTAATTATCTACAGCTCTTTGTTAACGAGAACCCCATTTTCACTAATGGGCTATTTTTAAAATACAACAAAACAAAGCGGCGAAGGTACTTGAAAGGGAAACAAAAAAAAAAAAACACGGTGACTGAATTTTTTCAGTTCCATAAAGACTTCAATATAAATCAAGGACCCTGAAGCGAAGATTTGAAATTATAACCCAGAATAAGGATGGGAATACATAAAGGGCATATTTGGCTGGCTTCTTCGTAGATGAACAAACAAACTCCTTTGTTCCGCTACAAAAAAGCTAGCAGATGGCTTAAGCCAATCAGAAAAGCGTTTTATGTATTCTCACCTTGACAGCTTTCTTACGGGAACTATAATTTAATCAGTTTTGATTGGAAATTTCTTATAGATATGGAATTTCCAATTCAATTTAGATGAATTGAAGAGTTTCTATCGAGATCATTACTCAGCCAGGCTGAGTTGAAGATTTCCTATGGAAATTGTAGTTGTTTTTATTTATTATTTAAATATGAATTGTTGACAGTTTAGACCATGGTACAATAACAAAGTGTTCTTGCCAAGCCCACATAAGGTCGGCCAAGAACACTACTTTTGACAATAAATGCTCTGTTCCAGAAGCTGCAAGAATCTACTATTTTGGCATTTTTTCGATTTCATAAAAAGAAAATCGGTTATCGAAGAAAAAAGTTGTACATTCTAGCAGTTTTGGAACAGACCAAAACCTGGTACTTTTTGCACTATTGTGATTGACCCTCTTTGAATACCCAAAACGCTTTTTTGACTGGCTTCCTCGTAGAGAAACAAAGGAGTTTTAGGTTGACTTAGTTCGATTTTGGCCCAAGGCTCCTTTGTTCTTTTCCGATGAAACCAGCCGATGACTTAAGCCAGTAAAAAAAAGCGTTTTATGTATTCTCACTTTTAGTTATCAGATAGGCATACTGCCCGACCATGGTAGAAGAATATAGGTAGACGCATCGACGCAGCTGCTGGGGCAATGAACAGTCAAACGAATTTTGGAATTAAAAATGTTGAATGAAAAATTATTTAAATTTGTAAAAATTATTGAAAAAGTCCTTTTATAATATCCTCCGAATGACGTCGTATAAGAAAACATATAAAAATCTACTTATATTTGAAAAGAAATTTAAAATTTTTTGACACATAAATTCTCCCAAGCGTTGATGCATCTACCTGTATTTTTGAATGACGCTCGTACTGTCAACTGTTTACATACACATATTTTTCCCAATAATTTGTATTTTGAAAATACGGGTGAAATCAGCTGTTCTTTTTGCATAAATAGGCAATTGTCTATCCTATCCAATGTGCGTCTAAACGGATCGTATAAGCGCACAAATCAAGTATGGGAATCTCTTTTCTATGCAGTGAAATTTGACATGGTAAATTGCAGAAAATACAGGGATAGGAATGCTTATTTGAAATATCTTACTATCTTCATTTTAACATGGTAGAATTAAGGAGGTAAAATCATTTTTTTAAATTTGTCGTTTAACAATATCTTACTGTCAAAATTTATATTTATTCAACCACAAATTAGAGATGGGAACCTGTTTTTTCTGTAGTGAAATGTGACAAGGTAATTGCGGAGATGGGTATGCTTATTTAAAATGATTTTACCTGCTTAATTTTACCATGCGTTTAATTTAGAATTGCGTGTATTTTTATGAGCTATAAAAGATACTCCGTATGGGTCAATTATAATGACAATTCCTGTTTACCAGATTAAATGTCAAAAAGTATCATTGCGATTGAAACTAAATGTTTATATTAGGTCTGACTTTGATCAGCCCACGGCCTAAGTATAGGGTCCCCTTCCAAGCCAGCTTTCTACCAAATGTAATGTCAAACGCATTATTGTGATTGTTGCTATTGTTGAATGCAACAATAAAAAAAGTGTAAACAACATTTGACATTAGAATTAAGAAGGTAAAGTCAAGAAATCAATTAACTATTACTCACTTGACAACATCTGATTGTCAAAATTTATATTTACAAATCTATTGTTTATACCCAAATCAGAGATGGGAACCTGTTTTCTATGCAGTGAAACTAGACAAGGTAAATTACAGAAAATTCAGAGATGGAAATGTAATGACTTTACCTTCTTAATTTTACCATGATTTTAATATTCAATCAGATTTAAATTATCGGTTTTTTCAAAAATTAGTAGATTTTTATAAGTTTTGTTATACGACACCAATCGGAGGCTATTATAATAATCGTTTTTTTTTAGTACTTTTGACAACTTTTAATAATTTTTTATTCAAAATTTTAAATTTCAAAATTGGTTTGACAGTTCATTGTCCCAGCAGCTGTGTCGGTGCGACTACCTGTATTCTTCTATGATGCCACCTGATTAGGGCTCGATTAGACTAAGTTTACATACGAACCCTGTAGAAATAGCTGCTGTGGAATAAGCGCTGTCGTCTATGGATGCTGGATTCGATGGTATATTTAAGAGGGTAACCTCATATTTTTGAATGCCAATTTTTTATCGACTAATCAAAAAAATTATGTAAAGAATCGCACTACAGATTGCAAATCGATAAAAGTACATTATTGACGGTTATCACATCTTTCCGAAAAATATACTATATATGTTGTCTCATTTAAATATGAACTCTTCGATAAGCAAAAGGTCGGACCCTCTTCCTTTCATCTTTTAACGTAAAGTTCTTTTAATTCATGTTGCCATATTTTATATTGATAATATGGCAACAACAGCAATTAAGAAATTTATACCGAAAACCATGGTAGAAGAATACAGGTAGATGCATCAATGCTTGGGAAAATTGACTAAAAAAATTTAAATAGTTTTTCAAAAGTACACCGATCGGAGGTTGTTATGATTTTTCTTCAACATTTTTTACAAATTTGAATAATTTTTCATTCAATATTTTCAATTTCAAATTTTGTTTGACAGTTCATTGTCCCAGGAGCTGCGTCGGTACGACAACCTTTTTTAATTATGTTTTATTTTATGCATATTTTTTTATTTCCTTATTTTATTGCAATTGGAAAAATAAATAAAATTCCGAAAATATTTTCCTCATTCTCTAAATAATATTACACACAGCTTCCTTTCCTTTGTCATAATCCGATTGATGGCGTTCACGCACTATCGACATGTTTTGCATTTTTTACAAAATTAAACACGTACATGTATTCTATGCCAGCTTTTCACACTTTCTACAATCGTTTTGTATTTTTAGAGGCGTAAAAATGAAGTATCTCCATGTCAACATTGATGATGTACAAATGTATGTTCTCTGTTCACAATCATAGACATGGTGACATTTCTATGTGCTCCGGATCATTGGTATTTTTTTTTTTTTTTTTTTTGATTATTTGTAACATATTTTCATGTTTTTTTTTTTACTTTTTCAATAGAAAATTTCCATTTGTTGTGGCAGAATATTACATTGATAAGATGTGCCTGATCGTCGTCAAGACAAGAACAAACATCCACGTTCATGTTGAATACAATGTAAATGTTTTTTGATTACCCTTGACAGTGAAGAAAGAAACAAAAAGCACACGACGGGCAGAATTGTAAATATTTACAGATTCGGAAATCAATTAGCATGGAAAACTATTTGTATTTGGATTTTTTGTTAAAACAAAAAACACAAACACACATGTATGCACATTACAAAAATTTGTCAAGCAATGTACAATAGTTTTATAATGGTACAAGAATACAGGTAGATGCATCAACGCTTGGGAACATTGATATGTCAAAAAAAATTTTAATGTCTTTTCAAATATAAGTCGTTATTCGGAGGTCATTATATTACGCGTTTTTCAACAATTTTTAAAAATTTACACCTAAGTCTGTTTTTACACGGTCTTTTTGTACACGGTTTTGATATAACACGGTTTGAAAATTGAATATTTTTAATTTATTTACACGATTTTATTCCAATTAGCACGATTTGAAATTTTATGTACTTAAATTTTTTTTGTCAAATTTAATTTTTGCGAAGTATTTTCATATCACAAAAAAGTATTTATGAAAGAAAAAAGTCTGAAACCATCGATAGTATCGATAATTTGCGAACACTAGCTTAAAGATTTAAGTGAATTTCCCTTTAGCGCGTACAAACAATTTTTACTGGTCAAAGCAAATATGAATAACACTATGTGCATACAATAAAATTTACTGGTCAGAGCAATTGAAACGTGTTAATATTTTGTGAACTGTTAATGCAATAAGACGTGTTTGGTAAAGAAAAAAAATAAAAATTCTTGTTTTTCACTAATTTTAATAGGTTTTAGAGATTAGGAACAAATCACCCATTTTTGTATAAGATTAATGTCTTTTTTACACGGTTTTTTTTACACGGCTTCTTCTTGAACCAATCTACCGTGTAAAAACAGACTTAGGTGTAAATAATTTTTCATTCAACATTTTCAATTCCAAAATTGATTTTGACAGTTCATTGTTCCAGCAGCTGTCTCGATGCGTCTACCTACATTCTTCTACCATGAGTTTTATAAAATCCGAAAGTTTACTGATGACACAAATCCATTTCTTCGCCACAACAAGTCATTAAATTAATTGTAAATATACTTAGCGTTGAATCGTCGTGCAAAAGATAAACAAATAGTGAACAAAACGTAAACAATTTGTGTCATTTCGTCTGGTTTGAAGATTTTGTGAAACAACTTATTAAGGTACGTTTACACATATATGTTTATCCAACACAGCTGCTGGGACAATGAATTGTCAAAGAGATTTTGAAATTGAACATTTTGAATGGAAAATTATTTAAATTTGTAAACATTGATGAAAAATGCACATCATAACAAAATCCGATTGGTGTCGTATAAAAAAACGTATAAAAATCTACTCAATTTTGAAAAAATAAAATAATTATGACATATCAATGTTCCCAAGCGTTGATGCAGCTACCTGTATTCTTCTACCATGCAGTGATCATTGACCAAATATAATTAACTTGACCGAAACAATAACAATACAGTCATGCATGGTAGAAGAATATAGGTAGACACATCGACACAGCTGCTGGGACAATGAACTGTCAAACCAATTTTGGAATTGAAAATGTTGAATGAAAAATTATTTAAATTTGTGAAAATTGTTGAAAAATGCATACAATAACAACCTCCGATTGGTGTCGTATATGATAACTAATAAAAATCTATTTATTTTTGAAAAAAAAAAAAAAACATTTAAAATTTTTTGACATATCAATGTTCCCAAGCGTTGATGCAACTACCTGTATTCCTCTGCCATGCAGTCATGGTTCAATTCTGAATATTAATCTCAATAAAACTTTGTGTGTAAACTTGTTATTTGTGTGTCATTATTCCACCTAAAACCTGTTTTCTGTAATTGGTTTAGTTTCGAAAAACTGCAAAGATACAGCCCTGAAGTTATGCCCGCTTCCAGGCAGAATTATTCAAAATTATATGCAACAAGTTGTTTTTATCTATTTTATATTTTGAAATGTCTAGAATTTCTTTCAAAAATAGGATCGAAATTGTTAAATCGTTAAATGTATGAGTCTCCAAATTCATGGTAAAATTAAGAAGGTAATGTAATTTCAGATAAGCATACCCATCTCTGCATTTCTGTAATTTTCCTTGTCAAATTTCACTGAATAACAGAGATGTTCCCATATCTGATTTCTGGGCATACAAAGGATTAGTAGATATAAAATTTTGACAATGAGATGTCAAACGAATAATTTTGAAAAAAAAATTGTAAACATATGTTTGCATGACTTTAACTTCTTAATTCTATCATTTTCTATTTATTTTTCGAAGCAAGCCTATTTAGACCATTCATTTAAAATCAACTCGATTTCTAAATTCAACTTTCAAATTCTACTTGTTTAGACTAGTTTAAAACGATGTAAAATGTCAGTCAGCTGATCTTTGTTTACGTATACATACACGCTTTTTATACCCTCAGCCATATGACGAGAGAGGGTATATATCAGACGTGCCTCATCGAAATAACGGTTTTAGACCCTAGGTCTCTTTGGACCAAATCTGTCAAATGTTGAATATTATATATATTTCCATTAACACAAGATATTTCATAAATATGGTAGAGATCGCATCACCTTTGCTTCTAATACCTGCCCCACATAGGGTTCAAGATTTTGAAAAACAAAACACCCAAAAAAAAAGCGAAATAATCTTCCAATTCTCTTCAAATTTCACACATCCAAATATTTTTGTTAACGCAAGATCTGTTGTGAAAGTGATATATATTTGCGAACCCCTTCAGGTACCTCACCCACAAGGAAACACATTTTCCAATACTTATATCTGTCATAATTTGCGAAACAAGTCAGCGGTTCTTTACAACTTGCTATATCTAAATATTTCTCTCAACCAGAAATCTGATGTGGGTATGTAATTTATCGCAATTTATAATTTCGCATAAAATTGGATGTAAATGTTCGATTTCTTTCAAATTTTGCACATACCAATATTTTTATCTGTGTTAGATGAAGTATGGACATAGAATACTTCTTTTACCTTACGCATATCTCCTCATTCTTCAAAAAATTTGCTCATAACTCATATAAAGTTTATATCAGTCTTAGGTCAGATACGAATAGGTCAATATTGGCCAACTGCTTCGGAACCTCCTCCATAAAGGGTCAACAGTTTGAATAATCATAACTCAAGGCTTGGGGTAGGCATTTGTCGGCAAAACCGACTGATACTATTTTACTTGTTTTTCATAACGACTAAACGTAGCTTTCCATGAAATGATACTCCACCTTGGTAGAAGAATACAAGTAGATGTATCGATGCTTAGAAACATTGATATGTCAAAATTTTTAAAATTGTTTTTCAAAAATAAGTAGATGTTGTTATACTTTCCTATACGATGCCAATCGGAGGTTGCTATGATATGCATTTTCCAAAAAAAATTTATGAATTTGTATAATTTTTCATTTAAAAATTTCAATTCCATAATCGGTTTGACAGTTCATTGTCCCATCAGCTGTGTCGATGCAACTACCTGTATTCTTCTACCATGTAAACCACATTGCAGCACACATCGTTTCCATTGAATAAATGTCAAATGCGTACTCTCCCAAAACGCTGTCTTTTGACATCAATTTAGAATTCTCTTTCAAATATAAGGTCATGAACACACAAATCTAACGTGAAAACAAATTTAATGACCTACTTTAATATTGAAAAAAAAATCCCATTGAATGCCTTATCTATGGATTATTCGTTGGGCTAATGTCATAAATTTTTGGTGATAAGACATTCAAAGATAACTGCAATTGCCAATTATTTTCAATTAATTTCCAGAAATTGGTTATCAGAAAAACAAATCGATTTATTTAAATTTCAAACACTCATTGCATTTTGTTGATGCGAAATACATATTTTTTGTTTTTGACACAATGACGTTTCAGCAGACAGTAGACGATAAAAATGTCACCATCATCACCATCCGCGGATGTCGTTTAAAACATGTTCCACACGATGCACACAAAATGTCAACGCCATGCAGATTCAAAACAATGACGCATTGGCATAGAATTTGGTTGTTTTGTTTTCTTTCACACACACATTTGTTTTTACAAAATATTGAATTTTTTTGAAATGAATTTCCGTTGGCTTGGAAAAAATACATACATTTTTTGTGAAACACTATTTGACTTTCTTTTATTCGGTATTCTCCTTTTTATGCTTTTTTTTTTGGATTTTTTTTTTTAAATATAGTTCTTGTATTTTAATTACACTTCACAAAAATGTCCACAAAAAGTCCTCTTTTCTATTATTTTGCCCGCTTGATGTCCATTCGGAAATTTAAAACAAAAAAAAAAACGGTTTTAAACCAACTCGAGCGCTAGAGGTACGAACTCTCTGACAAGGTAACGGTAACTGATCGGAATTAATTATTGATTTGACAACGGCCCCTTAATACGATACGTTTAACTCAATCCGAGACGGAGAGTAGAATAAATCCAGCATCGAATAACTCTATTCGATTCCACTAAAGAGGGATCTTCATAGGCGCCACAATCGCCACAGCCAGTCACTCAGTCGGCGTTCAAGAATTGAAATGAAAATAACAACAAAAGCACAATAATAAATATGAAATATGTATTAAAAGTTTTAAATAAATATGAAATATCAACAACAAAAACAAATGGAAAAACAACTGATTTGTACTCTTTTTTTTTTTGTCGACTAGACGAGCGACCATCTTCGTCGCTATCCCCACTGCCTTTGTCTTTGTCAACAACAATATTACAAAAAAAAAATCTCAATGTGATGCCTCCTTTATTTTTTTTATTACAGAAACACACAAACAAAATACAAGAAAACAAGACAAACTACAACAAGAATAACAAGAATGTTTCACAACAACAAATCAAACTGAGCCTTCTTATCAGCAGAGTATTATTACACGGCAAGAAATGCATTGTGGCAAAGATGACATGACAAAGACGACGACAACGACAACAACAAGGCGCATAAAAATGAGGAAGAGAAAAACTGTTTTTTTTTAATGGATATTTCCTTTATTCTTTGTCACTCTCACTCGAGTATATTTACTTGACGTTTACACAGCTGCAATTGTGCGAGAATGTAACTCAAATACAACTCTGTGCCTCAATTCTTGTTCTATGAAAATGTGAAAAGAAAACTTTTATAAGGGAAAGAAATGTCAAATGAAAAAATTTATAAAGGAAATAGTTTTCATTTCATATTTTCATAGATCAAGCCCCTGTTCTCCAACCATACATTCCAAAAGGTTAGAATACATAAAAGGCTTTTTTGACTGGCTTAAGTCATGGGCTGGAGTCTTCGTAGAAGAAAATAAAGAGTTAAAGGTTCGATTTTGGGACTACGCTCCTTTGTTATTTTCCGAAGAAGAAAGCTGATAACCTAAACCTGTCAAAAAAAAGTTTTCTTTTTTTTTGTATTCCTTAACCTTAACTGACTTTATACCACTGATAATTGACCAATCACAATAATTTTAATGTATGTTTTTATACCCTCCACCATACATAGTATGGAGAATGGTAGAAGAATATAGGTATCGACTCAGCTGCTGGGACAATGAACTGTCAAACCAATTTTGGAATTGAAAATGTTGAATGAAAAATTATTTAAATTTGTAAAAATTGTTGAAAAAGGCGTATTATAATAACCTCCGAGTGACGTGGTATAAGAAAACATATAAAAATCTACTTATTTTTGTCAAAACATTTAAAAAATTTTGACATATCAATGTTCCCAAGCGTAGATGCATCTACCTGTATTCTTCTGCCATGGTATGGAGAGTAAATTAAGTTCGTAATTCCGCTTGTAACTCATCGAAATAATAATTTTGAGACAAAACAAAATATATACAGGGTAAGATAAAACAAATAAAAACGCTGTAAGTTCGGCCGGGCCGAACTTTCAATACCCTCCACCATTTGAAACAAATTTGGCAATTCTCAATAACAATAAAATTCGTTAAAAATTCTGTTAAAATCTTAAAAATACCGAATGTAGCTATTATATAAGGGTCTATACGACCCTGCATAGGTAAGCCATTACAATATTCAAATGGGAAAATTAAAAAATTGGTTATAATATCGATAAAATCAAAATACCTAATATCGGGAGGTACCGTTATATGGGGGCCATAGGCTGTAGAATCCATTATGAATTTCAAATACCAAATTTGAAACAATTCCCGTGAATCAATTCGCTAAAATCACCAAAATACCGAATATCGGGAGGTACCGTTATATGGGGGCTATACCAAAACCTGGACCTACAGGGCCCATTTTCAATACCAAAAGTCATGCAGACATAACTTACATTTGAGCAAAATTTTATCAATCTACTTCAATTCGTTCGGAAGCTATAGTGTCAAACGCCATAATTTTTATATTTTGTTTTAATTATTTTTTAAATGAAAGCAAAAAATGTCGGAGATAGCATCAAATTTTAGAATAAGTTTAGATTTGTTTGAATTGGTTACTTTTGGCACGAATTATAGCATTCAAACGGCCAATGAAACCGTCACACGCTGCCCGAATGTTGCTCTGCGGTATTTTGGCCCATTCCCGACGAAGCGCTGCCTTGAGGTGATCGACACTTTGGGATTTTTTAGTGCTAACCTTGCTTTCCAAAATACTCGAGACACAATAATCCAACGGATTGGAATCCTAAGATTTTGGTGAAGCGAGGAACCTTATTTTATAACCATTCTTGGGTGGCGCCTGCAGAGTGCGATGATGCTGAGTCCTGTTGCAATGTCCAAGGTCTGCGCCCAAAATATTTGCGTGTCCACCACAATATTTTTGCGATTATATTCGGCATTTATTCTGATGCCACGGTCGATTAATACGAACGGAGAGCGACCATCGTCTGTTATGGCGGCCCACACCATCACCATGGCCGGCGCTTGTGTTCTGTTCTGGTGGCCAACCGAAGTTGCACATTTTCAGCTGACCTCTTTGGGTAAGTAAACACGATCATTTTGTTTGTTTACAAACTGCTGGACAACCAAAACCAGAGAAAACCAAATTCGGCAGTTCACCACTTTCGGCCAAGCGAAGTAACTCTTTAGCTCTTTTGAGTCTATTTTCTTTCTGTTGCGGTGTAAGTTCTTACACTTTTTGAAATTTCAATGGCTTTACCCCGAGCTCATTTTTCAATATTTGCCGAATGGAATATTTTTCGGCCACTGCGACGCGGGTTTTGATCAAGTTGCTTTTTTACTTTTCGAACTATTGCTGATGTTGCTGTTTTCTTCCATCTTCCGTCCACTTTTTTGACGTCGGGCTACGCTACCAGTATCCTCTACCAGGTAACGTGCGATGGTACGAGACACAAAAGATTTATTCACATTTAAATGCTGGAGTGCTCTAACGATAGCCACTTGTGGTTTTCCAGCCAAATATAAAAAAATCACACTATCACGCTTGCATTCCATCACGAACAACTTTTTTTCTGGAAAATTCTCAAAATGCTTTTGAACGCTTGTAAATAATATAATGAGCTGTCTCTGGAATAATTTTAACCGCTGTAGGACGAGTGGCTTAAAAATGACAGCAGTCTGAAGTTTGTTGCAGTTTTTTTATTTCATCCTGTATATTATATTCATTTAGGTCCGATGCGAAATGCACAATATTGGTCCATTCCTTGAGGAACGTACTCCATAGAGGGTCACAAATTCAATGATCGTAACAGAAGTCAATATATACTGACAGATATTTTTTAACTTGTTTTTTTTTTTTTTTTTGTTAAATGTTGATACTTTAAATGGCAAATTATTGATTTTATATGAGCTCCATTGATATTAAATTTTCCATTTTTCCAACAAAAAAAATTGAATTTTCCAGGATCATAATTTATTTCGTACCTATGGCATCCATGCAGTGTTGTATTTTTTCAATCCCTTTAAGTGGCAACACTGAAATGACCGGTTTTTATTGAACAGTAGCTGTGATACATACATTTAATTAGCTGACGGTACTTGTTTTATTTCGAAAAAATTTAAAAAAATAAATATAAATAAATATATAAATAAAATATATAAATATATATAATCACTGTCTTTATGGGGTTAAATCTTTTTTGTGTGCAATTTTTATAAAGAAAATATGTTTCCCAAGTCATTCATACTGATACCGTATTCTTGTCCACTTGCAACCATTTTTCAATTGTCATTTCCTTCCTCTTTCATTCTTCATTACAAATTTTCAGAGAGCATGAATTACTATAAAGTTTCCGTACTTCCAATAAATTTTTCTCCGTGTAGCCGCATATTCCAGACCTCCATTCGGGTTTGTTTAGGTTTTATGGTCTATAATATTTATGAAGTACTTTTGTTTAATTATTACTTATAATCTCTCGCATCGAGGCTCTCATTGTGTGTTTGCTTGACGCTTGCGAGGTTCGGAAAAGACGACGGCCACAAAAGCAAAAAGAGGCGACAAATTCAAATCGAATCCATCGCTCTGAATGGGTTGATCGCATTTGTGTGTTTCCAAGCTGTTCGAGTATTTTGCAATTTAAGATTACAAAGTTTTTTAAACTAAACATTTACTAATTCGATTTGCTCCACAATTCACAATTCAATTACAATCCGTTAATGCCGTCAATTTCTTATCATCTCTTGACGTTTTTGTATTGCCGAGGGAATGGATTTCTGTGTGCGAAATGTAAATGTTGTGTTATTTCGAAAGTTCTCCTCCAAATCGCTAATCGCTCACTTTGCTGGTGTTTAGTTTTAGGTAATCCATTTGAGAGTTATTGAACTCTCCTTTGCTCGAACATCACGACCATCATCATCGCGATCACAATTAACGTCATGGTGATGTTTGTTGTTATTGCCATGGAATCGGTTTAAGATGGATTTTGTTTTCTCTGTTATCAGTTGGACTCTGGCACATTGTTTTTGTGTTGTGAGTTTCTTCTTGTTGTTGTTATTGTTTTTGGACCTAAATTTATGCAGCGAATATTTTAGATTATTGTAGAAATATGAAATATTTAAAATTACAATTTTTTTAATCACGTTTGAGAAATGGCCTTTAGGTTTGTTGTGACCTTAAAAAAAGAGAGGAAATTGTTTCCTCTTACATGTTTTCCCCTTCAAAACATATTCCCATGAGAGAGAGAGAGAGTTTATAAGTTCTCACTAGTTACCATTTCTCAGCAAGAATTATCCAATATCTCCAGCTGATTGAAAATCAGCTGTTTTGTGGTCAACGGGGAAAAAATGTTAAACATTTTGTGACCCATCCACATTTTGTTGAGAATTTTTCAGAAAAAAAGTTATTCGTCATGGAATTCAAGCGTGATAGTGCGATTTCTTTATATTTGGCTGGAAAACCGCAAGTGGCTGTCGTTAGAGGACTCCAGAATTTAAACGTGAATAAAACTTTTGTGTCTCGTACCACTGCTCGTTACCGTGATACTGGAAGCGTAGTCCGACGTCAAGGAAGTAGACGGAAGAAAACAGCAACATCAGCAGAAATGGTTCGAAAAGTCAAGAAGGGACTTGATAGAAAACCCGCGTCGCAGTGGCCGAAAAATGTGTAGTGAGCTGAACATATCGCAATATTCCATTCGGCAAATATTGAAAAATGAGCTCGGGGTAAAGCCATTGAAATTCAAAAAAGTGCAAGAACTTACACCGCAACAGAAAGAAAATAGACTAAAAATAGCTAAAGAGTTACTTCGCTTGGCCGAAAGTGGTGAACTGCCTAATTTGGTTTTCTCTCTCTCCGATGAGAAAACATTCGTTGTCCAGCAGTTTGCAAACAAACAAAATGATCGTGTTTACTTGCCAAAGAGGTCAGCTGAAAATGTGCACCTTCGGTTGGCCACCAGAACTCAAGTGCCGGCCATGGTGATGGTGTGGGCCGCCATAACAGCTGATGGTCGCTCTCGGCTCGTATTAATCGATCGTGGCATTAGAAAAAATGCCGAATATTATCGCGAAATATTCTGGAGGGTGTATTAAAGCCTTGGGCATGCAAACATTTTTGCTGCATACCTTGGCGATTCCAAAAGGACTCAGCACGCGCCAACCAAGAATGGTTACAAAATGGGGTTTCTCGCTTCATTTCCAGCGCAAAATGGCCACCAAAATCTCCGGATACCAATCCGTTGGACTATTGTGTCTGGAGTATTTTGGAAAGCAATGTTGCCACTAAAAATACCAAAGTGTCGATCACCTAAAGCAAGCGCTTCGCCGGGAATGGGCCAAAATACCGCAGAGCAACATTCGGGCAGAGTGTGACGGTTTCATTGGTCGTTTGAAGGAAATAATTCGTCTCAAAGGTGACCAATTCGAACAAATCTAAACTTATTCTAAAATTGGACGCAATTTCCGACATTTTTTGTTCCCATTCAATAAAATTTTAAAAAAATGTAAAACTTATGGCGACTTGGTTGCAGTTTTTTTATCTCACCCGAAATCAGAGTTCAGTTTTTTTTATTCAGGGAAATTTGACAAGGTAAACTACAAAAATGCAGAGATGGATATGCTTATTTGAAATGACTTTTCCTTTTTTTATTTACAAATGAAAGTGGGATAACATAAGTCCACATCTTTCATACTCTAATTTAAATAGCAGCTGCCTTTTTACATTGCATCCCAAAATTTCAAATTCAAAATTGGTTTGACAGTTCACTGTTCCAGAAGATGTATCGATGCGACTACCATTATATTTTCCATGGTAGAAGAATATTAGTAAACGCATCGACGCAGCTGCTGGGACAATGAACTGTCAAACCAATTTTGGAATTGAAAATGTTGAATAAAAATTTATTTAAATTTGTAAAAATTGTTGAGAAACGCGAATTATAATAACCTCCGAATGATGTCGTATAAGAAAACGTGTAAAAATCTACTTATATTTGAAAGAACATTTAAATTTTTTTGACATAACAATGTTCCCAAGCGTTGATGCATCTACCTGTATTCTTCTGCCATGACATTTTAATAGAATAATAGGCCGTTTACATGTTACTGTATTAAGTGAGCCCAGGGGATTAATTTGTCAATTCCATTGCACATACGTCAAATAAATCCTCGTAAAATATGTTAACCCCATCAAATAGCTGTAATGTAAACATACTATAAGAATTTTAATTTCCATTGATTTAACTTGTCCTTTGGTGGTATTTTTTCTTCAGCCCTGAACCTAATCGTTCATAACTTAAAGTCGTGACGTTAATTTAATAGGTTCCTGGTGCTTAAGTACTCAAGCCGACCATAAATATCTATTTACATTTATGTACTTTTGCCCAGATTTAAATCCCATGTTCTTTTCCATACTTTGGTTTATTTAATTATTCATGGAATTAAAGCTGAGTGAATACTTTACTGGCAAAGCACACACACTTTTTTCTGTTCCAGCATGCGGATGATAACCTTTTGCACTTCGGAAAAAGTACACAAAAACAACAACGTCTTGTATGAATGTGCGCAAATATTAACTGATAAAACAATATGAGTTTTTTTATTCTGAATAATTATTCATGTGTATATATAGGTTGGCAATATTTTTTTTTATATTATGGAGTACGAGATCCTCAGGAAGTATAAACCTAGCAGTACAGACGAAATGTCACAATAATATATTTTGACAGAATGTTTGATGGTCAGCTGTTATAAGACATAATTTGAACTATTTCTGAATTGATCTTGCAGAGTAATGGCCATGGTAGAAGAATACAGGTAGATGCATCAACACTTGGGAACATTGATAAGTCAACATTTTTAAAATGTTTTTTTTTTTTTCAAAAATAAGTAAATTTTTATAAGATTTCTTATGCGACGCCAATCAGAGGTTGTCAAGGTTTAAGAATTTTTATAAGTTTGAATAACTTTTCATTCTAAATTTTCAATTACAAAGTTGGTTTGACAGTTCATTGTCCCAGCAGCTGTGTCGATGCGACTACCTGTATTCTTCTACCATGAAAGTAATGCTAAATCCAAACTAAAAACGAAACCAACGCAATGCTGAATATCGACTGTCAACAAAAAATATGGAAAAGAGATTTGAGAGAGAAATAATTTATATTTGGGCAAGCAATTTGAAAGCATCTTTATTTTGACAAGCCCATGGCAGAATTAAGAAGGTTAAGTCATACAATCATATGTTTACAATTTTTTCAAAATTTATTCATTTGACAACATCTCATTGTCAAAATTCATTTTCATAAATCCATTGTACTTATACAAATCAGAGATGGGAACCTGCTTTTTATGTAGTAAAATTTGACACGGTAAAATACCGAAAATGCAAAGATGGGATTGCTTATTTGAAATGTCTTTACCTTCTTCATTTTACATGGGTATGCCTAAAGGTGAGAGTACATAAAAAGCTCTTTTGACTGGCTTAAAAGTGAGAATACATAAAACGCTTCTTCGGAAAAGAACATAGGAGCGTAGTATCAAAATCGAACTAGGTCAACCTAAAACACCTTTGTTCCTCTACCAAGAGGCCAGCCGATGACTTAATCCAAAAGTAAAAAAAGCTTTTTATGTGCTCTCACCTTAAGTCATTGTCTGGCTTCTTCGTAATAGATGAAAGGAGTTTTAGGTTGACTTAGTTCGATTTTGAACCCTCGTTCCTTTGATTTAAGTCAGTCTTCTATCTCCAAAAAAATGTTGGACAAATCCTGCAGTAAACGCAAAATAAAACATTATAACCATGGTACAATGAAAAGGTAAGGTAGAGCTATCAGCTGATTAAAATTTTTTTCTAAGTGTGCCCGACTTCTGCCAATTTTGTGTGTGTATTTATTGTTTTGAAAAATAAAAGCGAAATATTTACAAAACTTTATCAATGATTGGAAGAAACTTAAATTGCCTGGCGCGCATTAATGATATTAACCAGATTTTCCACGGAATTGAAAGATTGAACACTTAGGATCATATTTTTGAGAAAACATGGAGGCATTTCATTCATCTTTCGTGCTATTTGAATCATTTTAAAAATGAAAAACAAAAATATCAAATAAATGAAAGCAACTTGTTAGATATAATTTTTAATAATTGTGACAGGAATCAGACATAGCATCAGGGATGTAGATTTACGAAGCTGTTCTACCTCATTATTGTACCATGATTATAACTATTTAAAAATAGTTTCTCGTCCACACATATATCAGAATTTGCCTCTGCTCAAAACGACAATTTATTATAATATATTATTTTTGGATCAATATTAAATTCTAATTTGTTTCGACTTCATTTTGAATTCGTAATTCTTCTTTTACTCGTGGTAAATTATAATTTAATATAATAACATTTATCAATATTTTTGAATACGTATTAACTCGAGAGACACAACTATTGTATCAATGACCCAAAACTAATTACTCAAAATGACAGTTAATTAAGGGCAGTTCACAGCTAACGATTTTAATTCAACAATTAATTTTTATTATAATTTTATTAATTATTACTATATATGATAACAATCATTAATTTTAGTCCAAAATGTAATTTTTGTCGCTGATTTCCTAGTCTATTTCCATTGTTTTTATCAATTTTAACAATTACCAGCATTAATAGTAGCGTAGGAGATATTACGCGCACTAAATCATGTTAACAGGGTGTCACATACAATATTGCCCGTCTGAGTAATATATAGTTGTCAGGTGACACAGTAAATGCGTGTATTTTTACACTCAGCCATATGGCTAGAGAGGGTATATACAGGGTGAGATAAAAAACTGCAACAAAGTCAAACAACATAATTTTTACATTTTTTTAAAATTTTTTTAAATCAAGTTTTAGAATATGTTTAAATTTGTTCAAATTGGTCACTTATGGCCAATGAAACGGTCACCCGCTGCCCGAATGTTTCTCTGCGCTATTCTGGCATATTCCGCGCGAAGCGCTTTCTTGATGTGATCGAAACTTTGGTATTTTTAGTGCCAACCTTGCTTTCCAAAATCCTCCAGACACAATAGTCCAACGGATTGGTATCCAAAATTCTTTTGCACGCTTGTAAACAATATAATGAGCTGTCACTGGAATAATTTTAACAGCTGTCGGACGAGTGGCTTAGTAATGACAGCAGTCTGAAATTGTTTGAAGTTTTTTATCTTATCCTGTATATCGTAAAACCTATGTCGCCCATGTCGTTCACAAAATACTTAATTTAAAATGAATAATTTTACAATAAATAGATTATAAATCAAATAAAATTTGCAATTCAGCATGTTTTTTAATTAAAACAACCAAAAATTGTCATTAATTTGATTTTTTCCTGCAATTTCCATAATTTCTAGTAAGACTTTACCCACAAATCCCAACCCTGACATAACGTGTCGCCATTGTTATGTTGGCTTTCCCGCCTTTATTATTTAATGCGCTGTAGCACCCTGTGATTATTTCCATTGTGTTGTTACGAGTTTCTAGAACGAAATACAACCCTGTATTTCATATGAACGACGAGAAAATACCTTTTTTCAGTCATTCCCATAAAAAAAGTGACAACGACAAGCTGAAATATTTTTAATCTCGCAATTATTTGGAAGTGTATTAATCATAAAAAGAAATAATAAAGAGACTTTACACAGAGCGCATAGCGAAGAATAACAAGTGCAGAAGATGAATTAAAGAAAAACGAGTGCTATTTAAAGACAATTATTACTTTTGTCCTTGAAACAACATTAATTTGCAACAGAGTGGTGACAAGTAAAGGTAGAAAAAAAAAAGATCACGTCGTCGTACTATTAGACAATTCAAGTCGAACCAACCAGTTGGGAACGAATTGAAACAAGAAAAAATCACCTTTCCAACGTACCGACACACACACATAGGCACGCGTGCATACAACTGAATTGAATAATTCAGATACATTACACACAAATACAGAAAGACAACGGCAAAGCAAAGTGTTTTTGTATTTCGTTGTAGGAAACGAGAGAAACAGACGGCGACAAAGGGGAATAACCACCAAAACAACAGCAACAAAAGTGAAAAATAAAGAAAAAAACGCGAAGCGAAACAATAATAAAAAACATATTGAAGTGAACTGACTGAACTTTTGTAAATGTGTATGTGTTTTTATTTTTGTTGATAACAAAGACATTGAAAAAAAGAACATTTTTTTTTTGTCGTGAACAAATTGCAAGCATTGCGTTGTTGTTTTCATCATCAAATTTTCCGTCTGAATTTTCATACGGGGCCCCCACCTACGTTGCGTGAGCTTGATTTCAGAACCCAATGTTATTTGCTTCCAATAAATACGATGTACAAATTAATGAAATCGGAATGAAAATCATGGGGCATTCCTGCCATCCTGTCAACAGCCCGCTGCTAAAATGTGGGACTTCTGCTAAAAATATTACCAACATTATCAACACTACAGCTGCTGCTATTATTACAACCACAACTAATAGAAATCGTTATGTATCCTGGCAACACCAACAACAGCAGAATTTGGAGAACAACGTTGTACTGAGAGATATCATTAAGGATAACAACGACAATCATAATTTGAGAGCCTTTGTCGTTCGAACCCCCATCAAAAAGAAATCTTCGAGACCTTTTGTTAACCGCCAACAACAGCCAGTGCTGCGTTTGCGACAAGGCTCTTTGTTTAAGAAAAAAGATCAGCAGCAGCACCAACGCTTTTCCTTTCATAAACGCTTCCTTGTTTGGCATCTGAATTCCGGTGCCATATGATTGGAAACAACCACAGAAACAAACAAACCAAACAGCTTCTTAACTGCCTGGGCCCAAACAAAATGTCGACGACAGCATTGAAAGCCCATCACACAGCCGCAATGGCGCCATCTTTTGAGCCGAATAATAGAAACGCCAGCAAAGCCGCCGCCATGACAATGTCATCACTGGCTGCTGATCTGTGTAAAGTAGCCACGGCGGCTGTACAAGCGCCTCCCATGGAGGCAGCGGTCGTTGTTAATAGTATCATATACTCGAAACCCTCATTCTGTAGCATTGTTGTGGACTTGGGTGGAAAGAATGGAGGTGTGGGGGGTACAACATCGCCGCCACCACCTCCTCCGCAAGTGGTAACATCGCAGACATCGAAATGTTGCAATGCCAGCAAACCTGCGGCCGCCAAGGAAAAATCGACACCTCAACCACAAAATAATGCTTGGATCCCCCCGCCACATCAACAATTATTTGGTCCACATCTTGCCAATACTGGGTATTTCCCGATGGGCGCGCCGCCCTCTATGCCACCTACCTTGGATGATCGTGATGCCCATATCTATATGATGTGCACCACGATCAATGGTTCCATTAATCATCAAATTTCGGATCTGTGTGATAATCTAATAGCCATGGGTCTATTTGGTATGACAAATAGCGAACATGATGATGATAATGTAGACGACGATGACGGCCTCATTGAATTCGCCTATGACGATAATGTGGACGATTTGAAACAGAATTTGAATTTCTCAGATGATGATGATGATGACGAAGAAGATGATGACGATGAGGAGGAGGAGGATGATGATGATGATGAGGAGGACGAAGAGTACGATGACGACGACGACGACAATGTCGATTATGTGACTGATGATGAGAATGAAATTGAATTAAATGACAACAAACATGGCAATTGTCCGTACGATGATGATGGCGAAGATGTTGTTGATTTTATCAAGACGACCCCCTGCCCATTTCTAAAAGCACCAAATATTATTTGTGATAAAAAGAAGAAGGTAAGTTTTGAAACATATTGAACATGTTATTGTATCACACTAGGAAGTTGAATGAAAAACTTAGTATGACATTCTCTTCTCCCCCATTACTTAATTTTTCATTCATGAAGCTTTCTGCGTATTTATATCGAAATACTTAAGCATATTTTTAGAGCTTGTCTATAGTTCATATTATGTTTTGTTGCTCAAACCTGTTCTAAGCTTCTTTGAAAAGTGAAAATATCCCAGCATGACTTGATGCGAATGACTCAAAACACAAATATGTGTGTGTGTCGTAGCCCGTATTACATTGTGTGCTTTTACTTCTTCACCCCCCATTTTATTACTGTTTTGAGTTGAGTTTCATATTTCAAAAGAGAAACAAAAATGGGGGTTACTTCCTTCTTTCATGTCAACAGAACGTTGACAGATAATTGCTTCCAAACAGCTGAGAATAAAAACCCCATGTGGCAGAAAGTATTTCATTCCACAATGTTCCATATGACAAAGGTTTGTTTTGTTGTGTGGCCAGACACCATAAAATGTTGAGGCTCCCGGATGAAATACCCCAATTCCAACATGTAAAGTTTACTAAAAAAAAAACAAAAAATTGGAGGTGAATGTCGAAAATAGAGTAACATTTTACTCATTAAACTCTTTTTAAAAACTTGCCTGTTTAGGAAATTGTTTCTTAACGGGATTTATAATTGCCTCTATTCCTCAAATAACAGGGTGTTCCTACAAATAATTTTTCTCTAGCGCCAGGCACCGTTATATGTAGCCTCGGCTCTGAGAGAGGAATGCAACGAAGTTGTATTGTGTTTCGTTTACCCTTGCACTTAAACGGGTATTTATAATTATCAATGAAATACAATTTCTCGTAATGGCTGACTGTCACCTAATGACAGGGTGTTCTTATCATTTGATTTTTATTATGACGTTGACTATGCAAACTATCATGTGCCTTCGCAGTCACGATAAATTTCTACGAGTTGTTGGTGAGAGCAGAGAAATTTTCATTTCTCTTAATATCAATTCTCTATATGCTCAGCACATGTTTACGGGCATCCAATAAGGGCTTTTTAACCTGAAACAGGGTGTCGTCCAAATTCATTTTCTCCCATACTTAGTGTGTTCTGGCCACACATCAAATTTACATACCACAATTTAATGTATTGCATGTCTTATCATGTTTGTTTAACATGAAGATTATGAGTAAAAACGTATATCATCGTATATCATCATCATTCGTTTATACTTATATACCTGTAAAATAAAATTATGACAGATACAAGAATTGAAAATTGGGTGAGGTGCCAGAAGGGGTTCGCAGATATATATCATCTTCAAAACAGATCTTGCATTAGCAAAAATGTTTGTACAAGTGAAATTTGAAGACAGCTGGATGCTTATTTCTCTTTCTTTGAGCATTTTGTTTTTCAAAATCATCAACCCAATGTGAGGATGTATGTACTAGAAGAAATGGCCCGATCAGTACCATCTTTATAAGAAATCTTGTGTTCATCGAAATATAAAGATGTGTCAAGTCTGAATGCGATCGGATGTTAATTTCGCGTTTTATGAGCGTCATGGATACTCAAAATTTTGACCCTTTGTGGGGAACGTACCAGAAGGAGTGGGGCGATATATCCAATCTTCACAACAGATCTTATGTTAGTGGAAATAATAGAATGTGTGAAATATGAAGATAACTGGATGCTTTTTTTCGGATTTTATATTCGTTTTTGTTATTCAAAATGTTGATCCTTTGTGGGGGAGGTACCAGAAGAAGTGGCCCTATCTCTACCATCTTTAGAACAGATCTTGTGTTGATGAAAATATTGAGATGTACCAAGTTTAAATGGAATCGGGTCTTAGTTTCGCTTTCTTTGCGCTTCGTGGATATTCAAAATTTTGACTTTTTGTGGGGGAAGGAAGGAGTGGACCGATATATTCCATCTTCACACCACACCTCGGATTAATAAAAATATTGTGATGTGTGTAATTTGAAGATAATTGAATTCTCACATCACATTTTGTTAGAGTTATAAATATTCAAAATGTTGACCCATTGTGGGGGAGGTACTGGATGGAAATTTTTGTGAAATTGTCAAAGAAATTGTTTGAAATTTCGTATTTGAAGTTCCTAATAGTAACTACAGCTTGTGACAGAAAATTGTCTATGTAGGTCCACATCTTCGTATAGCCTCCATATAACCGTACCTCGCAATATTCGGTATTTGATATTTTTAGCGACATTATTCACCATAGTTGTCTCAAATTTCGTATTTAGAGTTCGTAATGGGAACTATAGGCAATAACAGAAAATTGTCTATGCAGGTCCAGGTCTTCGTATAGCCACCATATAACGGTACCTCCCGATATTCGGTATTTTGACGATTTTAGGTACAATATTAATCGAAATTGTTTGAAATTTAGTATTTGAATTTCCTAATAGGTACTACAGCTTGTGACAGAAAATTGTCTATGCAGGTCCACATCATCGTATAGCCTCCATATAACCGTACCTCGCAATATTCGATATTTGATATTTTTAGCGACATTATTCACCATAGTTGTCTCAAATTTCGTATTTAGAGTTCGTAATGGGAACTACAGTCTATGCCAGAAATTTGTCTATGCAGGTCCAGGTCTTCGTATAGGCCCCATATATCATTACCTCCCTATATTCCCAATATTTTAGGTACAATATTCACCAAAATTGTTTGAAATTTCGTATTTGAATTTCCTAATAGGTACTACAGCTTGTGACAGAAAATTGTCTATGCAGACCCACTTGTTCGTATAGGCCCGATTTAACGGCACCTCCTTATATTCGGTATTTTAATGATTTTAGCTACATTATGCACCAGATTTTTTTCAAATTTCGTATTTTGAGTTCGTAATGAAAACTATAGGCTATGACAGAAATATTGTAATGGCTTATGGCAACAGCTACCTATGCAGGTCCACGTCTTCGTATAGACCCCAATATAACGGCAATATTTGGTATTTTTAAGATTTTTAACAGCATTTTTAACGGATTTTATTTATTTTATTTTTTTTTTTTAATTTCCAAATTTGTTTCAAATGGTGGAGGGTATTAAAAATTCGGCCAGGCCAAACTTAGCTGCTTTTTTACTTGTTATACCCTACACCACATAGTGGTAAGGGTATTATGTCTTTGTGCATTTGTTTGTAACATGGAGAAGGAAACGAGATAGACCCATAGTTACTTTTGAGAACCTTCATAGAATCACTTTCTGAGTCGATTTATGCATGTCAGTCCGTCTGTCCGTCCGTCCGTCCGTCCGTCCGTCTGTCCATGTATTCTTGTGAACAAAATGCAGGTCGCATTTATTATCCGATTGAGATTAAATTTTCCAAACAATATTTTTTTGGCCCAAGGACGAACCCTATTGAAATTGGTGAGAATCGGATCAAATTTAAATATAGCTCCCATATATATCTTCATCCGATTTCGGGTTAAATGTGCACCAAATGTCCACTATCAGTCCAAATTACCTGAATTTTGGCACACCCAACCGAGTTCGGCCTAGAAGCAAGTATATCAAATTTGGAGAAAATCGGTTCAGATATAGCTATAGCTCCCATATATATCTTTCATCCGATTTGGTGTTTATGCCTCTCACATTCGTAATATGCACTCCACAAGAATGATATTTGGTACCAGATATAAGATACAGCCCAGAAATAGCTGTTTGTAATTTTATCGAAATCGGTTCAGATTTGGATATAGCTCCCATATATATCTTCATCCGATTTTGGGTTAAATGTGCACTAAATGGTCAATATCAGCCCAAATCACCAGTCTAGAAGATAATACGTAAAATTTGGAGAAACCCGGTTCAGAGATAGCTATAGTTCGTAAAATGCACGATAGAATTAGATAGATTTTGATTTTGTACCAAATATCTCATAGAGCTCTGAAATGCCCTGTATAAACCTTTTTACGAGAGCTCTCTAAATATGCATAGTGGTGTAGGGTATCATATAGTCGGCCCCGCCCGACTTTTGAGCTTTCCTTACTGGTTCATTGTTATTTTTCCGCTGACCTTGAGCCATACACTCTCTATTCATGAAAAATAAAAATATCAAAGATCAATAATTATTGATACAACAACAACAAAAAATTATGTCCACATATTTTCCTGATAAGAGTGTAATATAAAGCTGTTTGGTAACAAAACGAGTTAGATTGTTGTAATATATTATATAATATATTATATAATGTTTTAGTACAAATCTGCCATTTCAGATCTGTTGACACCAAAAATTATGTTTTTTTTCTAATATTTGATCGGTCTCGGTCCAAAACACTGAAAGTAAAACAACATAAAATAATTTTCGTTTATGTGTGATTTAGTTTGTTTAGGTATCCATTACCCCGTGTCCATTAAAATCGATATTGTTTGTTAAAAAAAAGAATTGTTAGCGACCTTTTAACACAATATCAATGAAACGAGATTTTTAGAGCGCACAAACGAAAAATTAATCACAAGACATTTAAATTATTCACGACGTGTGACTAGTATTAACATAATTTGATATGATGATTTTATTAACTTGGGTTGGTAACAAACCATGGGTGTTTTTTATCTATTTAAAAAAATATATATTTATATATCTTGCAAAAATTGTTTTATATCTACAAAAAAAAAAGAATATTTTTAGAAATGCCAACGAAACAGATCACGAGATTTTTAAATATCTCTCTCCCTCTATAAATATATTTTGTTATGAACATATTTATATGTATGTGTGGTGAATAAATAATTTGCTCTCTTGGACACCCAACATATTTTGTGTTATGCTTAACACTTTTCGTATAGCAGCAGTTCATAATGGCCAAAACTATTTTTGGTTGGAATTTGTTTTTCTTTTTTTAATGAGAATATTTAATGAATGGAAATAATGATGGATGGACAAACGTATACAGATTTTGTTGATACATTGTTTTCGGAAATACGCAAATCTGTGTGTCATTACCACAAACTTGTTGTGCCAAATGACGTGAATGTTATCCACACACATACACACACGCATAGGTTTTAGGTGTGTGTGTGTTTTTGGGTACTTTTTTCAGAAAATTAATGTATATATTTTTTTTTCTTTTCAATGCGAAATATGACGTTTAACCTCTTAAATTTCTTTTGGACAATTAGTCATTGGATGGTATGAAGACCCCATTAGGTTTACTGTGACAGGTTCAAACAATATTCGTTGTTTTTATAGGTCATCACTTTTGTTGGGCGCCATATGTCAATTTTCCCAAAAACAAAAAATACCGCAAAATCAGTTATCTCGAAGTGTTTTTTTTTCCTCTTGTTTACCTGAACCACCTACATTTCTATTTTTATGCAGAGATTCATTTTAGCTATGATACCCTCAGCCATATGACTAGAGAGAGAGAGAGGGGAGGGTATAGGGTATCATTTGATACGACCAAAACGTGAACCATCGAAATAACCATTTTAGACCCTAGGTATCTTTGGGCCAAATCCGTTTCAGGGCATTTGGTGTCGATCTAGCAAAGTCCGTCCATCCATCTGTCTGGTATTCGGTATTTTCAATATTTTAGCGACATTATTTACCGGAATTATTTCGAATTTCGTATTTGATTATCGTAACGGGTACTACAGCCTATGACAATAAATTTTATATGCAGGTCCACGTCTTCGTATAGCCCCCATATAACGGTACCTCCCGGGCATTTGGTGTCGCTCTAGCGATGTCCGTCCATCCGTCTGTCTGTCTGGCTGGTGCGCACGATAACTCTCGAAGGGACCATCCGATTTTTCTTTACAAACATGGTATATCGTAATATTATTATCAAACTTAGATTAAGTTCGGCTTCTACCAAAAGATCGAAATTTTCAAAGAAAATATTTTACTGCACAGAAAGAAAAATTATAATCCGATTTTGTTCAAACTTTGCAAATCATAATATTTCCATCAGTGCTAGGTCAGGTGAGAAAATTGACAATATCGATCCACTCTATCAAGTACCTCCCCCACAAAGGGTCAAAGTTTTAAATAATTATAACTCTTATAAAATGTGATGTAAGAGTCTGATTGTCTTCAAATTACACACATCGCAATATTTTTATTTACCCAAGGTCTAGTGAGAAGATGGGATATATCGGTTTACTCCTTCTGGTACCTCCCCCACAGAGGGTCAAAATTTTGAATAACCATGAAGCTCATAAAACGCGAAATTAACATCCGATTCCATTCAGAATTGGTACATCTCAATATTTCCAGCAACACAAGGTCTGCTATAAAGATGGTAGAGGTCGAACCATTCCTTCTGGTACCTCCCCCACAAAGGGTCAAAGTTTTAAAATACCAAAACGATTATAAAATCAAAAATATGCATCCGGATCTCTTCATATTTCACACATCCCATTATTTCTCGTAACACAAGCTCTGCTGTGAAGATGGGATATATCGGTTTACTCCTTCTGGTACCTCCACCCAAAGTTTCAAAATTTTGAGTAACCATAAAGTTCATAAATCGAAAAATTACATTCAATTCCATTCAGACTTGGTGGATCTCAATATTTCCATCAACATAAGATCTGTTTCTAATCTGTGTGATAGGGCCATTCCTTCTGGTACCTCTACCACAAAGGGTAAAATGTTTGAATATCCACGAAATTCACAAAACGCGAAATTAACATCCGATTCCATTTAGGCTTGGCACATCCCAATATTTCCAACAACACAAGATCTGTTATAAAGTTGATAGAGATCGGACCATTTGTTCTGGTACCTCCCCCACATAGGGTTCAAGACTTTGCAAAACAAAACGCTCAAAGCAAGCAAAATAGACATCCAACTCTCTTCAAATACAGACATTTTTCACATACAGACATTTTTGCTAACATAAGATTCCAGAAGTCAAAATAAGTTTTAATAATCGACCGTTGGCTGAGGTTATACATCTGACTTATACTTCTTAGCATGTTATTTTTATATACAGATTTATTCTAGTTAATAATTTTTATGCATTTTTTGTTGCAATATTAAAAATAAATTTGGCTAAAATCAGTATTCGTCGGGTGTTTTCTAGAAATGTGTATTTTACGTATTTGAATATTTCAAAAATAGAATGAAAACTTTCAAATATCACAAAATCATGGTTGAAGTTCAATACTCTAAAAAAACAGTTTTGCTGATAAATATCTTGTGATATGTTCAGAGCACCCAACTCCATATTTGTTTTGAATTTTTTGCGAACGAACTTTTCAACAATTAACGCAAAGTCATGTGTGTTTTTTTTTTTTTTTTCATCCAACAACAATGTTGTGTTTATCTGCAATGACACCACTACATTTATTCAAAAATAAATGTTATCACTAAACTAGAAGTGGGGGCATATCCCGATATTATTCTTTGATGTGACATCACAATTTTTATATGGTGCACACGAATCAAATTTCTCACGTAGTCCACATTCTTGGCAATGGAGGATTGTTTTTGTTTTACCAAATTTATTTTCTGGGAAATTCCTTAGGTTTTTGTTTTTTTGTTTTTTTTTTTTTTTGAAAGTCATGTTACAATTGCCCATTGTTTTGGTTAATTTATGTGTTTGAAATTATATAACCTTGATTACTAATTGCCTTTTGTTTTTAATTGTCTTTTCAGGTACGCTTCAATACCAAACCCGTGGTACATGTTATGCACACATGGAACTATGCTTATCGTGCTGCCCGCAAAGGTAACTGGGAAATGTATGCCCGGGATCGTGAGCGTTTTAAAATGCGCATTGATCGCACGGCCCATGTCTTAAATCGCATCCTGGAGCCAGAACATCGTCAGAAAATCTATGAACAACGATTTGTTGCCCCCGAGGTGGAAGTTATGGCATCACCGGGAAGGCCAGATGAAAAAGAAGAAATTCTTTTGCTTCCTCCCAAAAAGAAACAAGTCCAACAGCCACCGCCCAATGCCAATACCAAGGCGAAAAAGAGACAGCGTTGGAAGAAACGAATGCGTCGAAGACCTAAATTTTAAAAAATCCATGGCGACTGAAATTGGATGTGCTTTTCAAAATTCAAAATTTTTTAGTGCTTTGTATTTTGACATCCAATACTACTGTCTCGTTGCCTATGAAAGAGAGCCGACCAACATTTGGTTAAATATATTTCTGTACATAAAACAACAACAAAAAATAAGAAAAGAAGAAGTAAATCACACACACTCATACTTATATACACAAACGAAAATTGAATGGAAGAAAACCACTTTTTATTTCTATGAATTACTCTACCCGATTTAATTGATCGTTAATTTTTTATCTATCGTTCTAGTTTAGTTTACTATTATTATAATATTGGAATTAGAATATCATATCTTAATAAAAAAATGAAAAATAAGTCTAAATTTAAGTATACAAAAATCTAAAAGAAATAATCTTTGTTTCTAAAAATATGTGGGCAAAGATGTTGGGTAAGTATTTGTAATGGGTAATTATGAAGAGAAGAATATATAAAGAAATAAAAAAATTAGCAAAACAATTTTACGTGTGGCCAGGCCACCTAACTTTTAAAACAAACACTTAAGCTGTGTACACATTGTTAAACCTATTTTGATACCTCAAACCATGGTAGAAGAATATAGGTAGACGCATCGACGCAGCTGCTGGGACAATGAACTGTCAAACCAATTTTGGAATTTAAAATGCTGAATAAAAATTATTTAAATTTGTAAAAATTGTTGAAAAATGCATATTAAAATAACCTCAGAATGACGTCCTACTATATTTTAAAATAACCTACTTATATTTTAAAATAAATTTAAAAATTTTTGACATATCAATGCTCCCAAGCGTTGATGCATCTACCTGTATTTTTCTACCATGCCTCAAACCAAAAACATTCCCGGAAATTAGGGAAGAACTACAATCATGGTACAGTAAACAGGGTTGGTAGATCTACAATTTTCTTCTAAGTGTAACCGACATCTGCCAATATAATTATTATACCCTCCACCATACATAGTATGGAGGGTATATTAAGTTCGTCACTCTGTTTGTAACTCATCGAAATAATAATAATTAACCCAACAATAATAATTTTAGACCCTTGATCGGCGTAAAATTCTATGACGATTTAGCCTTGCCCGTCCGTTGTAACCACGCTAGAGTCAAAACGAATAAAGATAGGAAGCTAAAACTTTGCACAGATCAGTATATTGTCTAAAGGCAGGTCAAGTTCGAAGATGGGCTATATCGGTCCACGATATCATATAGCCCCCATACAACGGTACCAGTGCCCGACATTCGGTATTTTGATAATTGTAGCCAAAATTTTTCAATGAATTTGTCTGAAAATCCTCAAAAAAGTTCCTTCTGAGTACTTTACCCCCTTTGAAGAGTATTGTCTATATAGGTCCACGATATCGTATAGCCCATATACAACGGTACCCCCCGACATTAATTATTTTGAGGATTTTAGGGACATTATTCACAGGAATTGTTTCAAATTTCGTATATAGAACTCGAAAAGGGCACTACAGCCCATGACAAAAAATTGCGTAAGCACCCACGTCTTCGTATAGCCCCCATATAACGGCACCTTCCAATATTCGGTATTTTGATGATTTTAGGGACATTATTCACCGGAGTTATTTCAAATTTTGTATTTAGAGTTCGTAATGGAAACTATAGGCTATGTCAGAAAATTGTCTATGCAGGTCCAGGTCTTCGTATAGGCCCCATATATCAATACCTCCCTATATTCGGTATTTTGTAGATTTTAAGTAAAATACTCAACGAAATTGTTTGAAATTTCGTATTTGAAGTTGCTAATAGGTATTACAGCCTGCGATAGAAAATTGTCTGTGCAGGTCCACGTCTTCGTATAGCCCCCATATAACGGTACCTCCCGATATTCGGTGTTTTGATGATTTTAGGGACTTTATTCACCGGAGTTATTTCAAATTTTGTATTTTGAGTTCGTAATGGAAACTATACGCTATGGCAGAAAATTGTCTATGCAGGTGCAGTACCTCCCTATATTCGGTATTTTGACGATTTTAGGTAGAATATTCACTGAAATTATTTGAAATTTCGTATTTGAAGTTCATAATAGGTACTACCACCGTTATAACGGTACCTCCCTATATTCGGTATCGTTTTTAAATACATTATTCTTCAGATTTTTTTTTTCAAAATTCGTATTTGAATATTGTAATGGCTTATGACAAAAGTTGCCTTTGCAGGTCCACGTCTTCGTGTAGACCCCAATATAAAGGCTATATTCGGTATATTTAAGATTTTAACAGAATTTTAAACGGATTTTTTTTTAAATTTGCAAATGGTGGAGTGTAATCAACGTTCAGCCGGTCGAACTTACAGCTTTTTTACTTGTTGTCAAACTTAGATCGAGTTCGGAGATGGGCAATGTCGGTCCATACCTTCTGGTACCTCCCCCACAAAATCTAAACGATTTCAAAGAAAATAATTTACTGCACAGAAAAAGAAAGGATAATCTGATTTTGCTCAAACTTTGCGAATCCTAGTATTTGCATCACGTGCGAAAATGGACAATATCGACCTACTCCTTCAAATACCTCCCCCACAAAGGGTCAAAATTTGGAAGAACCAAAACGATCATTAACTATGAAATAAGCATCCGGTTGTCTTCAATTTACACACATCACAATATTTTTATAAACCCAAGGTCTGGTGTGGAAATGAGATATATCAGTCCACTCCATCTGGTGCCTGTTTGGCCTTCTTATTGTACAATTACCAAATATTACAGCTAAATCATGAATTTTAAATTTAAATAACACATTCTGGTGTACATTCAATTTTAACGTACATGAATTTCATAAACTCATCCTCAGTTTGCAATAACCAACCAATCAAACAAGTTAATACTTCCGACTACAAAGGTTATTTAAGTGTCACTCACTCTGCTTTCAACCTAGCGTGTTGAGAATACCACCATTAGTGTTGGCATGATGTGTCATGTTGCATTGTTATTTCATCATATATTTTGTGTTTACAATCTTATTTCACAATATGTATGATTTTAATCTAAATTGATTGCTTACTAAACTACACAATCAATTGCCGATTACCTTGCCCAAAATTGTGACGTAGCATAAATTATAATTCCATGAGTTATTATTTTTTTATCAGAAATTCCAAAATTTAATAGATTATTTTTTGTTAAATCGGCCTATGATTAAATAAGTGTTTTAAATGACATTTAACCTCTTCTGATTGGATCAGTGATAACATGTCATCATAGCTGTAAATTTTTAAGGAAAGATTATTTTGCTGCATCTGTTGTAACAGCCTTGAAATTCGATTAACGATCTTAAACAATAACACTTAATAATTTCCAACAAATTTAGAGAGTTTAGTATTATTAAATGAATAAATGTGGTTGATCACTGTGACTTCAATGCAATATCATATTATTTATTTTTTGATATGATGCACCCAGTATTTGTTTTATCTTTACTTTTTCGTGTAACACCCTGTTATCAGAAATATTGTTAAGGTATTCTTAAACATATTGTACTTTGCGATTAAATCCATTTAATTATAAAACAAAGAAGTTTTCTTCTGTGCAATATTATTAATTACATGTTCTATGTTTTTTCCCACTTATTTAATTAATAATTAAGGAAATTTTTTTTTATTATATTTCCCACTAATTTGGATGTCACTAATGTTGCTACTATTATTTGTCATTAGTGAATCGCCTTGTTTTCTTTCTTATCTCAATGTACTTTTTGTTTTATCTGTGACACCCAGTGTTCAACATAGCTGCTGTTACATGTGCTAAACATTTCTCTTTACTTTAATTTGCATATTTTATGTATATTCTATGAAATTAGAACTATTAAGTATTATCACGCAAAAATTACTCTTATTTCCCTTTATTTAAATGTCCATTCTCCCTTCTTATGTTGATGCAATTACCAATTCTTTAGTGCCTCAATGTGCTTTTGGAGTTATGTGTGACACCCAGTCACCACCATAGCCGTTATATATTTTTATTATTTTTCTCAGATTTAATTTGTGTATATTTTGCTGTATTTGTTGTAAGTAGCAATTTGAACACGCCACTTTTTATTAATTATATAACATTGCCGCGAATTTTCTTTATTTATTAATGAACTTTTTGTTTTATCCATGACACCCTGTTGCTTGGACAGCTCTTGTGCTATTATTTGCCGGAAGAATATTTAAGTGTTGAGCAATCTCTATTACAGAACGAGGTAAAGAACGAAGTGATTTTTCTTTATCCTCTTCATCGGTGGGAGCTAGGACGTTTCAGCTTCGTACCTATCCTACCCTACTTTCCCAGCTGATTGTGTTTCCTCCTCTATCTTTCGTAACAACAACAAACCTGCCGGCGTCATTATTCATCTCACTTCTTTCACTCTTTCGTAAACAAAACAAAAAAACTGCTATTCTCTTTTGTCAGTCTTATTTGTATAGTTTGGACTGTTTGGAAAGAAAATCTTCAAGACTTGGGCATGGAAATCGTTTGGTCCGATTTCAGTGAAAGCTGTCCAATACTCAAAGAATGTGTAAGATTTAGTATAGAAAATATCTAAAGGAAGTGTTCTCGAGATTTTGGTTAAAGAATTCGCAGATTGTGTTCCTCCCGATGAGAGGATATATAATTAGGAGGCCATTGCATATGGAGGGGCTGTCAAACATTTCTCGAAACTTTTTAAAGCTACATAAAACACATAAAAGCCTTATTGTTCTGTAGCAACTATAGGGAAAGGTATTGAAAATCAAAAGCACGAATTTGAGAAAGTGGACGTCTAGTTGGCATTCAAACATGTTTTCAAGGTTAAATTCCTTCACTCTGGAAGCTCCAACCACATTTTAAACCAGATCTGAAAAATTCGAACCATTTTAATTTAACTTCTTTATTCTCTTACCAGTTGGACTCCTCGGATTTGGCCAAAGAGACGGAAGACACATTGGAATACATTTATGAAGTGCTGTGGATTGAAATTGGATCATTTGTTCGCAGCAAATTGGCACCGACTTTTTGGTCATGCTTCAAACACAATCAGACTTTGGCAAAATTTGAAAAAGATGGTGGAAGTGCTGAAGCTTTGCAGCAGCAATACAAGCTATTTACGAATTTTGTTAATGCGGTGAAAAGTTTGGATGCCTATTATCAATTTGTCAGGACAAGTCTGGAGAAATTGGATGGCATTTGTCAACGAGCGGATCATGGCAAATCATTGGCGAAACTTAATGAGCTATTGCGTTCTGCATTGCTCTCCCAACTGCCAACACATTTTAATAATGTGGTCTATTCGTTTTATAGCGTTTCGTTTAGGGTTTTCTTTAATTTGCATCAGTCCACCAGCATGGGGCAGGGTAAGATCAGAATACTAATTATTTTACACATAAATAATGTATAACCCTTTTCTTTAGATAATGAGGACTTGGATGAATCTGGCATGCCGTGCAAGGGCTGTAACCAGGAATTGGAAAAATGCCAATGTCAAAGTTTACTGCAAACCATCAATGAAGTCAATCAAAAATTGGTGGATTTGGAGCTATTGGACCGTCTGGCTGGCCAGTCCATGACATTTTTGGTACAGCAACGCATTAAAGAACACATTAAGAATACCTGTCACGGTATATTTGATAGAAGCCACTTGAAGAATTTATTGACGGTAAGAGGCATTTTATATCGGAATGGGGATGCAGAAATATAAAACTTTTCATAATTACAGTGGCTGGAAGATGTGGTAATTTGCTGGCTAATGCAGGTATTCCACAGCAAAGTATCTGCTGATCCAGATGCCATGCACACAGATGATGGCTCCAAGTCAACGGATGTCATACAAAGCCTAAAAGTCAAACTGACTTTTTATGTCTACGAAAATTATGCCCTCAGTGTCATTGATCAGTTCTTTAGCATTATCATAGGTGAGCTAAAATACTTTTCAAATTCCATGGCCAAAAATAATTGTTTTTATTTCCATAGATTTTCCCGATTCCATACCGGCCATTGAGGATCTTAAGATTTGCATGGAAAAAATCAATTTGCGACGCCAAATTATTAATACCTTAAAATCTTCCTTGGAGGCTCGCATCTTACATCCGGGTGTCAATACCATGGATATTCTGACTGGCTATGTTGCTGCCATCAAGGCCATACGTTATTTAGATAGCAGTGGTGTCATCTTGGAGACTGTAACAGCTCCCATTAAGGAGTATTTGAGGAAACGTAGTGATACTGTACGTTGCGTGGTAACTAGTTTAACAGAAACTGAATCCGGTCCCACGGATTTGTCAGAAGAACTGGCCAAAGGTGATGCTGTCAAAGATGGCACAAAAGGCAATGTTAACGACGAGTTAAGCAATTGGGAAAATTGGCAACCGGATCCATTTGGTCTGGACAATACAGTGCAAACGCGTACTGTTAAGACATCTCGCAGTGCTGATATTATTTCCATGGTTGTGGATATCTATGGCAGCAAGGAGTTGTTTATGAGTGAATACCGGAATCTGCTGGCAGATCGTTTGCTCACACAATTGGAATTTAATCCGGAAAAAGAAATCAGAAACTTGGAGTTGTTGAAGTTAAGATTTGGCGAATCATTGCTGCACAATTGTGAGGTAATGCTCAAAGACATTGCCGATTCGAAACGTATAAACAGTCACATACACAGTGATACGAAATATGTGGAAAGTAAGTTCAGGGGAATTTATTTTGAGAGCAAATTACAGGTTTTATTTCCTTGCAGATAAACAATTTGACATCTCCTCTCTGATAATATCAGCCCAATTTTGGCCCTCATTTAATAAGGAAAGTGTGGAATTGCCCGAAGAAATTGCCAATGAGTTTCAGAAATACACCAAATCCTATGAAGAGTATAAAGGTAATAGGACCTTGAATTGGCGCACAGTTACGGGCAAGGTGGCAATTAGCATCGAATTGGGCGATAGAGTATTGGACATGACAGTGGCTCCAACACAGGCGGTGATAATTTATCATTTTCAAAATAAAAGTTGGTAGAGAATTTATTTTTTTTATATAAAAATCGATTAAGAATGTTTTCTTTTTTCCCTATAGATGAATGGTCCTTGGATGATTTAAGCACATTGGTGAAAATCCCACCCTCGGTCCTAAGACGGCGCATGGCCTTTTGGCAATCCCATGGTATTATTATTGAATCTCAACCTGGTATTTATAAACTAATCGAGGATGAGTTGCCCAAATCCCAGTTGGAGAAATTGCCAATAAATGAAATCATCACCGAGGATGAAGATAATGAATCGGCCATGGCAAGTGCTTCGGATCAACGGGAAGAAGAGTTACAGGTGGGTGTATTTTGGGAAATTATTTGGACAGGGAGGTCCAACTATACAAGAGAGAGTCTTTAGATCAGGAAGCCTATCAGGCAGGTCTGAATAGCGCATCATTACATTACTGTTGAAATCACGATACAGCCCTCATCATTTGACGTAAAGCTTCAAAATTTGGCAGAACAATTTGTATTGTGTCTAGGAAAGTTGGAATTGAAAATATGATATATCGGTCCACGTTTCGCCATATAACGGTACCGCCATAAAACGGTACCTCCATTTTTCCATGGATTTGTCTAAGAAATTATATTTGTAGTTCGTAATGGGTTCTAGCTTCGGTGGCGGTACAAAGTAAATGTAGGTGCACGTACCCCTTATAATGGTACCTCCGGATATTCAATATTTTGATTATTTTTGCCCCATTTTTTAACGGATTTGTCAAAAAAATTGGTATTTGTAGTTCATAACGGGTTCAATTTCCGATGACAGATTATTGAATATCTAGGTCCACGTTTTCCTATAGCTCACATATAAATACCCGTCGATATTCGGTATTTTGGGGGCTATGCGAAGACGTGAACCTGCACAGACATTTTTCTGTAATGGGCTGTAATATCCATTGCGAACTTCAAATATTAAATTTCAAACAATTCCGGTGAATAATGCACCTAAAATCATCAAAATTCCGAATATATATTATATATAAAGGCGTGGACCTGCTCGACAATTTTCTGTCATGGGTTGTAGTATCCTTTACGAACTTCAAATACCAAATTTGAAACTATTCCGGTGAAGAAATTCGCTAAAATCATCAAAATACCGAAGGCGTGAACCTACATGGCCCATTTTCAATACCGAAAGTCCTGCAGACATAATATACATTTGAGTACAATTTTATCAACCTACTTCACTTCGTTCGGAAGCCAGAGTGATTTCCACAGATGGACGGACATCGCTTAATCGACATAGAATTTTATGCTGATCAAGAATATATACTGTGTGGGGTCGAAAATGTATATTTCGAGGTCTTGCAAACGGAATGACAAACTTAATATACCCTCCATACTATGGTGGAGGGTATAAACATGTTTTCTTTACCCAAGTTCGGCCAGGCCAGGAACTAATTTTTTTTTTCTTATTTCGTCTCGTGAAATCTAATTAACACCTTAGCCTAAGAAACAATTTTAGAATATTTGTTACACTTTTGAAAATAGAGCTATTGGGCTACACTGATTAACATCTTAACTTTATGGTATTTATTTATTTTTTTCTTCTTCTCCCTTTTTCAGGTCTTCTGGTCCTATATTGTGGGCATGCTTACCAATTTGGATTCTCTGCCCATTGAGCGAATACATCAAATGCTCAAATTGTTTGCATCCAATGGCTTGGGTGTTGAATTCACTCAGGATGATTTGAAAGATTTCCTGCAACGAAAAGTGCGCGATCACAAGCTAATCTATTCGGGTGGGGTATATCAATTAGCCAAATGATTTCCTCCTCTATGAATATGTAATTTTAAGTCGTTTTTTTTTTTCAATTAAGATAAAAAAACAAATCTGTAATAATAAATCCCAAAAGTGAATTGACATAAAATTTCATAAGAGCCAAAGCGTAGTGTAAATAAACACAAAAAATTCACGGCTATTACGGCGATAACAACGGCAACAACGACGATGTCAATTTTAAGGCTAGACACAAAGCCACATTTTGCTCACGGCAAATATCGCTGGTGGTGGTGGTGGTGGTGAGTGAGTTTGAGCAAAAACACACTTTTCTCGCTTTTATTGACCACGCTGGGTTAGTATTTTTACACCGTCTTAATCATTAATGGGTGGGAAAACGGCAAAGGCGATAAACGGTTTAGTTGATAAACATCATATAGAGAGTGTGGAGTAATGTTTTGGTGTGGTGCGGTTATTGTTTAATGTTTTGTTTAATAATAAAATATAGATTAAATAATTGAAAGAAAACTAATATTAAAAAATATTATGGTTAGTAAGAAAGGTCATTTATAAAAAAATGCAACTAAAATTAATTAAATTATTAAGGAAATTAACTCTGCAAAGAAATGTGAAACAAAAAGCAACCGGGTCCACATGAGACAAGTTAAAAAAGCATTGTAGAATATACCATTCTTAATAACAAATATATTTGGCAAGTGTTTCCCAAATTTGACCTTCATTATAAGCTGTAAACAAAAGAATTGAACTCCAACTTCACGATCATAGAGACTACCGTGTTTTTGTTTTTTTTTTTCGTTTCTTTTTGCAACACCAACAGTTCCCCTGAAATGTATTTCAATCAATTGAGTGTTCTTTGCTGTGGTAATCGGTTAAATTGATAATGTTATCTCTTTTATAAATACGGGGTGAGATAAAAAAAAACTGCAACAAAGTCAAACGGCATAATTTTTATAATCTCCACCTTAAAAAGTAGGGTATATTAAATTTATCATTCCGTTTGTAACATCCCTAAATATTCGTCGTAGACCCAATAAAGTATATATATTCATGATCAGCATAAAATTCTATGTCGATTTAATGATGTCCGTCAGTCTGTTGAAATCACGATACCGCCCACATTATTTGACGTAGAGCTTCAAAATTTGGCAAGACGATTTGTATTATGCCTAGGATGGTTGATATTGAAAATAAGATATATCGGTCCATGTTTTCGTATAGCCGCCATGTAACGGTACCTCCCGACATTCAGAATTTCGACGATTTCAACGACATTATTCACCGGAATTGTATCAAATTTGGTATTTGAAGTTCGTAACGGATAATACAGCCTGTGACAAATAATTGTATGTGCATGTCCACGTCTTCGTATAGCCCCCATATAACTGTAACTCCCGATATTCGGTATTTTGATGATTTTAGCGACATTATTCACAGGAATTGTTTCAAATTTGGTATTTGAAGTTCGTAACGAATACTACAGCATGTGACAAAAAATTGTCAGTGCAGGCCCACGTCTTCGTATAGCCTTCATATAACGGTACCTCCCGATATTCGGTATTTTGATGATTTTAGCGACATTATTCACAGAAATTGTTTCAAATTTGGTATTTGAAGTTCGTCATGCATACTACAGCCTATGACGGAAGATTGTCTGTGCAGGTCCACGTGTTGGTATGGCCGCATATAATGGTAACTCCCTGTATCCGGTATTTTGATGATTTTAGCTACATTATTCACCGATTTTTTTAAGTTTCGCATTTGAATATTGTGATAAAAGTTCCCTATGCAGGTCCACGTCGTCGTATTTTTAACGGTTTTTATTTTTTAAAAATTGCCAAATTCGTTCCAAATGGTGGATTGTATTCAAGGTTCGGTCTGGCCGAAATTACTGCTTTTTTACTTGTCATTTTTTTTTTAATTATATTGAATGAAAGCAAAAATGTCGGAAATAGCATCAAAATTTAGAATTAGTTTAGATTTTTTGGAATTGGTCACCTTTGGCACGAATTATGGCCTTCAAACGGCCAATGAAACCGTCACACATTGGCCGAATGTTGCTCTGCGGTATTTTGGTCCATTCACGCCCGGCGAAGCACTTATTTGAGGTGATCGAAACTTTGGTATTTTCTAGTACCAGACACAATAGTCCAACGGATTGGTATCCGGAGATTTTGGTGGCCATTGTGCGCTGGAAATGAAGCGAGGAACCTCATTTTGTGACCATTCCTGGGTGGCGCGTGCTGAGTGCGATCGATGGTGTTGAGTCCTGTTGGAATGTCCAAGGACTGCGGCTAAAATGTTTGCGTGCCCAAGGCTTTAATACACCCTCCAGAATATTTTCGCGATAATATTCGGCATTTATTCTGATGCGACGGTCGATTAATACGAGCAGAGAGCGACCATCGACTGTGACGGCCCACACCATCACCATGGCCTGCGCTAAAGTTCTGCTGGTTAAACGAAGGTGCACATTTTCAGCTGACCTCTTTGGCAAGTAAAGACGATTATTTTGTTTGTTTACAAACTGCTGGACAACGAATGTTTTCTCATCGGAGAAAACCAAATTCGGCAGTTCATCACTTTCTCTTTCTTTTGAGTCTATTTTCTTTCTGTTGCGGTTTAAGTTCTTGCACTTTTTTGAATTTCAATGGCTTTACTCCGAGCTCATTTTTCAATATTTGCCGAAAAAAATATGTTAAACGAGCCATTTTTCGGTCACTGCGACGCGGGTTTCGATCAAGTCGCTTCTTTACTTTTCGAACTATTTCTGCTGATGTTGCTGTTTTCTACCGTCTGCCGTCCGCTTCCTTGACTTCGGGTTACGCTACCAGTATCACGGTTAAGAGCGATGGAACCTGGCAAGAAATATTCACATTTAAATGCTGGAGTGCTCTAACGATAGCCACTTGTGGTTTTCCAGCCAAATATAAAGAAATCACACTATCCCGCTTGAATTCCATGACGAATAACTTTTTTTTTCTGGAAAATTGTCACCAAAATGCTTTCATGCTTGTAAACAATATAATGAGCTGTCACTGGAATAATTTTAACAGCTTTCGGAAGAGTGGCTTAGAAATGACAGCAGTCTGAAGTTGCAGTTTTTTCATCTCACCCTCTATGTGTATATATATTTTAAAAAAAGGAATATTATTTCGATATAGCTACCCATAATGAAAATTCATATAAAAGGGAACTTTCAAAACACATCCAGTGTCCATGAAACAAAAATCAAGTTCAGTTACAACAACATATATTCCCATTAGGAAAAGGACGTGTGGTAGTTGTAGTACAAGCTGTGCTGGCAATGACCTATCCTAATTTAACCTAAATAACATTTTCAATCCACCTTAAAGCATTTCAATTGTGTTTCAACCCTCCAAGAATGTTAGAATGTTTCATTTAAGGGAATGTATGAGAAATTATGTGTGCGTTTGTGTGTGTGTGTGAGGGAATGTGTGTCAATTCAATTAATTTCGAAAAATAACATAACGTGTAAAATGGAACAGATTTAATTAAAGAAATATGTCAGCGTTTTTCTTCGGTGTTGAAATGGAGTGCTTGTGAAAATCTAGGACATGTCAGCTGAATGTTCTCACAGTTGAAAGTTTTATAAACTTTTGATGAAACCAAGAGAGTAGTAAAATCGATAGAATATGATTTGATTCATTTTAATCACATTAATATAGGATGGTTTTTGAATAGAAAATAAAATGAAGCCGGAAGCATGGAGTTCTATCTATAGCAGATGTGAGAGGTCTTCATCCATTTAAAAAAGATCCTTTATTTACAGAATATCTAATACAAATTAGATATTATTCTGTCTAAGAACAAGTTAAAAAGTATCAGTCGGTTTTGCCTATATATATATATACTCTCAGCCAATGTTCGATTATTTAAATATATTTTGAGATCTGTTATGATTATTCAAATGTTTGACCCTCAATGGATTAGGTTCCCAAAGAATGGTGCCAGATTTGGACTATATCGACTACTTCCTATACTTTATATGAGATATGAGATATGCGATAATTTTTAGAAAATGTTAAAATATGCGTACCAGTCAACCGTATAGTCAACCGAAGTATGCCATTTTCAAACTTCATCTAATACAGATAAAATAACAAGAAAATTGAACAGTTATATCCAATTTTATGCGAAATCATAAATTCCATATTCATCTCAGGTTTGTGGTTGAGAGAAATATTTAGGTAAAGAATCGCTGACTGGTGCCTCATCGAAATAACGGCTTTAGAGCCTAGGTCTCTTTGGGCCAAATCCGTTTTAGGATATTTGGAGTCGATCTAGCCCGATGCCCGTCCGTCTGGCTGGCTGTTGCGCACGACAACTCTCGAAGTGAATGTCCGATTTGATCCAAACTTGTTATATCGTGATATTATTGTCAAACTTAGAACGAATTCGGAGATGGACAAAATCGGTGCACTCCAATTGGTACCTCCCACACAAAATGTCAACATTCTCAAAGAAAATATTTTACCGCACAGAGAATGGAAGGATACTCTGATTTTGTTCCAACTTTGCAAATCCTAATATTTTCATCAGTGCTAGGTCAGGTGCGAAAATTGAAAATATCAGTCTACTCCATCAAGTGCTTACCCCACATAGGGGCAAACATTTGAATAGTTATTACTCTTATAAAATGTGATGTAAGTGTCTGATTGTCTTCAAATTACATACACCACAATATTTTTATTAACCCAAGGTCTGGTGCGAAGATGGAATATATTGCTCCACTCCTTCTGGTGCCTCCCCACAAAGGGTCAACATTTTTAATATCCATGAAGCTCATAAAACGCGAAATTAACATCCGATTTCATTTAGATCTGGCACATCTCAATATTTCTATCAACACAAGATCTGTTTTAAAGATGATAAAGATCGGACCATTTCTTCTGGTACCTCCCCCACGGAGGGTCAAAATTTTGAATAGCCAAAACGATTATAAAATACGAAATAAGCATCCGGTTCTCTTCAAATTACACACATCACGATATTTTTATTTACCCAAGGTCTGGTGTGAAGATGCAATATATCGCTCCACTTCTTCTTTTACCTCCTCCACAAAGGGTCAAAATTTTGAATATCCACGAAGCTCATAAAACACGAAAATAACATCCGATTCCATTCGGACTTGGCACATCTCAATATTTCCATCAACGTAAGATCTGTTATAAATACGGGAGAGATCGGACCATTCCTTCTGGTACCTCCCCCACAAAGTGTCAAAGTTTTGAAAACCCAAAACGATCGTATAATTCGAAATAAGCATCCGGCTCTCTTCAAATTTCTCACATGCCATTATTTTTACTAACGCAAGATCTGCTGCGAAAATGGGATATATCGGCGCACTCCTGGATCTTCCCCCACAAAGGTTTCAAATTTTTAAAAAAACCAAACGGCCAACCTTTCTGGTACCTCACTCACAAAGGGTTACAATTTCCAATATCTGTCATAACTTGCGAAACAAGTCAGCGATTTGTTACAACTTGCTATATCTAAATATTTATCTTAACCAAAAATCTGATATGAATATGTATTTTATAGAAATTTATGAATTCACATAAAATTGGATATAAATGTTTAATTTCCTTCAAATTTTGCCCAATATTTTTATCTGTATTAGATGAAGTATGAAAATATATTTTTTTTGGAAAATCTGGAAATATTTCCAGATTTTCCAAAAATTTGCACAAATCTCAAAGTATAGGATGTAGTCGATATAGTCCAAATCTGGCACGTTGTAATATTTATATAGAATTGGTTAATATTGGTCAACAGCTTCGGAATCTCCAGTCAACAGTTTCAATAATCATAACTCAAGGCTGGGGGTATACATCTGTCGGCAAAACCGACTAAGACTATTTTACTTGTTTTTAATTGAATTCTTCAGGGTCACTCATAGTTAATGTTTTTGACTTTAATTTCCGATCCAAGGAAAGGTTATGTTTTAGATGTTTGCTTACATTTTGTTTGTTGACAGAAAATGTTGAAATGTGATCCTTTAAGCCGGAAGAACAAAAGGCTTTGAATTGGCCCAACTCTCTTGTTCTTTAAGATTTCTATGGATAAAAAACAATGAAAATCGTTATATAATTTAAACATTTTTTTTATGGAAGAACAAAATATTTAAAGTCTGGCCTCAAGGAAGATGTGAGATTTATTATTATTATTTAAAAGTAATATATATTTCCATTAAAACATCCGATCCAGATTGTGATTATGCGACGGTGCAACACAGACTTAATATTAACCCGCTACTTAATTCCCAAATCAATATTTCAATATAGCATATTTACACCTCTGTCCCCACCCCCCAAATTTTAACCACCTGTTTCAGCATTGACCTAGCTCTGTAGTTTACCCTAATTACATATCATAAGCCTAGCATTCAATAACATCTTCACAATGCATTCAAAACGAAAATGCACTTGTTGGGGGTGTAATTGTCATTTTTTCGCGCCAAAGTGCTACGAACATGTCCAACAGACACATACATACGAACATACTACTAACGAGGGGTTTTAATTTTGCAATTTAGTTTTCGAATTGTGCATTCCATTGTTTGTTCACCATCGAAATATATACATAATGCTTTTGTGCTTTGTTCTCCTAGGCAGCAGAGTCATTCCGTCACCAATACCCCCATCTTTGGCGAAATAAAATTCTATATAATTTTTTTTCACTTATATTGGTATTATTATTGTTACCGTCGATGAAGTGCTCCAAAGTAGCTTTATCATGGCAAAAATTAGCAACAATAAAAACGTACTACAACATTTTTTTCAACAAATGACGTTAACTCGCGAGAGAGAGAGAAATGCTCCCTCTCTCTAAATGTCGTCGTAATCATTTCATGTTTCCTCCCCCAAATTTGGTGTTATGACGGGGATATTTGAAAACAATTTCTATTTTGGGGGAAAATTGTTTTGAGTTGAGCTTTCAAATACACTTAGGTCTCGTTTTATGGCATACATTCCATGTGGAACTTTTCAAGAGGCTACATTCTTTTCCAAAAAGGAAATTACTTAACTAATGAGATGACATTTTGTTTTATAGAGGATGTAAATGGTTAAATTTTCGACTGAGGTGAAATTTTATTTTTACAAAATAGACTTCAGTCTGATAAAGTACACATTTTTTCTATATACAGAGAGCTGAGGTGAATATAAATAATACCTTTGTCTACTGAGATGAGGTATATTTCCAATAGAAAAAAAAGACATCAGATGACGGATAAATTTGGTAATATTGAACAAAGTACTTCAGATCATAATAGTGAATTTTTCTATAGAAAAAGAAATGCCTTAGTTCACTGAGTTAAGTTATTTTCTAGAGGAAAAACATCATATTATTCAGGTGAAATTTTCTACAAAAAAAGATTTCGCAGATCATTGGTGGATTTTTTTTAGAAAAAATAATTCTTTAATCTACTGAAGTGAATTTTTCCATAGAAGAAATACCTCATATTACTGAGATGATATTTTTTCCAAGAAAAAATACCTTATACCTATGAGGCGAGTTTCTTTCCTATAAAAACATAATTTAGTCTGAGCTAAATTTTTCCTATAAGTAAAAAATTCCTCATCCACGATTTATATAGAAACAAGTAAAATAGTATCAGGCTTGAGTTATGATTATTCAAACTGTTGACCCTTTGTAAGGGAGGTTTCAAAGCAGTTGGCCAATATTGGACAATTCGTATCTGACCCAAGATTGATATAAATATTACGACGTGGCAGATTTGGACTATATCGAACACTTCCTATACTAGCGGACCGAAGTATTCAATTCTCAGACTTCATCTAATACAGATAAAAATATTGGTACGTGCAAAATTTGAAGGAAATCGAACATTTATAGCTATTTTATGAAATCATAAATTCGGATTACATTTTTATGTCAGATTTCTGGGAAATAGTTAGATATAACAAGTTTTAAAGAATCGCCGACTTGTTTCGGAAGTTATGACGGATATAAGCATTGGAAATTTTGACCCTTTTGTAGGAGTGGTACCAGAAGAGGTTGGCAGATATATATCATCTTCGCAACAGATATTGCGTTAGCAAAAATATTTGGATGTGTGAAATTTGAAGAGAGTTGGATGTTATGTTTCTCAAAATCTTGAACCTATGTGGGGTGGTACCAGAAGAAATGGTCCGATCTCTACCATCTTTATAATAGATCTTGTGCTAATAGAAATATTGAGATGTGCCAAGTCTGAATAGAATCGAATGCTAATTTCGTGTTTTATGAGCTTCATGAATATTCAAAATTTTGACCATTTGTGGGGGAGGTACCAGAAGGTGTGGACCGATATCTTCCATCTTCACACCAGACCTTCGATTAATAAAAATATTGCGATGTGTGTAATTTTAAGAGAACCGGACGTTTATTTCGGATTTAATAATCGTTTCGTTTGTTCGAAACTTTGACCCCTTGTGGGGAAGGAAATTGAAGAAATGGCTCGATTTCCACTATCTTTATAACAGATATATTCCATCTGCGCACCAGACCTTGGGTAAATAAAAATATTTTGATGTGTGTAATTTGAAGACAATCGGACACTTACACCACATATTATAAGAGTTATAATTAATCAAAATTTTGACCCTTGGTGAGGTAGGCACTTGATGGAGTGGACCGATATTGTCCATTTTTGCACATGACCTAGCATTGATGCAAATATTAGGATTTGCAAAGTTGAAGCAAAATTGGAGTATCCTCTCACTTTCTGTGCAGTAAATTATTTTCTTTTTAAATGTTGACATTTTGTGGGGGAGGTACCAGAAGGAGTGGACGGATATTGCCCATCTCCGAACTCGATCTAAGTTTGACAACAATATTCGAGCACATCGATAGATCGACTCTAAATGTCCTGAAACGAATTTGGTCCAAAGAGACCTAGGGTCGAAAGTCGTTATTTCGATGAGGCACGTATCAAATGATATATACCCTCTTTAGCCATGGCTGACGGTATAAAAATAAATCAGACGACTGAGGCACATTTGGATCTGTTGAAAAAAGTATTTCAAATATTAGTGGTGAGTTTTTTTTGTATAACAAGAATGCCTTAGTCCACTGAGGTAAATTATTTTATATTATTCGTATTATTGAGGTGAAATTACCTATAGGAAAAGATTTCGCAGACCATAGGTGGGATTTTTTTTAGAAAAAAAAATTCGTTTATCTGCTGAGTTGAATTTTTTTATAGAATAAATACCTCATACCACAGAGATGACTTTTTCTCCAAAGAAAAAAAAATACCTCATGCCAATGAGGTGAGTTCTTCTCCTAAAAAACGTCACTCAGTCTTGCTGAGGTGAATTTTTCATGTAAGAAAAATGTTTTTTTTTTGTCAGACAAAATAAATATCACAGTCTACCGAGGTGGATATTTTCTATAGAAAAAATAGTACTGTGGTGAATTTTCTTGGTATGGAAAGAAAGGTGATATATTTTCCTTTGGTCCGAAATTTGTTTTTCTTTCCAAAATCAAATTTCTTAATTTTCTTTCAAACGGAAAAAAGTAACTTCACCTTGCGGCCTCACTGTACATGTCTGTTGTTAATGGGTTGAGCGAGCATTGTATGCGGATGTTTGTGCGAATCTCGAAACGACGACTGACGGGTGTTATTCAATGACAAATTTGACACAATTCAAGAATGCTTTGTGGATATAAACAAAGCTGGCATTTGAAATGAGAATCGAAAAAAACACACACAACGCTTTTGGTGGGGAACCTAGTGCGCACAATCCGCGCAAATGTACCCACCATGGATATTGCTCTCCTCTTTCTCTCTCTCTCTGTCGCTCTATCTATGTCCCTGTGTGTTTGTCCATCCGTCCGGCGGCTGTGCTTTGCTTCCTTCCGTGTGTGTTTAGGTTAGGCTAGGCGGCACTCTCTTTTGTGTGATGAAATGTGAAAAAATGTCTCCAGAGACCGTTACGACGAACAAGGGTTGAGGTGAATTTGTGTCTCTATTGTCGACATACTGCCAGAGGCAGATACACTCAGTTCTAGTACGACAATTGGACAATAGAGTTTCGAGAGGCAAAGCCAGCCAGCGTTGCCGAAGGAAGAAATCAATAAAAAATGTTGTTTTTCATAAAAATTACTTTACATCAGTTGTGAGAAGAGCAGCAGTTGAGGAGCCGAAATTGTGGAAAAGAAAAAAACGCCAGCAAACCTTTGCTTCGCAATAAAAGTTTTAACCTTTTTCTTCGTGTCGTGTCGTGTCGTTTGCGTGCGTGCGTGTGTGCGTCGTTTTTACAAAAAGTTGTTTGTTTTTGTTGTTCCCGTGCTAGTATTGTTATTATTATTATTTTGTTTTTAATAAATAAATTTAGTTTAGAATGGATTCTAGTCATCATGTGACGGTACCATTACGTTATGGTATCAAGAAAATGCGTAAACGTCGAGACTTGGATGCTTTGCTGTCACAGGCCAAGGGTGGTGGAGGAGGAGGCAGTGGTGGTGGCAGTGCCAGTTGTGGCGGAGGACCACTGAGACGCGGTAACAACAATAGAGGAGCCCTGTATTCGCAGGATAAGCTCTTGAATAATGTTTCCACCGATGACCAGGAGGATTACAATTGGGTGAGTATTACTCGCAGCAGATTTATGAATGAATTTTGTTTGCAAAACCACCTAACCACCCACAACCTCCCCCTCCCCCTATCTTTCTCTTTTTATGCCTTTCTTTTCAGCAGCCCAAAGTCAAACAGCCCACACATCACTGCGGCCACAACAAACAATTGATATTCCGTTTATACGGCATTCTACTGTTCGTGATTACCCTATCAATATTCGTTGGCTTTACCTACTGGTTAAATTTCAATTTACAACAACAGATCTATGAATATAAACAAAAAGTTGAACAAGGTGTGTACCTCGCAAGTTGTGCCATTCCAAGAAAGAATCTTAACGGAAATTTTTTTCCCTTTTCAGTTTCCGCAGCCAGTCAAATCCTGCCCGACACCCTACAGGCCTGGCATGAAACCTCGAAAAATTTAATAAAAAATCAAACCTCGATCTCGGCGAAACTGTCGGAGCTGCAGCAATCGCTGCAGGTGTTGTGGAAGAATTTCAGTGAATATCGTACCTCCCAGGAAGCACAAAAGACCTACAAGGAAGAGAAAATTGTGGCCGATTTTGGGGCCAAAATCGAGGCCATCGCCACGGATGTGGAGAGCATGAAGGACCATTATAACAATGTGAAACAGCAGCAAACGAACCTGCAAAATGTCTTTGAGAAGTTGAAGGTGAGGCATGAGATTTTCAATTGTAATAAGGAGGGGAGTTTTACATTCAGACATTTATGGAAGACGTGAACATATTTAACTTATAGAAGATATTTTGAAGGAGTTCTATTTTAGAACCCCTTGAGAGAGTACTCTATCAGTAAAAGGCCTTTAAAAGTTAACTATGTGTGGAAGGCCATTATAAGTATCCCTATATGTAGAATACTTTTAGAAGGTCTTCTTTTTGTTCAAGAACTTTGGAAGTCCCTCTATAAATAGATAACCATTGGATACCGAATATTTTTACGAGAAGATCTTTAACGAATATAAAAGTCCTTTCAAGGCCTTCGATCAGTAGACGACCTTTATAAGGCCCCATTAATAAAAATACTTCATATAGTAGTCTATCTAGAGAAGCACCCTTGTATAACAATTCTTCTGCTCTTTTTTTTTTGATAGATATTTAGATGGTCTTCTATATTCAAGACTCTTTTAGAAAGTAGTTTATCCGTAAAAGGCCCTTTAAAAATTTACTATGTGTAGAAGGCCATTATAAGGACCCCAATATGTAGAAAGTGTTTAGAAGGTCTTCTCTTTGTTCAAGAAATTCAGAAGGTAATCTATAAATAGATAACCATTGGATACGAAAGATTTTTACGAGAAGAGCTATAAAAAATATAAAAATATTTTCGAGGTCTCCCATCAGCAGACGACCTTTATAAGACCCCATTCATAAAAATATGTTATAAAGTATTTTATCTAGAGAAGCTCCTAAGGAATTCTTTGTATAACAATCCTTTTGGGCTTTTTGATATAACGCCTTCCAAAGGTACCTAATACATATTTATCTTATCTTCTGGAATTTGAGGTCCCCGTGTGGCATTCTTAACTAAAATAGTCTTTGTAAGCAATCCCTGTAAACAATTCTATGTCGACTTAGGAAGGCCCGTCTTTTGAAAACACGATATCACACTATCAAGGGTAGAGCTTAAAAAATGTGCATAAATATTGATATTACCCAAGGATTTTTGGTATTAGAAATGAAATATATCGGACCAAATTCTATATAGGTATAGGTCCAATATATCAATACTTCCTTATCTTCGGTATTTTGAAGGTTATTGTTAGAAATTTTAAACAAATCAGCTATTAGTTAACTTTTGAAGTAGCCCCAAAAATATTAAAAAAGGCCCACTTCTTTGTGTGGGCTCATAGAACGGTACCTACCTTTCGATTCTTATTTCAACCAAATCAGTCGTTTTTTGGCATTTAGAATTTCCAACCAAATCAGCTGCAATTTGATATTTCGAATTCTTCATTGGGTTGATTAACTCCTACCAAAAAATACAATCTGTGTATAACCCCATTTAGCAGAACTTCCACATTTTAGCAATTTTGGGGTAGCGGATTTAGTCATACATCAATTTTTCATATGATGTAAGTATTTTGTTTTGTTTGATCCCCTAAAGGTCCCTTACACATAGAATGTCTCTATATCTTGTACCTATGGAAGTCCTTAAGTGGTATCCTTACAGGAAATTAAATCTTTACACGGCCATTTCAATCCCCCATTTTTAAAAGACTTTTTAGTTACTGATCCAAATCTTCATTCACTTTACAAACTATAACTAATTTGTCTTATTTTCATCGCCCATTTCAGTCCAACTTCAGCGATGGCCTAAAGAACATGGCTTTGCCGGTTAATTACACGGAAGAATTGAAATCGCTGAGAACGGATTTACAGGGGAAAATCGACAAATTGGAAGCCAATGCCAGTTTCATCAATGATACCCTAACACAAAAGTCAATTATAATGCACGAGGAGTTGGTGAAACACAAGGTTAGTATGGACATTTAAAACTCCTAATTTATTTGTGAAAATATTGAAAATGTTGTGTCTTTCAGAACAAATTGGATGAACTATTTGATCGCAGTGCCAATATAACGTCCCACGTAACATCACTGGAAAATACATGGCCGGATTACAAACAAAAGATAATTAATTTGGGTCAGGATGTACCGCGTCTGGAGAAGGATGTAAGTGGGGTTATGTTAAGTGGATCACAAGTGTACAAATTAGATGGGTATAGACAAAGAAGTCAACTTATAGGTCTACTATAGATAGTATAACCTTTAGAGTGCAATGAAATGCTTTAATATGTCTTCGACAGATTAAAGCATCTATGGAAAATATACCATGTAGAGCATTCCTATGTAAAGAAAGAATTTTAAGGTTTTCCAAAATTTCCACAATTAGTAGTGTTTTAATATCTAGAGGATCTTTTACAAGTATTTTTAAGCAAAAAAAACTTTTTGAAATAAGAAGTCTTTGCGGAAATGGACAATATCGGTTAACTCCATCAAGTACCTCCCCCACAAATGGTCAAAATTTTGAATAATTACAACTCTTATAAAAAGTGATGTAAGAGTCCGATTATCTTCGAATTGCACACATCCCAATATTTTTATTTACTCAAGGTCTGGTGTTAAGATGAAATATATTACTCCACTCCTTCTGGTACCTCCCCACAAAAGGTCGAAATTTTCAAAAAAATATATTTTCTGCACAGAAAGAGAAACAATAGTCCGATTTTGTTCCAACTTTGTAACTCGTAATATTTGCGTCAGTTCTAGGTCATGTGCGAAAACGGACTATGTCGGTTCACCCCATCAAGTACCTTCCCCACAAAGGGTCGATATTTTGAATAATTGCAACTCTTATAACATGTGATGTAAGAACCCGTTTGTCTTCAAATTTCACACAACCCAATATTATTATAAACTCAAGGTCTGGTGTTAAGATCGAATATATCAGTCTACTCCTTCTAGTACGTCCCCCACAAAAGGTCCAAATTCTGAATATCCATTAAGCTCATATAACGTGAAATTAACATCCGATTCCATTTAGACTTGACACATCCGAATATTTCCATCAATATAGGATTTGTTATAAAAACGGTAGACATCGGACCATTCCTTCTGATACCTCTCCTACATATCTCTCCTCAAATTTCACACATACAAACATTTCTGCTAATACCAGATCTGTTGTGGAGATAACAAATATTTGCGAACCCCTTCTGGTACCTCACCCACAAAGGGTCACAATTTTCAATACTTTTATCTGTCATAACTTGCGAAACAAGTCAGCGACTCTTTACAACTTTTTATATCTAAATATGTCTTTCAACCAGAAACCTGAAATGAATATGTAATTTATGATTTCGCATAAAATTGTATATAAATATTAGATTTTCCTGTAATTTTGCCCATACCAATATTTTTATCTGTATTAGACGAAGTATGAAAATGGAGAACTTCGTTCGTCAAGCTAATTTCGACTCAATGTGCGTTTTTTAATAATTATCACATATCTCATATAAAGTGGACAAAGTGGTCGAAATAGTCCAAACTTGGCACGTCTCAATATTTATATCATTTTAATTTAGATCCAATAGGAAATGCACAATATCGGTCCATTGCCTCGGAACCTACTCCATATAGTGTTAAAAGTTCGAATAATCATAACCGAAGTCAAATTATATTTAAATAATGAAACATTGGCTGAGTGTATACATCTGTCGGAAAACCGACTGATTCTTTTTATCTTGTTTTAATAATAAAATTAATATGTCTTTACTCCTCTCCTTCCAGATCTCCCTCTTATCGCTGGCCAGTCAAAAAATGGAAATGTCCTTTAAAAACATCTGCAAAGAATGCCAGAATTCATATATTGAAGCCTTACAACAGCACAATATTGTTGAAGAGAAGAAAGCTGTAGAAAATATCAAACCGTCTGAAACGAAAACGGTAAAAAATATTTAAATTATTTAATTTTGATTTAAATTTTATACAAATTGTATTTATTTTCTTACAGACAACGACCACTTTACGCCCCTCTAATGTGTAGTGTGTTTATTATCATAACAAAAACCAAAAAAACAAACAAACAACAAATTTAATTAATTTTTAAATTAATATTAGATTAACAAAACAAACATTAAAACAATTTCAAATTAATTTTAATTCACCGTCTTTAAAAAAACAAAATTGAAAAGAAGTATAAAATTAAGATTTTAACATGACTTAATAATGACACACAAACACACAGAAATATTGAAACAAAAACAAAAACATGTGAAACGAATTGGCCGCCATAGTTGATAATTTTTAAATTGCAAATGTTTTAATTATGAAGAAAACAAAAAAACCAAAAATTAAATTGTATTGTCTAAGTAAAAGTACCACAAAACAGGACAACAACAACAACAAAGCAACATCACCATACATTTTTTTGTTTAAATAAAAATGAATGTATGTTTTGAAATGTGAGATTCGAAAGGGTGTTTTTATTTGAAATGAGAAAAGTGGGAATAAGAATACCTGCAATACAGCCAATGGATTTCAACTGACAATACAAGGCGCGAACTTCAAACGAAGGCTACTAAATTTAAGATTTTATGTATACGCAATGAAATGGATGTACAAGAAAGAGAGGTCCGATCTCTACTATTTTTATAACAGATCTTGTGTTGATAGAAATATTGAAAATGTTGAATATTCAAAATGTTGACCCTTTGTGGGGAAGGTACAAGAAGGAGTGGACCGATATATTCCATCTTCACACTAGACCTTGAATTAATAAAAAGATTGTGATGTGTGTAATTTGAAGACAATCGGACACTTACATCACATTTTATGAGAGTTATAATTATTCCAAATTTTGACCATTTGTGGGGGAGGTACTTGATGGAGTGGACCGATATTGTTTGCATTTTCGCATCTGACCTAGCACCGATGCAAATATTAGGATATGCAAAATTGGAGCAAAATCGGATTATCCTTTCTCTTTCTGTGCAGTAAATTATTTTCTTTGAAAAATGTTGACAGTTTGTGGGGGAGATACCAGAAGGAGTGGACCGATATTGCCCATCACCGAGCTCGATCTAAATTTGACAAAAATTATACCCTGTACCAAGTTCGGATCAAATCGGATACTCGCTTCAAGAGTTCTCGTGCGCACCAGCAAGCCATCCAGACGGACGAACATCGCTAGATCGACTCCAAAATGTCCTGAAACGGATTTGGTCCAAAGATATCAAATTATATATTCCCTCTCTAGCCATATGGGTGGGGGTATAATAAGTTGATTTTTATATGTTTTCTTATACGACACCAATCGGAGATTGTTATGATATGTATTTTTCAACAATTTTTACAAATTTCAATAATTTTTCATTCAAAATTTTTAATTTTAAAATTAGTTTGACATGCTAGCTACGCAACAGAATTGACATTTTAAATCCACTGATCATGTTGCATGTAAACATGCATTTATTAAGGAAAAGCCCCATAATTAATGCATATCACGATATATTTTCTTTAATATAAACATCTCCCCATATAAACATATTAATGACATGATTATATATACTTATTTTGTAACATTTTGATATATACTTCATTAAATATTTATTTTCTTATAAAAATCAGTTGATTCAATTTAAAGAGGGAAAAAAGCAACACAGTGATGCCACATCGCATCTATTCGTTTCATTTTCCCCTCATTCGCATCATATGTTTGAGTTAATGTATGTGTTTCATTCCGTTCCGGTTATGCACAACAACTCGACTATTGCTGCTTGAACGTGTATTTTCTTTAGTTGTTTTTTCAACTTCTCAAATCCATCCACGTTTACTTTTGCTTCGGCGGGTTGCCTCCTAAAAAGAAAACATTTCTAAGTGAAAATGGCTCCAAACGCAGCTAAGGCCGTACCCCAATCTCGTTATGAACCTGAAGTTGGCATCAATGCCATTCTGTTGGGTCCTCCCGGCTCCGGAAAGGGAACTCAAGTAAGTAAGGAATAGCGACGAACTACGGCGACGACCACTTAACATTTTAATTGATATCTGAAACTCAATTGCCGTCGCTGCTCCGTCCCCCTTCCATGCACCTGCAACAATGTTGTGACTACCATGGTCAAAGGTGGCAAAGAGAGAAAATTTATAAGAATTGTGAAAAAAAGAAATGGAAAGCAAACGGAAAGTATAGTAAAGTTACATAATCGTGAGACAGGCAATTTATGCAAAGATAGTGGCGGTGGTGGTGGTGGTGTGACGACCCATAAGTTTCCAGTATACAACGAAGCTGTGCTAATCAGATGTTTTGAATGGCGCTAAATTATGCTACTATTTTCGTAAATGGACACATGGCACAATTAAATTTCTTATGGCCGATGCGGTCAGATCAAGGTCGCGAAAGGCATATATTTAACGCGTAAGATAACGAAAATTGAGTGAGAGGGGAAAATCTTGAAATATTCAAACAATTCCATAATATCACAATATAGGGTTTCGATAAAACAAAAGTAATAATAGCTAGCTCCCCCCGCACACGCATACATTGAAATGAGTACACATTAGGTGGCCTCATGAATTATGGTCTAGATAATCATTTGCTTACGGTCAGTCATAATTGGGATTTAGTGAAAAGTTTAGTCAAGCATTAAATTCGTTTTAAGGAAGTTTTGAAAAATATGTGCCACTATACGGAAGATAACTCAAGGACCAGTGAAAAAATCTATTTTCCCAAAATCTGTGATTTTGAAGGATTGATAAAGATGAATGACTATTTTAAACATGAATTTAATTTGTGAGTATATGTAGTTTTGAGTTATTAAAAAAATAATGTTAATATTTTTTCATAGAAGTATCTTCAAATCTTTTTTCCAGCTGGATCATTCATGTCAATTGTAAATTACTTCTAGTTGTTTTACTATTTCCTTTGGACAAGTGAATATGGAACATATGTCAGAAAGAGCCATTAGTTATTTTCCTCTTTTGGAAACTGTGCCAAATAGTCATTTATTATTTTCAACTTGTTATGGAAGAACCTGTACCTATTTTGAAGAATATTGCTTACCGATCTGGTTCAAATCTAAAAAAAAGAAGCAAACTCTAAAAAGTTTTAAATTACATAAAATGCAGGCTTTATTAGATAAGTATTAGATATTTAGATTGATTTAAAACTTAAGCCTTAAACTTTTATAGTATTGTAGATTTTTGGGACCAATAACTTTAGAAACATTCGAATGTTCTCCAAAATTCAAAATTTGAATGGCAGTTATAAAGCGAAGCAGCTTCTTTCATTTTGGATTTTATAACGCAAACATTACAAGACTGCTTGCCTTCAACGACAGGAATAGTAAAATGGATTTATTATAAATTGAAGTTATGCCTATAGTCATAGAATCGTCATAGCCTCCCTTACTGGCAATTTTCTCAATATTTTTTGTACCTCTAAATAATTTTAAAATTTATCAGCCTTAAGTATTCAATTGCGTCATACAGTGACACATCAGTGATTCTTCACTTGGTTACAGTTTGATTCTAAAATGTCCATATAATTCCAAAACACACATCCGAATTTATTTCTAAGCATATGCAGAAACATAGCAACTGCTTCCTGAGTGCATTCACGTGAGTCTCCCTCATATACTGAACACATAAAACATACATATGAGCGGATATCTAGAGCCACTTGTTAATAATTGATTGGTTGGTTGAAAACACCTTTAGTTTGGTATTGTTTTTCTTCCATTTATTGATTATGGCATTCTGTTTTTTTGGAAACTTTTATTTTAATTTGATATTTGATAAAGTTTTGCGGCAACACAATTGCCGTTTGATAAGAAGAATCTTACCGCATAAACAATATAGAATAATTGTTTTTTTTTGTTTGTTATTATTATTTCTATCAATGACCTTTGGCCAGCAGAAACTAATCAAGTTGAGTATGTCCAATGTTTACTAAATATTATGCGTTTATGGCTATGAAAGTTTAAGCACGTATGTGTACATAGGTGCATGTATATTAGCATTTAAGAAATATAGGTATGGAATGAAGAGTCAGAAAGGAGTCTGGATATTAAAAAAAAAAACTTGATTTATATACGATTTAAAGAGAGGGTCTTTATAAATTGCATCAAAAGACCAGGAAAAAGTATTTTTAACTGAAACAAGCTAAAAAAGTATCCGTCGATTTTGCCGCCAGGTATACATCTAGCCAATATTCGATTATAATATTCGATTATTTAAATATATTTTGTTTTCTGTTATAATTATTCAAATTTTGGACTCTCTATGGAGTAGATTCCGAAAGGCAAATATTGTTGGAACTAAACGAATATGATATAAATATTGCGACGTGCCAGGTTTGAACCATATCGATTGCTTCCTTCATTTTATATGAGGTATGTGATAATTTTTCGAAATTGTTAAATTTTGCGTGTGAGGTCCCAGATAAAGTCTACCGAAGTATTCAATTTTCATGATCCATCTAATACAGATAAAAATATTGGCATGGACAAAATTGCAAGGAAATCAAACATTTATATCCAATTTTATGCGAAGTCTTGAATTCCATATTAATCTCAGGTTTATGGTTAAGAAAAATATTTAGATATAGCAAGATAGTTTCGCAAGATATGACTGATATAAGTATTGGAAATTGTGAACCTTTGTGGGTAAGGTACCAGAAGGAGTTGGCAGATATATATCATGTGTGAAAGTTGAAGAGAGTTGGATGCTTATTTCGCTTTCTTTGAGCGTTTTATTTTTTAAAATCTTGAAAACTACGTGGGGGAGGTACCAAAAGAAATGGTCCGATCTCTATTCCTGATGGAAATATTGAGATGTACCAAGTCCGAATGAAATAGGAGATTAATTTCGTGTTTTATAAGCTTCATGAATATTTAAAATTTTTACCTTTGGTGGGGAAGATACTTGATTGAGTGGAGAGATATTGTCCATTTTCGCACCTGACCCAGTAGTGATGGAAATATTAGGATTCGCAAAGTTGGAGCAAAATCGGATCAACCTTTCTCTTTCTGTGCAGTAAATTATTTTCTTTGAAAAATGTTGACAGTGTGTGGGGGAGGTACCAGAAGGAGTGGACCGATATTGTCCATCTCCGAACTCCATCCAAATTTGACAATAATATTACGATGTGCCAAGTTTGGATCAAATCGGATACTTCCTTCGAGAGTTATCGTGCGCACCATCCAGACAGACATTGCTAGACCAACTCCAAATGCCCTGAAACGGATTTTGTAAAAAGAGACCTACGGAGTTCTTACAGACGGGGTTTTCAGCCAGTTCATAGACTAAGAGAAAACAGCTTATATGGCAACCAGAAGGGAGCCTATAAGATAGTCTTTATAGGGGACGATTTGGAGAGAGAGATTCCTTTTAAATCCCATAAAAAGCAGTCCAGAAGAAAGTATTTTAAGCTCAAAAGCGTCCAGATTGGAGACCAAGAATATTTTATTTTTTCAACCAAATGAGACTTATAGGGAGATACAACTTTGTGTGGGCGGAGGTAGTATTTTCCAGAGTCGGTCAGAGTCGCATCTGTAGAATTTTGTTTAGGAGCCACTATGGGGAGTTATTATAGACGATTTTAAGAGAATCTCTTAGCCAGTTTATATACCACGTGAAGGCTGTTCTATCAGAAGGAACTTCATTTGGATGAAGTCTTCAAAAAGGTCTGAGGGCACTCCAAAAGTTAGACTTTGTAGGAAACCAAAAGAAAGAAATTATCTTTAAGCTGGGCCCTTAAAAATATCCATCCAAAATCAAAAATTTAATTTTCGTTAGTGGTTCTGAAAAAATCCACAATTTCAGCTAGGAAAGTCTTTTAGAAATATTTCGAAATAACCATGTCTATAGGTCAGGATATTCTTTTATATTTAAACAAAACCAAGATCATAGCCTGCAACATTCTTTGAAAAATATTCCAAAAAACCCACGACTATAACTCGGGAGGTTCTTGAAAAATTTCTGTCTTTTTTACGCCCAAAAGTGTGAAGCTTGGACCCATAAAATATATTCATACAAAATCAAAGATTATAGTTCTGCCAGTGGTTCTGAAAAATTCTACGATTTCAGGTAGGAAAAGTCTTTTAAAAATATTTTGAAATATCCACGTCTATGGCTTAGTTTTTTTTTTGAAAATATTAAAAAACAAGATTATAGCCCGGAACATTCTTTGAAAAATATTCCAAAAAAAAAAAAAAACCCACGATTATAGCTCGGGAGGTTCATGAAAAAATTGTACATCCAAAAGTGTGCTTTAAAATATAAAATGCATACCAATTTCACCTGTTCTGCTTTGTTTGTTTTCAGGCTCCCCTGTTGAAGGAGAAATACTGCGTTTGCCATTTGTCCACTGGTGATATGTTGCGTGCCGAAATCAGTTCCGGTTCCGAATTGGGCGCCACCTTGAAAAAGGTTATGGATGAGGGCAAATTGGTTTCCGATGAGTTGGTCGTTGATATGATTGACAAGAATTTGGATAAACCAGAATGTAAAAATGGTTTCCTTTTGGATGGTTTCCCACGCACAGTTGTTCAGGCCCAAAAGGTATGTCAGAGGTATTATATATGACTAATATAATTAAATAATAAATTATTTTTGTTATATCATTTATTTCACAGTTGGATGAATTGTTGGCCAAGAGAAAAAGTGAACTGGATGCTGTCATTGAATTTGCCATTGACGATAGCCTGTTGGTTAGACGCATTACTGGACGTTTGATTCATGCCGCCAGTGGGCGTTCCTATCATGAAGAATTCGCTCCACCCAAAGTGCCAATGAAGGATGATGTAAGTGAGATTAAAAAGATGAAATTGAATTTGTAATGCAATAAATTATTCATTCTTGCCTTGTAGGTCACTGGTGAACCCCTGATGAGACGTAGCGATGACAACGCCGAAGCCTTGAAGAAACGCTTGGAATCCTATCACAGACAAACCAAACCCTTGGTTGACTACTATGCCCTTCGTGGCTTGCATTTTGCCGTTGATGCTGCCAAAAAATCCAGTGATGTCTTCTCCCACATTGACTCCATTTTCCAGCGTCAACGCCAACAAAGAATGCAATCCTGATTGGGGGATTTTCTTAGGAAATTATTTGATAAAAATTTTACTTGATTTAATTAATTTTGATTATTTGAGTTTCTCTTTTTTTGATTTTGATTATTTTTTGACTGCCAGGAAACAAGTAACTACAACAACAAAGGTGTTATAGTAATTAATTAATTAATTATGTACTAAAGTTTAATGTTTCAGTAATTGTAATTCAATTTATTTTTTTTTGGCTTTTTATTTTTGAGTAAATCCCCCCACCCAGAATGAGTTATTCATTCTGTTATCATCCAGTAATAGAGAGAAATATGTAACATATATGTACATACCATAGTGTGGTATGTATGTAAACACTAATGTAAGAAAAAAAAGAGAAAAGAACAAATAACCACTCTTATAATTGTAAATGTAAAATAATTAAAAATGAAACTGATGAGAAAAAAAATGAGACAAAAATATATAAATATGGAAAAAACACTTGCATGAAATTAATTCAAATATCCCCCTCTCCCAAGAAGACCGGCCCAGTCAGTTTCTTTTTTGAAGAATTATAAAGAAGAAGAAGAAAAACAAAATCAAAACTTATCTAGAGCCACTTTGAGATTTTAACTGCATTTATTTTGTTCTTCAGTGACTACTCTAGGAGGAAGTATTACATTTCCATTATCTATACTATATGTAAAATGTAATCTTAAATATTTTATTCAATTCCAGTGTATATTCCACCATCCATGCAAATATTTGCTTGCTTCTCCATGCACTTGGCCCCCACCAAAAAAAAAAAAAAAAAAAAAAAACAAGGAATGTTTTCCAACTCCACTTGAATTTCCTTTCCTTCTTGTTTCCATTCATTCACATACTCCAAATTGGCAATGCATTCCATCCTCTTTGGTACAATCCATGTAACTGAATAGCATACTCAAGAATATATATATTCTTATGAACAAATATTTAAAATAAAAAGTGTCAATGTAAATGAAATAAGGCCAGTAAAAAAGAAGGAATTTTAAAATCAACATTTTTTGTTCACAATACAAGTTGATTTAAAAATACACAACTGTTGTTGCTACCGCTGAGAGATTGTACCTTAAGCAATGAAAGTAAAATAAATGATAATAAACATTTTACGAAACGTATATATTAATATAAAATGTATTTATTTTTTGTCTAAAAGTTGGTGGCATATTAACGAAATGAAATCTTCAAATATTTTTTCCAGGGGCTGGATTCTTGTTCTATGAAAATATGAAGTGAAAAATATCTCCTTTATAACATTTTTCATTTGACTGTTCTTTTCTTTATAAAAGTTTTCATTTCACGTTTTCATAGAACAAGAATTAAGATCCAGGTCTGCCAGCGGATTTTCTGTGAAGATATTTTAAGGGACTTTTAGAGGCATTATCGTTAAATTTTAAGATATTTTTTCCAAGGGCTATCAGATGCTTAAAAGTGAAATTTTTAAGCACAGAGTTTAACAAATGGTTGGGTTTTTCAAAAAAATTCTTTAAGAACTTTCAGAGTCACTAACGTTTATTTCAAGGATATTGTTACTAGGTTCAAAAAAAAAAAAAAGCATGAACCTTGAATTTTTAGGAACATTTTAACAAGGGTTATCGGAAGCATAACCGTGTTTTATAGAAATACTTTTCGAGGTCCATCAGAGGCACTCAAACAGGAATAATTCTTCGAGGTTAAACCGATATCTAAACGTGGGTTATTACAAAAAAATTGTTAGGGTAGCGTCTCGGGGTGGTATTTTTATATATTTTTAACATTATTTTTCAAAGCCTATCGGAGGCACAATGGGGATCTTCTAGAAATGTTTTCCCAAAATATATTGAAGGCATTAACATGGAGTTTTTAAAAATATTTGTCAAGGCATATTGGATGTATAAACGCTGATTTGTATGAATATTTTTTCAAGGCTTATCGGGGACACCAACGTTGATTTTTATACCCTACACCACAAGGTGGTCAGGGTATTATGTCTTTGTGCATTTGTTTGTAACAGGCAGAAGGAAACGAGATAGACCCATAGTTCCTTTTGATGATCTGCATAGAATCACATTCTGAGTTGATTTATGCATGTCCGTCCGTCCGTCTGTCTGTCCGTTCGTCTGTCCATGTATTCTTGTGAACAAAGTACGGTTCGCATTTCTTGCCCTATCTAGATGAAATTTTGCACAAATCATTTGTTTGACCCAAGGACGAACCCTATTGAAATTGGAGATAATCAAAAATTTTCATATTCATTTAATCAAAATTTAGATATAGCTCCCATAAATATCTTAGTCCGATTTGCCTTTTATTGTGCACCAAACGTGTAATATCAGTCCGAATAGTATGGAATTTTGCACATACAACCAAATTAGGCCTGAAAATAAGTATGCCAAATTTGAAATCGGTTCAGATATAGCTATAGCTCCAATATATATTGTTCATCTAATTTGTTATTTTTGACCTCCGTAGCCGTAATATGCACTCTGTAACAACAATATTTGGGGACATATATTAAATACAGCTCAGAAATACATTTGCTAAATTTTATCGAGATCGGTTCAGATTTGGATGTAGCTCCCATATATAACTTCGTCCGATTTGCTTTTGATTGTGCACCAAATGTCAAATATTTGCCCAAATGCGATGAAATTTGGCACTTACGACCGGATTGAGTCTGGAAGCTAGTATGTCAAATTTGGTGAATCGGTTCAGATATAGCTATAGCTCCCATATATACTGTTCATCCGATTTGTTATATTTGTTACCCACAGCCGTAATATGCACACCGTAACAACGATATTCTGGGAAATATATCAAATACAGCTCAGAAATATCTTTGCCAAGTTTTATCGAGATCGGTTCCGATTTGGATATAGCTCCCATATATATCTTTATCCGATTTCAAATTAATTGTGCACCAAATGGGCATTACAAGTCCGAATTTAAAAGATACAAATGCTTCGGCATATTTAGTCCTTTGAACTTTAAATTATAATCATTGCGTGTATGATTGAATTCTCCCATAAAAACTTTTAATTGTTATGCGGAGCTCTACTAAATTAGCAAAGTGGTGTAGGGTATCATAAAGTCGGTCCCGCCCGACTTTAAGACTTTCTTTACTGATTTTTTGTTTTGTATCGTAAAGGTATCATTCTCTTTTGTATTTCTATTAGCATATCTACATAAATGTGTTTATTTATATGCTAAGGGAAATATATAGTCTTCTCGCATTTAGTATTCAAAAAAAATGCAACTTGTCATTTATATCTTTATTATTTCAAAATAATATTTGAAAGCCAAAGAGTAACACCATCAACCACGCCACCAGCACTAGCACCACCACCTTCAAATGAATAATGTCAAATTAAGAAATTTTAATGTTTTTAATAAATAAATGCAAATGTTTGTACAACATGAATTTTTTATTACAATTTCTGACTGTTTACATTATTCAAAAAAAAAAAAAAAAAAAAAAAAAAAAAGACAAATATTTTGAAATAAGAAACAAATTTCCCGCTCTATAAATGCCCTTGTTGTCATGAATGAACGGTTGGTTGCCTGGTTGGGTTGGTTGTTCATCACTCTTTGCCATGAGCGATGAGCGGGAGGCTTAGGCGAAAATGTCTTTTAGATCATTTGTCTTTTAATGCCAAAGCGATCGTTATGAAATGATATGACAGCATGGAAGACAAATTAAATATTTAATACCCCCTCCCCCTCCCCTACCTTTTCAACGGGTAACATATATTTCCCATAGATTTTCACTTAGCAGCAGGCCAGAATGGATGCCAAGCAGGAAAATTGTACACAAAAATTATGATGACAATAATTATTATGGGCGGAGGCAGAATGGGGGCCTGGGTGACGAAGACAATGACAACAACAACAACGCCGCCGTTGACGATGACAATTCTGAGGTAGGTAGGTTTCTGGCTACGAGCACACTTGTAAACAAACATATTTTTGAATTTAGTCACAGAATACGGCCAAAAATAATCGAGAGAGGTAAAAACAAAGACAAACATGAAAAAACATGTCGTAAACAAAACACTCGACAAAGTGAAATACACCTGTGAAAAATAATGATATTTTTGTTGTTGTTGGCGGCTTTCTTCGTGTTTTCTTCTTCGAAAGGTAGAATGTGCTTATATTAGTATATATGAGCATATATTTATTATTTATGTATAATATTGAAAAAAAAATATAGGAGAAAAAAAGACATCGAATTTTTAACAAATTTTGACCTTCGAAATCAATCGAAAATTGCGGAAAAACAAATTTGTGAAGGTAAATTAATTTAGTTTTTAATTAATCCATAAATAATGATTGACATCTGTGTGGCAGTGACAAAAATCAAAACAAATATTGGTATTGAACCCAATGGTGACATTTAAATATTTTTGAGTGCCCTCATTTCAAGGTAATTTCATTTCAGTCAAAAATTTATCATTTTTGGAAAAAAACAAGTAAAAAAGAAGATAATTTCGGCTGGGGCGAACTTTTAATACCCTCCACCATTTCGAAGGACTTTGAAAAATTTCAAAAAAAAAAAAAATTCCGAAAACTACCACTTAATTGAAAACCTATACGAAGACGTGGACCTGCATACAAAATTGTTTGTCATAGGCTGTAGTGCCCATTACGAACTTCAAATACGAAATTTGTTACAATTACGGTGAAAAATATCGCAAAAATCATGAAAATACGGAGTATCGGGAGGTACCGAAAACGTGGACCTCACGGACAATTTTCTGTCTTAGATTGTAGTACTCATTAGGATCTTCCAGTAAGAAATTTGAAACATTTACGGTGAATAATGTTGCTGAAATCGTCAAAATACCGAATATCGGGAGGTATCGTTATATGGGGGCTATACGAAAACGTGAACCAACATTTCCCATTTACGAACATAACCTGCCTACTGGTAAACTATGCATGTCTCTAAAATTTTAACCTTATATCTCAATTCGTTCGAAAGACAGCGTGATTACAACAGGCAAACAGACAGACGGACATCGCTAGATCGTCTTAGAATTTTACGCTGATCCAGAATATATATACTTTGTAGGGTCTATTATTAATATTTCGAGGAGTTACAAACGGAATGATGAACTTAATATACCCTCCATACTATGTATGGTGGAGGGTATAAAAAATTCCGCGTTATTACCTCAAGTACGTCTTGTAAAAAAATCTTTAAAAACCGGATCCTTATTTCGTATTTTATGATAGTTTTTATTATTCGAAATTCTGATTCTTTGACATGTAAGTACCAAAAGCAATGATCCGATCTCTACCATCTTTGGAACAGACCATGTGCTGATAGAAATATTGAGCTGCGTCAAATCTGAAGGGAATCGGATGATAAGTTCGCGACTTATGAACTTCATAGATATTCAAAATTTTGACCCTTTGAAGGGGGAGGCGCCAGAAGAAGTGTACCGATATATTCCGTTTTCACATTAAACCTTGGATTAATAAAAATATTGTGATATGTGTAATTTGAAGACAATCGGACCGTTTCATCATATTTTATAAGAGTTATAATTATTCAAAATTTTGACTCTTTGTGGGGAGGTACTTGATGGAGTGGACCGATATTGTCCAGTTTCTCACCTGACCTAACACTGAGGGAAATATTAGGATTTGCAAAGTTAAAGCAAAATCGGAGTATCCTTTCTCTTTCGGCGCAGTATTTTTTTTTTTCAAAATTTTGTGGGGGAGGTACCAGAAGGAGTGGAGTTACCCATCTCCTGACACAATCTAAGATTGATAATAATATTACGATGTGCAAAGTTTGGACCAAATCGTATACTCCCTTCGAGAGTTATCGTTCGCACCAGCCGGCCTGACAGACAGACGGACGAACATCGCTAGATCGACTAAAAAGAGACGTAGGGTCTCTTCCTAAGAGACCTAGGGTCTAAAACCGTTATTTCGATGAGGCACGCTTTGGCCGTATCAAATGATATATACCCTCTCTAGCCATATGACTGAGGGTATACAAATCCAGGATTATGATACGCTTTGAAAAATAACTTTTATTGAATCAATGTCCGATTCGAAAAATCCGCAATTATTAAAGAATCTGAAATTTATTGAAAAAAATTCACGATAGTTTTAAAAAATCTAAGTTCATAATAGCCTTCGTTTTTTTTTTTAAATCCACGAGCATGACTTGCTTGAAAAAATACACCCAAGTTTCGTGCAGACATTTATTTTTTTTATGTTTTTTTTTATTGGGATACACTTTCTTTTACAGCCTTTTATCCTCATCATAATCACTTTATTGACTATGAGAATGATGATGATGTTAATAATGCGATACTTAATTTCAATTCTTCGAAATATACCTCATTCAAATACATATGTATGTAAATCTGTACATATGTATGTATATTTGATTTAGTAGCACCTCTTTGAATACGTACTAAGTCCTCAAATTAATTTAAAATAAGTTGTTTACACAACATATTTTAATTATGGCAACTGAGATATCAACCTTAAAAATGGTTGAAAATAAATTGATAATCATTTTTCAAAAACATATTAAAATTGTTTTTCTTTTTGTTATTCACTTTGTTTGTTACATGACTTGGCGCATTTTAAATTTAGACTAACGATCTGCAACATAAAATGTATTTTAACATAAATTATCATTAGACAGAATTGGGAAATAAAAGAAAAAATATTTGCATTTACGAAATTCAACACAAAACGTTTCCTTCAAAGATAAACATCGGAAAAGTAAAAAAAAATAAAAAAAAAAATGCAATTAGTTTTAATAAAATACGCTACAGTTACCTATAAAGAATACAGTTGAAACAGTTATAGCTACGTTATGCAATGTTTATAAATCGGAATGTACTTGAGAAATATTCTTTAAAGAATTAAACTTTAAAAAATATTCTTAAACAAATCTACGATAGTAAACCTGATATTCTTTGAAAAACAAATGAGCAAATATTCATAAAAAATGAAGTCCACCAATAACTCACAGGTCTTGTAAGAAACATGGTACAATAAAAAGGTAAGGTAGAGCTACCAGCTGATTACAATTTTTTTCTACGTGTGCCCGACTTCTGTCAATTTTGTGTATGTATTTATTGTTTTGAAAAAAAAAAAAAAACAAAATATTTTCAAAATCAATGATAGGAGGAAACATTAATAGCGGACGCGCATTAATGGTATTAACCAAATTTGACACGGAATCGAAAGATTGAACACTTAGGATCATATTTTTGAGAGAACATTCAGGCATTTCATTCATTTTCGCGCTATTTGATTCATTTGAAAAATAACCAAAAATATCAAATACATGAAAACAACTTGTTGGATATAATTTGGAATAATTCTGACAGGAAGCGGTCATAGCTTCAGGGCTGTATTTCTGTAGTTTTACGAAGCTGTTCTACCTCCTGATTGGTGCTTAAAAGTTCTGGGTAATATATTTGACATGCCCACACTTTTGAGGGCCCTTGAAACAATATTTAAAAAAAAGCTTTAATAATTTTAATAGCCCTCGAAAATATTGGAAAATCCACGATTTTATCTTTAAATCCACGTCTTTGAAAGTCATAGAAAAACAATTTGAAAAAAACCCCGTATTTTAAAGTCATTGAAAAATATATAAATCCAATCAAATTTAAATCCAAGTCATTGAAATTCCACCCCTAAAAAAATATAATCTTTTGAATCCACGACTTTTACATTTCACGCCTTTAAAAATATATATATTTAAAAATCCACTAAAAAAAAATATATTTTTTTTTAGTATCCAGGCTTTTAAAAATATATATTTTTAAATCCACGCCATTGAAATTCCACGCCTTAAAAATATATATTTTTTAAAATTCAATTTCAATAATTTTTTTTTAATATATATTTTTTACAAATCTACGGCTTTAATTTTTTTTAAATATATTTTTTACAAATCCACGCTTTTAAAAATAATTATTTTATGTATATTTTTTTAAAAATCTACACCTTTAAAAATATTTATTTTATGTATAATTTTTTTACAAATCCACACATTTAAAAATATATATTTTTTACAAATCTACGACTTTTAAAAAATATATTTTTTGCAAATACACGCCCTTGAAAATATATATATATATATATTTTTTTACAAATCCACGCCTTTCAAATTATATATTTTTTAATATTTTGTAAAAATATATTTTTTTAAATATATATTTTATTACAAATCTACGCCTTTAAAAATACTTTTTTTTACAAATCTACGCCTTTAAAAATACTTTTTTTACAAATCTACGCCTTAAAAAATACTTTTTTTTACAAATCTACGCTTTTAAAAATATTTTTTAAATATATTTGTTTAAAAATCTATGACTTTAAAAATAATTTATTTAAAAATATATTTCTTTACCAATCCAAAAATGTCAATATAAATATATTTTTAAATATATTTAAATTTATATTTTTTTTTAATCCAAGCCTTAAAAAATATATTTATTTTTTTAAATCCACGGCATTGAAATTCCATTTTTTAGCATATATTAAAAAAGTGCCAAAAAAACCCATTTGTTGACTCGCTTGAGGTTTAACACATTTTAAATAAATATTCTTCGCATTTTTATCTGCAATAGTGACATAGACACTATATACCTAAAAGACTCACAAAAAGTACGCCTTTAACCCTAAAATGTGTTTTTAATATATTTGAATTCCTGGCGTTTGGATAAGGTTTAGACAATTGATGTCTTCTAGGACCTATGGTAGAATTTAATGACAAACAATTTTGTGGGATATTTTGACTTGCTACTTTGTTTTTTAACATGTATTCAAAAAAGGACAAATAAAGACCAATTTTTTGGTTCGCTTGAAGGTTTATTTTTTTTTAAATAAAATATTCCTCGTGTTGTTGTCTGAAATATTGCCGAAGACACTATTTACCTAAAATGCATGGATTCCAAGGAATCTTTAATTTTTGGAGACTCACAACAACCCTAAAATGCGTTTTTTGATATATATGAATTTCTGAAGTTTAGGTAAGATTTAAACTTTTAAGGTCTTTTAGGACTTATAGTAGAATTTTATGACAAATAATTTTGCTACGATCCCGTTTAAGGGGTGTTTTTAGCATCTATTAAAAAAAAAAAACCGAAAAAAACCTTTTTTGATTCGCGTGAGGGTTAAAATTTTTAAAACAAAATATTCCCCGTATTGTTATCTGTAATATTGCCGAAGACCCTATATACCTAAAATGCATGGATTCCAAAAATCTTAATTCGAAAATATTCAAAATTGTGGAAGAGGGGGTAAACTTTTTTTCCCGTAAATATTGAAAGTATTGCATTTTATCGAGTTATAGGGAAAAAGATTGAATATTGTACTCAGAAGAAAGAAGTGATTTTTCCACATGTTGTACCCAAAATGCAGGGCAAATGAATAGAACAACGAAACCCAAAAACAACAACCACAACAAAAAATGGCAAAAAATAAGAACAACAACAACGAGACTATATAGATTTGTTGGCTATAAATATCTGGTAAGATTTCGTAAAAAAATATCGACCGACTTTAGCCAACAGGCACACCATCGCCGGGCTGTTGTTGTTGCTGTTGATTGTAACACGGGTTGTGTGGTTCGGGTGCGGTGCTCATGTCGTTGCTTGATTTACAGTGGCAACAGTTTGACAATACATATTCACTCACTCACTCGCTCGTCCGTTCGCTTGGTGTGTTCTAACACCAGAATAACGAAAATTGAATAAAAATGAAATAAAAGCCAGCAGACCAGAAGAAAGTGTCGAACAGCGCTAAAGACCAACAGCCAGTCCAAGAAGAAAAAAATCGAAAAAAAATTCAAAAAAACATTACCCACCGATCGCCAAACAATTGTAGAATTGTGATAAAATATCAATCAGTTGGTGACTCGAATCGATCGAAGTGTTCGACTGGCACACAATTCCAAGCGAGACGAGAGTGCATCGTGTGGCCAGATTTTAGATTTGCAAACGCAGCAGCATCGGCATCCTCATCGTCGTTCATTGGATTCTTAAAAACGTTGCTCATTTCGATTTTCGTTTATAGTTGGTCTACTCGCAGCCGCCGCCATCGCAAAGTGAATCCGCACGAAAAACGCAACGCATGTATTGCCCAAGAAATTAAGAAGAAAAAAAAAAAAAAGAATTTTGAATTACAAGAAAAATGAATATTTCATAAAGAGCTTGACACGCCAGAGATAAAAAAATCCGACCAAAAATTGTGGTGTTGTGGCAACGAATATTAAGAAAAATATTTGAAAAAAAAAAATTCCCCAAAATTTTACTAATTAATTAATTAAAGAAAAATTGATTTGAAATCACTTTGAATATTACATAATCCTTGAGAAAAATTGAAAAATTTCAATTAAAAAAGAGTTTTTTTGTAAAAAAAATACTTTAGAAAAAATCAAAAAGGAAGTCAACTTTGGCCAATGTGTTTCCTCTTCAGCGCCCAGTGTTACCATATGAAATTATTATTTTCATAATTTGTATTTTTTTTTCTAATTTTTTGTAGTGATTTTATGAAATTATTATTCCCCAAAAAATTATGAAATGTAAAAAATTCAAATAGCAAAAAAACCCGCATGAAATTATTTGAAAACCAAAAAAGGCCAGAAGGAGAAGAGGAAGAAGAAGTCAACTAACAACTCAAATATCAATAATAACGGGAAATTTAAAATGGAAACGGTGAGTGCTACTGAGTGACAAGTGAATCACTTAAGTTGTCAAAAAAGAATCTAAAGAGAAAACCCAAAAACAACAACAGCAACAAAGAAAATACATTCATTTGAAAGAAATTTCATGAAAGAATTTTCATGAAAAAATTACACTTGGAAAAAAATTAAAATTATGTTGTGCCAATATAAAATGTTTGCAATAAAAAGAAGAGGAAGAGAAAGGAGTTTTTCGGGATTCGTATAAAATTGTAATGACAAAAAAATATACTAATAAAAATGTCAAATTAAAAATAATGAAATTATAAAAAAATGTTCTACCCACATAAAAAATAATTTAATACAAAATGACAATTTGTTTCATTAAATTGAGTTTGAAAAGTCAAAAATAAAGTTAAATCTTTATTAAAAATGAAAAAAAAATTAAATATAAAAAAATGAAAAATTATATTAAAAATTATATTTGGATAAGGATAACATTGGATTGTAAGTAAAAATTATGTCCTCACATTTACCCGAATGCCAAGATGGATTGGACATTTAATTATACTGGAATAAAATTTGAAATCCTTTGCCGAAATTCAAAATGGAAAACCGTAAAATTGTTCTTAGATTTTTTTGTTCTGGAAATCAAATATGGTAGATTTTTATGAAAAATAATTTCGTAGAATATTTTAACTTGCTGTCATCCCGTTTAAGAGGAGTTTTTAATCATATATTCAAAAAAGGACCAAAAAGGACCCATTTGTTGACTCGTTTGTGGGTTAATTTTTTTGGACAAAATATTCCTCGTATTGTTATCTGCAATATTGCTGAAGACACTATACACATAAAATGCATGGATTCCAAGGGATCTTAAATTCTTGGAGACTCACAAAAAGTACGGATTTAACCCTAAAATGTGTTTTTTTTAAATATATATGAGTTCCTGGCCTTGGGTAAGATTTAGACTTCTAGGGCCTATAGGAGAATTTTATGGCAAAAATATTTGTGGAATATTTTAACTTCCTCCAATCCCGTTTAAAGGGAGTTTTTAACCATAAAGTCCCTTTATTTGACCGAAAAGTCCCTTTTATTGACTCGATTGAGGGTAGCATTTTTTAAAATTATATTTCGAAATTTTCCAAAATTGTGGAATTGTGCGGTAAAAACTTTAACCCAAGAATGCGTTTTAACAAAATATTAATTCCTGGCGTTTAGTTAAGATTTAGACTATTGATGTCTTCTAAGACCTATAATAGAATTTTATGACAAATAATTTTGTAGACTATTTTGACTTGCTACGATCTCATTAAAAATGGAAACTCGTAAAATTTTTCTAAGATTTTCTAATATAGTAGCTTTTTTGTTCGATTTTATTAAATATTTGTTTAGGACTCTCAGAGTGAGAATTTAAATTAACTAAAAAATCATCATAATGTTAAAACTTTTTTATTTTTTACAATTGTTTTGGGAAGGTCATCAGGTGAATTTTACAAAACAAAAAATAACTCTTTGAAAGGACCATGAAAAATAAAAGAGTGGATATCTTTACGAATAATTTGGATCACTTTAAAATATAAACCTGAGGTTTTAAGGCTATGGGGTTTTTCGATTAAGAATAGTAACTGGTTTAAGGATTTTTTTCTAATTTGTAAAAAATCTTTAATTTATCAAAAAAAAAAAAAAAAAAAAATAATAATAATAATAATAAAAATAATAATAATAAAATAATAATAATAATAATAATAATAATAATAATAATAATAATAATAATAATAATAATAATAATAATAATAATAATAATAATAATAATAATAATAATAATAATAATAATAATAATAATAATAATAATAATAATAATAATAATAATAATAATAATAATAATAATAATAATAATAATAATAATAATAATAATAATAATAATAATAATAATAATAATAATAATATAATAATAATAATAATAATAATAATAATAATAATAATAATAATAATAATAATAATAATAATAATATAATAATAATAATAATAATAATAATAATAATAATAATAATAATAATAATAATAATAATAATAATAATAACAATAATAATAATAATAATAATCATAACAATAATAATAATAAATAAATAAATAAATAAATAAAAGATTCCCAGAGTGACTTTTTAGGGATCATAAAAAACTTTAAAACTAAATTTTTTAACTGGAGTTTAAGGGTCACCAAAGAAAAATTAAAAAAAAAAACTTATTTTGAAAGGGACCCTATCTCTAGGTATCAAGAGTGTTTAAAAAGAATTTTGGGAGTTCTTTCAAGATATAATCTTGAATATTTTAGATGATTTTATTAAATCTAGAACTATTGGTTTTGAGTAAGAATAATTATTATTTTTGTAATTTTTTATAAAACATATTTACACTATCCTCTTTAACATCATTGAGAGCTGTCATTTCAAAGTCTTTTTGAGTTTTTTTTTTTTTATTTTCAAAGCAATTAATAATAGGGATATGGAAAATTAATCTCCTCAAAAATTAAATATTTTTTTCAAATACCAACAATAATTTGAAAAAAAATATTTAATTTTTGAGGAGATTAATTTTTTAAAACTTAAAACGTAAAAACTTAAAATTGTAATTTTCTATTTTTTTTAAACAAAGACTACACAAACTCGTGTTTTTTCGTATTTAAAAAAAAAACTCAATCAAACCACTTAAATTGTTTTTTTTTTTTACTTATTATAAAACAATATCCATTTTATACACCTATCTCATTGAAATAACGGTTGTCCGTTTATGTGTATGGCCAGCGTCCAACATAAGTACATATAGGCGGGAGTATTCGATATGGTCAAATTTTCCTGCATGGAACATAGGTTGCCATCTCTGATTTCTGTATATACAATAGATTTGTAAATATAAATTTGGAAAAAAAATCTAACAATCATATCCATTTTTTGTTACCCTTCCATTAATAAAAACAAAACATCTCAATTGTGAATTATTTCCAAAAAATATGCTTCTTTTAAAAAAAATTATAAGGCCATAATTGAAGATTTTAAAAATAATAATAATTTCTTTGGAAAAATTTAGAAGCACTCTCCCGTTGACTCTTGAAGCCACAATCTCGGATATTTAATTAATATTTTTCGTATTCTTGAATTCTCAGAGCTTTTTTAATTGTAGTTTTTAAAAAAAAAGAACTACTAAAACGTTTTTAGTCATAATCGTAGATTTTTAATTTCCCCCCCCACCTGAATTATAGAATCCCACCAAATTATTTGAAAAATCTCAGAACAAAGTCGTTGAATGGTTTTATAATCATATATTTTTTCAAAAATAATTTTCAGGAACCTTATTTATAGTTGTTGAATTTTTGTCATAATATTGAATTTGAATTTTTGCCATAATTTTGAATTTGTTTGCCGAATCTCACAACTATAGTTGTTGATTTTCTAGAAATACTTTATTCGAATCATAACTGTGAATTCTTCGATTATTTTTTTTTTTCGGACTATCAGAGCAATTATCGTGGAATTAAAAAAAAAATAAGGACAAGCAGAATGTTGATCATATATTTCTAAGGTTTCAAAGTCGGAATTGTGGATTTCTTTAGAATATTTTTTTCGAAAAAAAATTTAAAATTTTTTAGAGTCCAAATTATGGAGTTTTTGAAATGTGTATGCGAAGGCGGATATTTTGTAAAAATTGTTAGAACATTTGAAATCAGTATTTTTAGCGTACAATCTTATTTACCACCGGAAGTACAAGCCTGATTTTATTAAAATAATTAAGCAGAGTTCAAATTTTGTGTGAGATTAATTTTTAAATTAAATAGACAAAAATATTTCATCTTAAAAATATTTATTTGTGAACCTTTTAAATTTTTTTTAAATTATTATTTTGTAAGAATATTTTGAGGGGAATTTTTTTAATCGATCATTTTTAAGAGTTTGTTTTTTTTGAATTTTGTTTTGGAAGACTCTTAAAAAATCGCCCAGATTCGGAGCAATAATTGTATATTTCTGAGCATTCCATCCCAGTCATAGTTGTAATTCGTTTCATGGTATACATTAGAAGAAAATAGGTAGCCGCATCGACACAGCTGCAGGGACAATGAACTGTCAAACCAATTTTGGAATTTAACATTTTTGAATGAAACATTATTAACATTTGTAAAAATATTTGAAAAAATGCATATTATAACAACCTTCGATTGGTGTCGTATAAGAAAACATATAAAAATCTCCTTATTTAAGAAAATATTTTTGACATACCAATGTTACCAAGCTTTGATGCATCTACCTGTATTCTTCTACCATGCGTAGGAGTAACCACACTTTTTTTGGATAACTTGCCGAAAAACTCTAAGCATTTTCATTTCACAGATTTTCGTTGATACCTCAAAAAATTTGTTAGAGAATTCTATCATTGGTTTGGGAATTGATATGATCGGAAATGTAAGCTTGGTGTTCAAATTCGAAAAAGGTAATACAAGGTTGGTCTGGTTACCCTTAAATTTTGTAACAATTTTTGCAAATAGTTTCTGTAATTCGTCTGTTAAAACAAAAGTTTATAAAAGTTCTTGCCGGGCAAATTTCTTCTTGCAAACACTTGCAACGCTTCTTCTTCCTTTTTGAATATTCGCATTTTTAAATTATTCCTGTGCTTTTTTTTAAGGCGGACCAATCTTTTAACAAATCAGCTGATTGAATGCAATTTTTGTAGGGAAACCGTCTGTTTATTTTTATACCCTCCACCATTCCATGAAGGGTATATTAACTTTGACATTCTGTTTGTAACTCCTCGAAATATTTATAATAGACCCTACAAAGTATATTTATTCTGGATCAGCGTAAAATTCTAAGACGATCTAGCGATGTCCGTCTATCTGTTGTAATCACGCGATCTTTCAAACGAATTGAGACGTTTTCGTATAGCCCCCATATAACGGTACCTCCCGATATTCAGTATTTTCATGATTTTAACGACATTATTTACCGGAGTTATTTCAAATTTCGTATTTGAAGTTGGTAATAG